GAGGAGGAGGAAAGGAAGAAAAAAATTAAGAATGATGTATCAGAGGTAAAACGAAGATGGAGGGTGCACTTGCGTGTGTGTGCGCACAAACCCATGATAGGCGGGGAATAAATCAACGCCAGACAAATGGGATAATGAATTGCCACCCATCGAAGAGAGCCAGATAGAGGGGAAGGGCAGAGAGAAAATAAAGCGTGCGAGGAATGAAATCGGTCACTCCACTCCACCCCACTCAATCCTGCCCCATCTCATGCCACTGTTCCACCACCCCACCTTTCCGATGAAGCAAAACGATGCGCATCAATCTCTCATCGTAATGTTTCGCGGTTTCAAGCGATAATCGTACATCCAAGTACAGCACTGCATCACGGAATGAGGAAGAGGAGGTGGGGGCAAAGAAGGGAGAGCGAGGTTCAGTGGTATGAAGAAGTGGGCACTTTTTTCCTTAACAAAGTTAACAACTGACTGGTGAACATACCTTATACGGAAAATAACGATGCTGTGGGCGAGATGTTTCACATGTCTTCATTAGCATGTTCAGAAATCGTATACGAGCCTTACGATCCGAGCTACATTTTACAACTGATCATTTCAAAGGCAAAATTTGCCTACAAAGAATGCCTCTATGCACCAATCCTGTTTCAAATCAAATCTCTTTAGGAGGAAGCTGTGAACCGCTCAAGAAAACTGGTTAGGCCAAGCATAATTTTAATATTAATAGTTTAGTGCTTCTATTTTTTTTTTAAAAGTCGCTATTTAATTAATTTAATCTATCATGCCAAATCATTTAATACCAGTTTTTTTATTCGACTATCTAAAATTTAAACTCACCGATTTGGTAGTCACGCTACTAAGGCTTCATCGTCGATACTGGGGAGGTGAGGGAGACGGGAGGAGGAGGAGGAGGAGAAGGGGGGTCGAGAGAGGGAGTTGGAAGGGGGAGAGGACAACGTGTCCTCAAAATAACGTTCATTCGGGGTGAAGGATTTGAAATCGTAGAGAGTGGTTAAAATAAGGAGACGCCGGTGACACCACCTTTTGGATGGCTGCAAGGTTGCTTGTGGTCCACCTCAGCTGCGAGCAAAGCACATCCGTCCACTGGTCAAAGTTGTGATGGTCTTGAGAACTTTGAATTCGAAAAAATTTTAACCCTTAAAAAATTGTGATGTTATTTAAGCAAATCAACTTTACTACCAAGCATAAATACTGTTCAACAGCAATGGAAAGCTGTAAAACTATTTGACCTCTGAAGAGTTTAACTCTGGCCTGTCTAATATTATTCTGTCAAAGGGAGGGCAAAGAATGCACACTTTACAGTCTTGCTAAAATAGTTACTATTCTACTCACTAATAAAAAAATACTTAATAATGAAATGCTTAATTTCGATTCCTCCTCAAGGTAGACTGTCAAACACTACTTAATCCCGTTTCTATTTCACAAGTGCCTCTTCTGCTCTGCACGTGATGGTCTGCCTGAAGGAAATTTAATTGAGTCCTGCCCTGAGATACGCATACCATTACTGGCGGATTTCTTCGCATGAGATCTGGTGCCGAATGGCTTCTTCTGACAAAAGTACGACTGGGACTCAGTGCCTATTTCTGGCTGCCTTTAAGTAGAGGAACTATTTATTTTCCTCCCATCTCCCACTTGCATGGTGAAGATTAGACGGATCTCATACAAGTGCCCTTAACAGGAAGGTTGGTCCCAACAGACAATCCTTCCTTTGGTAAATTTTGTAAAATACAAAGAAAGGTTAGTCATTTTGGAGGATAAAGCAGTCCTTGCTTCAGCCATGGGTTGTGGTGACCAGTGGATAGGTGGTAGCCCATTGGTAATCATTGATACGTAGGTTAGCTTCACGAAGAACAAATAAATCAAGTAGTGAGTTTGCCAGTGCGCCAAGCAAATTGGGTACGTGTAAGGTAATAATAAAAAACACTTCAGAGTCCAATGTTCATCATTTGTTTGGCTTTACCACGACTTTCCCAATTTAACTGTTGTAGGTGTAACAGCCGATTTCCTTGACTCCTTCTCAGCCTTAAATCATTTTTATCATTTTACTCTGCTACCTTTCTCACTACTCATGAAGAGCATTTGAAGCCTTGAAGCAAAATTATACGAAATACTGTCTGTCGGTTCCAACAAACAGATGTACATAGGGAGGATGGATTAAAGAGGCAAAATTTTGAAGAGAAAACAGATAGGAGGTACCATAGCGACAGACTGGCGCCAATCCACCAACGATTAGCAAAACATAAATGCAAACAATCGAGTGAATATTATGTATTTATCAATTACACAAAAGTCGTAGCCAAAGCTTATATTGATAATCACAAAACTCTCTGCTTATTTTGCAAGTTGCCTTTTTATCATGACACATTTTGAGGTAGCGAACTTCTTGCCGAGGTACCAAATTCACCTTTCCTACTCCCCCAATCCACGCTTTAGTAGGCAAGCTATCTCAACGAAAACTAATGTAGAGCAGAATTTAATTAGTTTACGTCTTCCAAAAAAGTATGGAGATCTCTCTCTCTCTCAACGTTAAAATCCCTCTTCGATGTATTAGTGTTGGACGCCTCCTTTAAAAAATTGCTGCAGCATTCCACAAATAACTTGAAGCATGCCTACACTTTCTTTCATTGTTATTATTGCATTCCAATAGGTTTGACTTCACAGTTAAAAGTTTTTTTGTTCTTCCCACCCGCAATGCTAAGATTGCTTCTGCGATTAAAATCAGGCTCAGTAGTGATGCTCTCAATAAAGGCTGTGCAATGGGTTTCTTTCAAAATGAATTGTATACTTTGTGCATGTGCACTCTACCAGTCAAAAATCTATTTTTGCTATTTTTTTTTCAACAACTGTTGGCGTAATGCATGAAGGAAAAGCATGTTTACCGTCTTCCACAATTGTGCCAGGGCCGTATCACCTCATCGGTAAATCAGGATCTCGTGACATTAAGTATCACCTTCTGTTCCCACAAAATGGGCGAGAGTTTGCTTTATTCCTGCCGAATGGCTCACAGTACCAAGAATGCCCTCCTTGCTCCCTCAAGCGATGGAAACAAAGAAGGCACAAAAATTTATACACAAATTTTCTATAAATGATGACTAAATAGGTTTAACGAGTTGTTGAAAATCAACTGCGTAAAATTAGGAAGGTGGCATACTCTGTGCTGCGTTATTTGTGCTTCACTCCGAGAGGAAATTGTTGAAAGTGAGGCAGTAGCATTGACTTTAAGACACTGCGTTTTGGCATGACTTTACTCAAGGCTCATCCCTGGTGGAAAAAAAGCGTAGCAGCAGTGAGCACACATGAAGTCTCACAGGGCAATGATATTACGAGGCTATGATTTATCAGAATTTGCAATGTGTGGCGTGACTAAGCCAGTTCGCTAGCTCATGTCACAACTCTTGCTGGGGCTGTGCATTAAGGAGAGTCGTTTGCTCAGTCCGTTTACAAGCCAAGTTTGTCTCTTCATGCCCTCCCTACTCCTCGCCTGCCTCGATGATGGTAGTGAATTGGAAGGCACTGGGGTACCTCCAGTGGAGGCGATAGCACATCAGTCAAGCTACCGAATTACCTGAAGTAGTAAATATATGTATCATTTCAGCCCCTGATTAGGGCAATATATCGTACTTCGAAATCGGCGAGGGTGGAGATCATACTTGCAATAAGGTTTATAAAGCAATCAAACGCTTGTGGCTACTGGTAGAGAGGCAAAAGAAGGAGACATTCAAACAAAAATGCATAATAGCGCACGAATAAAACTTCGAGGCTTAACTCATCCAGGACATTATCGAGATGATCCAGTTAAGTCTAAAGAAAAGATAGTCAAAATCACATGTATTAACTTTAGTACATAAGAATGATTTAAATCTGCCTTGTAGGCCAAGAGGGGAAATTCAGAAAGAAAGTGGTTCTAAAGGGAGAGACAGTACCTCGTGTTCAGTGCAGAGGCGTCAAGGTTTCTGGAAAAAATTCATTTAGCTTTACTCTACAAGCAACAAAGTGACAAAGAAATCACTCTGAATCAGATTTTCCACACAGTTTAGAAGGACAATAGCTGTATACTAAGGGGAGAGTCTAATTATAAAAGGGGAGTGGTCGACTCAACCAAGTTCAACCAGGATTTTAATTGTGTAGGTAAAAGTGACACCTTCGACACATTCGTCCAAAGGCTAGTTAACCGTAGAGAATGAAAAATTGGAACATCCCTAGGCGACAGTAAATTTGTAATTGATGAAGGACAATATAGATTAAACGTCTACCATGAACAAAATACTAGTTTATTTTAACTAACCAAAATTGTCAAAAGTACGACATCAAGACAACAGAGTCAAAACTGAGCAAACTGATCCGCAAAGGAGTGCTATCCTCTCATTTGGTAAAGCACTGAGTCACCCTAGTTGCACAATTTGCTCAACGAGAAGACGATGACCCAGTACCTCGCCCAACTGGTATTCAATAGTGGCTGCTAACTTCTATTGCGCACTGCGGTATCCCAGTCATATCTACAACGCCTTCCCTTCTCCGTATGCCAGTCTTAAGTCTCTACACGGAGACAGGAACGCAACGCCTTGCTTGCCTGACTGCCTGCATAAGTAAGTTGATCGTCCAGCGATGCTAAAGCCCACCTTAGGCATTTAGTCCAGTCATATGCTTGCTGTCGCTGAATGGGAAGTCTCAAAACGCTACAAGAGTACTCTGGAGTAGTTACCATGATTTACCATTGAGTAATAAAAACCACAAGAATGAGCAAATGCAGACCCTCACACCAGGAAACAGCCCACAAGTCTGCCAACTACTTTGCTGAGACCACTCGGACGCAAAGGGCTAAAAAGAACAGTGATCTAGATCAAATGGTCATGGTCAAGACTATTATCTACATGGAATCTAGAAATCAAACACTGAAAGTCATTAACACTAAATCGACCCCAAGAACCTATCAATACAACAACCCTCTTTCAAGAGGAAAAAAGTACAAGGAGAAAACATTATTTTTACAAACGTTCTAACCAAAGACGAACGGGACTAATATCGGTTGACGTGGCAGAGCAATCAGCAAAGGTGACGCTATGGTGTTTGCACTCTGCAAACCGAAATTCCTTGCACGAGTTCTTCACAAGAGGTACACGGGACTCCTGATGACCGTCTAGACCAGCCAGTGCATCTGCCTTTGTACGACACAAAGTGGTTCTTAACAAGGGTAGAAGGATACACCATAAAGTATCCGATCAAAACATTCGATGCAACCGTAAGAATAAACAAAAAGGATACTTACAGTTCTGCCTCCAGCATTCGTTCAATCAAAATAGGATCTTTAGCATTAGGTAAGTCTTTTTTGTTACAAAGAATAAGGAAGGGTACATGGGACCGAGCAAGAGTAGCATCTGTCATCAAATCATAGAGATATTCAGCTGTGTCCATCAACGCATCTTGAATGGATGTTGAGTCGATGACAAAAATGATACCACTAAACGCCTGAAAGCCAGAAAATCTGGACATACCCGGTGTTAGCTTTATGCTTATTGATGCACTCAAAGCTGAGCTTTTTCATACCAGGAACGTCAACAATTTTCAGTTTTTTAATACTCTAATAGGGTAACAGATCTCAACATTTACTTTCACTCTTAGTTCATAATCTTCGACATTTGGAGCCAAGGATGTGAAAGTCATTGCGTTCCTCTTATGAGTCAACATAATTAACAGAGAAGTTTTTCCAGCATCACAAGGACCGGTTATGAGAACAGTTGATTTGCTTGTAAATTTAAAGTAAAGGTATACCAAAAGAAGCAGGACAATGGAAACAACACCCAAAACCGCATAGAGCATCGCAAAGCAAGCAGACAGCCAGTCAACGAATCCACATGGCTAAATGCTGACCTAAACAATTTATAATATTTAAGGTTACGTTCTGTATTTATGAATAAACATTTTATAAATGTGGTTACGGTATTTAGATTTCTGGCATATTAGCCTTTTTTGCTTTTTTGATTTTAAGCTTTGAAATCGAAATACATTCCTAAAACACAACATCATTTTATTTGTTTTGCAAAAGTTTAACAGGCATACTAAGTTGACGTTAATGTAGAAGTGAATATTCTAGTTCGCCCGGGTACATTTAGCCACCCGTTTAGTTTTATTTCTGGTGCATGTCAATATCTACCCTAAATTACGTCGAATTCTAGCCTATGGCTTTAATTAATGCACAACTTGCTCACATTTAAACCCAAATTTTATAGGTTCTCCAGCTTTACGAATTTCGATCAGTAACATTGGATAAATGGGGTCTTAAAGATTGGGGAAATAAACTTAGTTTGGGATGCACGTATGGGGTTCCTCTGTCTACTCATAGGACCACAAACTCTAATTCATAAAAGGATCGGTTAAGGAGGGTTTATTTGGCATCGTGTGCAGAAAAGTAAAAGGAGGATATTTGTGTGATGATAAGCAGATGTTATTCTGAGGATGCCTCTTCACACTCCTTGCGAACTGGCTTTGTGTTCCACTTGCTTAACCGCCTCTCTCTTGTAAAGGTAACTTAAACGCATTGGTATGCATTACAGCACGTCTTTTGCTGGACCAATTCCATCGCCTCGGGTTTTCAAATAATTTGGAGAACTTGACTATAGTGACTCCCTCCCTACTCCTAAGCTCAAGTACTTCCGTCTCCATGAGTGGAGGCTTGCTTTGCGAAGATCTATTAGGCATCTGTTGCAGAATTTGGTGCATGAGTAAAGCAAGTACGCCAACGTTGCTTCATGAAGTATCCACACCATCCTCCAGCACGGGATTCGTGTTTAATGACCGCCTCTCTTCTGTAAGTACCACTTAAACACAGTGGCATGCATTACAATTGCACACACTAATAACACATAGGCGAGACAAAACGCCTTATTCTGATAAAAATACCATTTCTAGAGACTTAAGCATCCGTGTAGTCAGGAGTAGAGGTAAACAAAAGATTAGAGCATCAAATTAACGCGGCAATTTTTTAATAGGCAATGGTTTTGCTTACACTGTTCCAGAGCTCTAGACTAGACACCAAAAGGCATAGTAATAGGGTTGAAAACGTGTGCCTGGACTGGAAGAAAAAAAGGCAAAGCTTTTGGTACAGATTGAAAGCCGCTCTATTCAGCAGAAACAATACGTCCGCCAAACAAACTACTACTCATAAAGTCATTGAAAAGTTTTATAATGACAATATCATTCGGTTCTCCGAATCACTTTTGCCTGACTCAGATCGGTTAAGCCAAATAAATGTGTTAACGCTAATTGTGGCTCCATCATCCCGCTCTCCTTGTCCTTCATCACAGCCTTCTTCGACAAAGAATTGTTAGGCAAGAATTTATAAGGAATTTATGTATAGGTGCAAGCAAAAGTGAAGAATGTGCACCAAGTTGATCCGAACTAGTGATGAGAAGGGTCTTCGCGCTCCACTTATTCGGCTTTTTGTGTAAAATTAGCACCTCTTCCTCGTTAAGTGCAGTTTTACTAACCTATATATAACAACTTAATTACTTTTACTTTATAAGAAAAGTCAGTTCAACTTTGCGTAAAGCGTAAAGATTTGTCATTGCTTCATTTTGCATGTGGTGTAATGTGCTGATACTTCCCATTTGTTTGAAGGCGGCATAGCGTTTGACTGAAGGCTTGCCTACAGACAGAACACGTAGAAGTGAGGCCATGGCCTGGCTCTAAGACCAGCAATCACAGCAGATGCAAGGCGGCCACTTAAGTCTTCCATTCATGCAGGATGTCAAATAAACAAAGTAGCAAACTTGAAAACGGACATATTTTAACTTGGTTTCGACTGCTCTTATTAGTGCCCGAAAGTATATTTCTTGGACGGGCCTATGCATCACTCCTGACTGTCCATATCGCTGCCGTCGGATGGAGTGCCTTTTGGACCATGCCGACAGCTCCGCTCCTCTGACACTTCCTGAATTCATTTTCTGCTCGGGCACAGTGATTTCGTTTGACTTTGAGGAAGTCTTGAGGTGTCACATGTGAAAAATTCAAGCGTGATTTATCCACATTTATTTGAATAAAATAGGGTAAAAGGAATAACGGTATATTTGTTCCCACTGGAGATAAAATTGTAATGCTCTGGTTATGTGACTAGTCGAAGTACGGCGGTTCCTTTAGGATTTGTCTGGCTCTTGTACTCGTGAGCTGGCCTTCGGGTCGTGCTCAGGCCCGTTTGCTCTGTTCTCTTCGAAATACATGTATCTACCCTCACTTACTGCCTTTTTCCACCCTGCGGGAAGTCTCGGGACGCTAGAAGAATGGTGGAAGTGTTTGTACTTCTGTGTGCGGTTCATTTCAATTTCCTAGAAATTCGTGAGACTGGTCTTTCTCTTTCGATTGTCTGACGCTACGTGTAGGTGCTACTGCCCATTCTAAGGACAAAGGGAATCACTATGGTATCTCCCATCCTCTACCTCTCAGTTGTTTTTCAATATAAGCCTACCAACACCTTTTGACAAACAAGGACGTCTGTTTCGGAGGCTTTGAGAATCCGAAGGGATTCAACCTTAAACTCACAAAGGGTCAATAGAGGGACGCACAAAGCAGGTAATAAAATTCTTCAAAACGCGCTGAGGATGTGAATTATGCCAAGGAATGTAACTGGAACACATTCATAGTGCTAAAGCACTACGTGCAGAAATAAAATATGCGTCTCAGAGGTGGATTTTGAAGCATGTTCCAGTTGGAGTCAAAAGAGTGCCCGATCTTAACCACTTGCGAGGGAAGAAATATCCAATTCATTAAATATTGCACGATTCGAGCTTCCATTTCCTGAGGCGCGTATGATAGATCAACGTTACCTTATCGCTCCAAACCAATCCTTTTGGAGACAAGTACAGACGCTACGAATAGAGCCAAGTGGATTTAAGCAAACGCGATGGATCCGATTCCATGTACCAAGTAGCGCGGAGAAAAGCTAACATAACATCAGTCTTCCAATAGTTCCATTTTTGCCTTTGGCTACGAACGTACATGAGGTAACACCTTTTGCGCATTCGATGGGAGGCATTACCTTTAGTCAACTTTAGTAAATTCCAAAAGCAAATCATATTCCACCCTTTAATTACACCTTCCCCATCCTTAAGGCTATGTAAGAGGCTGTAGTTTTTAGATTTGAAATTTATTTTTTTGCATTTCCTTTTCTATCCTTCATTAAGGTGTGTGTGACTTCCATGCATTTACGCCGATACCGTTCCCTCATTTAATGGGTTAGCTGCGAAATTCTCTTGAAATTAAGTTCAGCTTTATTAGAATGGAGACTACTAATTCCCTACTTATGTTCGATACCAGCTTGATAACATGGCCTACTTATAAGCGTTATAAGTAGGAAAGTAATAAAGGCATAAAGGGATTTAAATACCTAAATATCCCTCCTAAAGACGGAAAAGGTGTTGCCTATGTATAGAAGGAGGAGCGGAGAGTTAGTAGTGAGTAATTCGGCAGAATCACAACTGCCTGCTAATCAAAGAAGGAAGGGAAACAATAATCGAACTCACGTTTCCAATGCTGCCTGCAGTCAAGCTACCCCGTCGGCTGCCAAAAAGTAATCAAAGTTGTACAACCAAAAACAGCTACAAACTGCCCACCTCATTTTGCTGTTCACGCACATTTATTTTGGGCTCCTTATAACCAGATAGGAGACGGAGGAGGTACCACGTGCTCACCTAATTGACATTTTCATGGAGGTACTACTGACAGCTCCATAATAAGTCTTTCCATGTGGCTTATGGCTGGTGTGATGCGGTATAGTGGATATTGGCGTCATCATCGGTATTTCGATTAGAGATTTCCAAGGATTCACACACTCCTAGTACGTGGTCTTTTCGTCAAGTTCACTTTCAGAATTTCACGGTAGAAATTTAGGCATTTATACTCTGCGATCGAGTTTGCTTACCACTACCGTTTAAGACCTTCCTGAACACTATGAAGTTTCGAAACGAGGAATTGAAATGCACCAGTGATGCACAGAACGACTTGGCCTAGAAGGCATGGCTGGAAGCGGAAGTGCAATTAGTGGAGCCTTAAGTGCCTGCATAGCTGATAAGTAAAGCTAAACAAACAAGCCGAGAATTACGTCACTCGCTTTTAAAGTTAATTTTAATGTGCAATATCTGACCATAATCAGAATTCAAAATGTTTGTTTTTGAAAAATATAAAATGGATTCAGTCTCCCACTAAATATGTCCGCGTCTTTGTGAAATGGAATTCCTGAGTGAACAGTCCATTGCACATACACAAAGTGGATGAGTGAGGACCAATCAAAAGGAGTAGGTGGCACACACCCCGATGACGCACTGAATTTAGCATCCTAGCTGGCGATTGGTGCCCTCGCTGTCCGGAGCACAAACATGTGGCCGATGTGATTTTCTGTCGCGTCCATCACTCTGTTGAACGAAACATGAGCTGTTCCACTCGGGCTTGCCACAGCGGCGCTGGATACTTCGTTGGACAGCGGTATCGCAGTGAGTCACCTGCCTTATCCTCTTTCAAACAAGTCCTGCTTAGGTTGGCTTTATGCTAAAATACGTTTTACAGCATGAATAGGAATGGTGTGAGTCGACTCATCAAATGGCCTTCTTGTGACATTTAGTGCCTAATAAGGCCTAACGGCATGTGGATTAATCGTCATCACCGATGGTTCCAACGTCAAACGTTTTGACAATTTTGTTGCCATTATTATGGCGGAGGAAATATTTTCCATCGCCAATCCCCTCTCAAAAGTAGAGCCTACTAGGGTAGGGTCACGCGACCTCTTACTGCATAATTCAAGCCTTATTGCAGTTTATTACATGGGCGTCAATCCTGATGTGCTCATCATTGTTTTAAATTAAAGAATGTATAGGCAGGTGTAGCCAGCTTAATAATTAATCACGTCTTTTAACCGACCACGCACACGAAAACCGAAACTAGGTGTTGGGCAGGTATGAGAATGCAAATCCTGATGGGTCCATCTCCACCTTGTGCAATCTTTGAAGGGATCGAGCCAGTCAAGAAGTCATCGAAAATATGTGAATTTCTTATTCAAATATTTGACCTGAGTTAGTTTTCTTAACTTCCACTTCAGTGGAGGTCATGGAAAAGCAGGTAGGTGGCGAATCATGTCGAGAATTTGGAGCCATGCTTGAAGTATTTCGAGAAATAGATGCGTTATGTGTAAGGTAGATCATTAACCATGGAAATCGTCACACGTATAACGGAATTTTGCCAAGTTTTGTGGTGAAGATGATGACAATGGTGAAGCATCCTTCAAGATCGAAATAAGATCGTCTTGCACATTCCTTTTCCTTCCGCATCACTCCACGCCTGAGGATAAGTGATCAAAGCGCCAACTCACGCTCCTAAGGGTCGCTTTCTGATTGGTCAAGAGAGGAAGAGCAAAGGAGAGGGCAGAAGGAGGAAGAAGAGAGGAAACATCAGTAGTGCTGTATGAACACGACTAAATGTCAACATGATTTCCGGTTGAATAAGGCTAAGATGCGAATGAGGCTTAGCCTTAGGAAGTGCGCATCATCATAGTTTATCCTCCATCACGTCCTTACTCAAGGCAACACAAGATGCACCCCTTGAGTGAGTCGTATGACAGTCTCCTTACCAGTCCCACTGGTGGTAATGAGCAGCGTCAGAACACTAGCAGCTCTGTCTATAGCCTCTACTGCCGTCTAACTCTTGGCCTACGTAATGCTGAGTCTTGGAACTGTGTTTATGTGCATGGCGAGGCAATACCTATCTTCAACACGGATTTATCTAGAGAGATGGGTTCCAGTAAGTGTTTGGTTGATCAATGTAGAATAGTGACTCTATGCTGTTGTATCGAGAACCTGTTTTTTTATAATAACTTGGAGTAACTCAATCTCAAATGGCGTACATCCTGGGGTCACTCTGTTGACCTCAGTGGGAGAATGTTTATCTACATCCTGTTAATGCGTGCCTGAATCCCTCTAGTCCTAATTTTAGCACCAGGAGTAAGAACAAGCCAAACTACAGCCTGCACAGAGCACGAATTGACTGTCCACCTTATCATGGAGGGTTTTGAAGGACGCTAATTCAGAAATGTCTTCATCATTAAGGGAATGCCAGTGTCACTCTTCTTCATAGATGGCAAAGTCAAGCGTTTTGAATGCCCTCTATGCATTTGGCATTACCTCTGCAAGTCTTATGCACAATCGACGGCCTTTACACCTCAGATGTTTGTTGAAGTCATCATTGCTGAAATAGAGTCACTATTTTCTAAAGAAATACACAAGCACGAGAATTTACTCTAAACGACCCTTTTTTGTCTCTGGAAGTTGCTGATCTAATGACAAGTCACATTCACCTGTATTACACATTCATTTTGGGACTGTTTGCTCTGCAATGCATCTGACTGACTGTCTGATGTTGAGAAGGGGAGTTGTGAGGCGTTTGCGGAGGATGAGGAGTACCACTGTTCCTTCTTCAATCTGTATCTTAGCTGACTAGTTCGAACAGCTTCTGAAGAAGTTAAATAGGCAGATCGCATCCCCACTTGTTGATTGGCCTTCTCGGTGAGGGTTGGACGTCGTGTGAGCTCCGAAGGGTCGCAAGTGGATTGTTCTAATGTGGGGAAGGTTTAAGTTGGGAATATGAAGTTAATTATCTTAGCCTCGTTTTGCAGTCCTTTGAAGATTTATTCGAATGTCTGGTGTCAATAGTAAAAATACAGTTAATAGTTTCAAAGCCGTACCACGAGTCAACATTCCGCAGAAAATTCGACGTGACCTCTGAATCGCCTCCTAAGCTGTTCCATTGCTACTCTAGTCGTGCGCCATTCAATTCTGATGTGTTGATGACAAGGGCAGTTTGGATGGACTCTAACATTGTGATTAAAAAATGTTTAAGTTTTGACCAAATGCGTCTCCTTTGAATAACTCGATTGCAATACATTCATGTCCGACATCACACCTCATTGACACCGTTGGTTTCACATCTAATTAACGGTGTTATTGAGTGAGCTAAGCCTCACATTCGCTAGGGATTCTTTTTATTTTTTTGTTTCAAATTCATGTTATGTGCTCGAGTATTGCGAAGACGTGCTTATTACTCAGTTTGTTGCTAACTCATTCCTGTGGCATTAAGCCGTTCCAAGGGGATTTTAAACACTCCGTCCCATGATGCCGAACTTTGTATTATCGACTCGTGAAAGCGTATTAGACCCAAGGATTTCCTATCTTTTCCTCCAATTTTAATATTAGTGAAAATGAGTTCAGTTTCCTCTCTTGTTATACAGTGGTTGAGGCTGCAGTATGGAGCAGCGCCCCACTTTTATCTACCTTTTTATGCTTACGGATTTGGAAGACCTATGAATCATAGCCTAATACCAGTTACTATGTAGTTGTAAGTACAATGTGTTATTTCATACCTGGGCACACACTGACATGCGGGAGAAGGAGGCTAAATAATCCCCTTCTGATCCGCATTTCCGGTGCGTTCGTGGACCTGTGCGATGGTCACAGCAGTCCCTATGGCTACCTCTTGTCTGAGTCACTGAGCAGTGGCCAATACTGAGCGCGCATGGGCGTTGGCAGAGGAGACAGATTTCTCTCACCCACGCGCCTGCCTCTATGGACTAGTAAAATATTTATTCTCACCCTCATCTGACCACAATACTCTACCTTCTGCCACTACGGTTGCAGAATACGTAGACCAGGACATAATTAGGACATGTGATTACACTCCCTCTTCCTGGATTCACTCAATCACCCCCATTTTGGAATCATGGATTCTGTCGTTGAACTGACAGGTGAGTTTTTCACATTGAGGACAAAAGGCGATTTCTCACTTTTATGAAAGGCCTGCTAATATAATCTTCTTTCGTCTCTGAACTGAAATAATCTGGTGCTTGTTCATTGCCTTAACAGAGGAACAAGAGCGCATTCAAAAGAAGACATTTACGAACTGGATTAACGCTTATCTAGCAAAGGTAGGTAGTGAATTCAACATTGTTGTTGTACTTTGCATAGCTATTGGCGTTGAGTATGTCTTCGATGAAATTGGTGCTGAAAAAGTACACGTTAATTCATCGTAGGCCATTCCTCCTGACTACGTCCGTGATCTTTACGTCGACATTCGGGATGGGGTCAAATTGGTGCGGCTACTTGAAGTGTTGGCTGGTGTTCGTCTGGTGAGCTAATTCAGTAAAAATGCTTCTCTTAACACAAAAATCAAAATTCCCAGCAGTGCTTAATGAAGCTGATTATCAAGGCGTTGGAAACAAGTTTAGTGTTCGGTCAACTACTATCTCCAATTTCTTCCCATTACCAGTCGTTTAACTTCATCGTTTGCTAAAATTTTTACTATTTTAAAATATTTCGAAGAGATTTTTTACGTTTTTTAACTTCCTTTTTTGAAAAGGAAGCTAGGGAATAAAAAATTACATAATCCACTACACCACAAAATGGGATAAAAATGGTGGAATGGTTCCTATCAGGGTCCGCCCTAAAAGCCTATTTCACACACCCACTGGCAATGAAAATCACTGCCATTTGCCCTGCATTATAATGCTAAAAGTATAAAATTTTGTCCCTGATTCATTTCCTCACTGCCAGCCCATTGAAAAGCCAACAGTGATGCAACGAGCGCACCATCTGAGCAATGTCAGGACGGCTCTGGACTTTTTGACAGGAAAGAGGAAGGTAGGTGTGGTGCCGTCTTTCGAGAAACCTAACCTTCGTGCCTCCACAGATCAAATTGGTGAACATTAATCCCTCCGACGTTGTCGATGGTCGACCAGCCATCGTTTTGGGTCTCATTTGGTCGATCATTTTATCATTTAATGTAAGAAGTTAGTTGTACAAAGTCTTCGGCCACCTTTGTTGCATAAGTTTGAGTATTTTTATCACCTTCCATTCCGTTAGATTGATGAGAATGGAGAGACACTTAACAAAACGGCAGATGCTGCAGAGATGACGAACAAGAATCAGTCAGTGTCTGCAAACCCTCCCTCCGGGCCCACCACTCAGAGTAAAACGCCATCCGTGACTCCGGTGGCTCGCAAGAAGGCGTTGCTTGCTTGGATCTGTCGTTGCGTTAACCCCAACCTCAGGTAGCTAACATTTGCAAGTAGACGCTTAGCTTAAAATCAAACATTTGTCAAAGCTGTCTGGGATAACGGTGGGACGTCAGTTTAATGACCTTCCCTACATCCAGGAGCATGTTTCAAACATGCTATTATGTCAGTGTTTGTTTGGAACAATTGCATGATCAAGCTATACGGGAAGGAGTTAGAAAAGAAGCAGAACTTTGGAAGTAGCATAAACAATCGTAATCATTTTGCAAGATCCCGTAATTTACTCTGGAAGCCGCATTAATTTGCTCGGTCTCCCAATATGAGATCTTTAAATGCCTAAAGTGTTATTCAGTTATTGGGTTGGGGCAAATAGAAGAGCCTGCTCTGATGTCATGGGATCCTTCTTCTAGGTCACTTGGCTTGCAAATAAAGGATTTTGGTTCCAGTTGGCGTGATGGTCGTGCATTTTGTGCCCTCGTGCACAGTATTGAGGCCGAGGGCTTAGATCTAGGCAAGATTCGGCCAAACGACAATAAGGCGAACTTAAAATTGGCTTTCGATGCAGCCGAACAGCGCCTCGGCATCCCACAACTACTCGATGCTGAAGGTATGAATTACACTTGACGATTTCGTGAAAACTTTTGCTATTTAGGAAAAATTTTGTGCTTGGTTTATTTACTACAGATGTTGACGTCGATAACCCGGACGAGCGTTCAATAATGACATACGTTGCACAATTTCTCAAGGAATATCCAAGTGGCAAGAAAACGGTGGGTTGTGAATAATCTTCGCTTTATGCAGCTTAAAAAAAAACAGCATTTAACAACATATCAATAAAATAAGGTTCTGCCTTAAACCTGCTCTTCAACTTGCTGTTCTCTTTAAAGGCTAAGTTCGTGGACCAGAAAATGGGTGGGAGTTTTGGTGGTAATGAGGCAACAATCAAATCCTTGGAGACTTCTTTGGATGCTGTCGATTCTGCCATCGATCCTTCTCTGGTACTCAGTGCTTCCACAGTTTCTCTTCACAACCCAAAATCCACTCGAGTGGAACACGTTATCACTCCCACTCCGCTAGACGACGAGGGCATTCGTAGCCTATTGGCGGCAACAAGTTCAAGCCTCTTCGATTCTGAGGGAGAAATTGAGACGAACCCTGATGCGGCACACTCCATGCCTAACATCAGAGCCATGACTTTATCCTCGCCTCGTCGGCAGGCCAGAGCTCGAACCTACGCCGATCTGCGACTGGCTCGAGTAGCGAAAACGTATTCACGATGCCGTGCCATCGCCAACATTCGGGTCACTGCGGATCGCACGGAAGAAACAAAAAATGCCGTCAAGATTGTTCAAATTGAAAATCAGGTAGGTAGAAATGGACATGAGTTTGAGTGCACAGCTCATGACAAGTAATGGTGACTAATTTTACCCCTTTATTCTAGATCAAAGATTCGAATGCGCAGGCTGAGGAGGAGCGAAACTTTATCATTCATATAAAAGAATTGATCTCGAGGATCAGACACGAACCTCTGGAGCCAAAGGATCTGCTGCAAGAGCTTGAGGCAAATTTTTCATTAAAGATGCAGAACTCTTTTAATTGTTCTTGCAAGCAATATTGGGAAAAAAGCTATCGTAAGGTTGAAGTTAAGGGGAGCCTGCTTGGATGTAGAACCACTAGGAATGCCCCAAAATATGCGACCTACGATTTGTAACCTAATTACCTCTTAAATGGTTTCCATTCCCCTGACTCCTATTCCTTGTAAATAGGAATTCTACCAAGCCGAGAAGCAGCATCAAAGCCTAACAACGTGTCTTGTGGAAATGGGCAAGCGGAAGCGTCAAGGCATCCTGCTTGGCATCTTACCTTCAGAATTGGCGGAAATTGAGGCGAAGTGGACACAAGTGAAGCCAGCGCTGGACGAGTGGCGTTGGCGTCTGGACGATTCTTTGCCTGGCGATTGGGCGACGGTGGGTAGGTGGCTGGGCCATCTGGAGCGGTGCCTCAGTGCGGGTGCAAGCCTAGCCATCGAACTGGATGTTGCGAGCACGTCTGTAGCCGATGTATCCACTAGACGCTCAAGATTTGCTGCGCAGTTAAATGATCTTAAGGTGAGAGGTACAAGAACTTACAGTAAACTCAGTTACTCGGGGAATTCGTACGAGATTTGTCAGTGCTACTAATCAGCTAGCTGAAAAGTCTTATCAATAAGAGATATGGCAGATGAGATTTACAGGTCTGGTCTTTATTGACATCTTGCAGCTAATCAGTCTTTGCCCATCGAATGCTATCCCCTGCCAAGGTCATTTACAAGACTGGTCCAACCGTTGTCACAGAGGCGTTAAAGTACATATAGCTGCATTAAGAGGGCGTCGACAAACGTTTACGGGTTAGTGAGTGGTGTCAGTAACTAGATTCATCATTATCCTGTTGAGAAGCTGAAAGACTATGATAATGGTGAGGTGTCCATGGCAAAAATTGGCAGCAGAACTTGCAAGCACTGACAAGGTCTGGTAGTTGAGTTGACTTCTAAAAAGCTTTATGAACTGACCTACTCATGACTTCATTTACATTTTACTGTAGGAAAAGCTGAAGGATAAGGACAGAATGTCCGAGCTTTTGGGTTTGCTAGACAAGACTAACACAGAGGATGAGCCCTCAGCCCTCCCTATCACCGTGGTGAACGCCATTAAGAAGCGCTTTGAAGACGTTTGCAATGAGGCACAAGTCAGCCTACGTCGCACTAATCGACTTTATCTGCGTTGGAAATTGGCCGACAACATCGATGACATTGTAAATTATATCAATATCTTGAAGAATACACGATATCATAAGTTGGATGAGGCTGAAAAGAGTGTAGAACAGATTCAAGTAAGTTAAGCTGCATCCTTGGACAATATCTTGATTGGGTGAAACGAATTGGCACTCGGTACATTCCTTCCTCCCTTTGCCTATTTCAGGAGTGGAAGAAGAGCAGAGGACTACCGCAGACGATGGATACGGATATTGCAGCATTGGCGGAGCTCTGTAAGGAGTCGGAGAACAAATCGAGCAATGCTTCAGTGTCTGTGATGGGCGAGCAACCGGGAGCGGGTTTGCTCACGATCCAGATCAAGGCCGGAGGAGGGACGTTAATTATGTGCGATGTTGCCGAGACGGAGCGCATTGAGGCCAGCATGTATCTCTCCTCTCTCCAAGTGCGGTGGGCTGAGGCGCTGGAGGATTTACTAGCGCTGGAAAAGTCATCAATTAAGTTGGTGGAAACGTGGCGTGCCTACGAGACGGTAACTACGATCGTTTTGACTATCTGAAATGCCTGTCAGCAAATATGAGCTGGATAGTTTAAGCAGATACAATTTAAAGTTATGGATCTATGGCTTCAAATAAACAGGAAGTCAGTTTTGTTCAATTTCTACAACCCGAATCCTACAGGAAGCCCAGACACTGCATGCATGGATGCAGGAAGCGGAGTCGAAGCTTAAATTAAAGGACATCTCCAACTCCGAGAAGCGTTTCATTCTAACTCAAGTGAATCAATGGCGTCAGCGTCTGTCAGCTTTGCAGGATTTGGGCGCCAAGCTCATTGGACAATCCACCATCCCCACTGGCGAGGCCATCAACATCCAGTTGGCAAACATGTTACAGCAACTTGACAGCATCTCTAATGAGGTATTAGAATTTGGTACACCCTTGAGTTTGTCTGACTTTGCCAATGATGTGAAGAATGCTTGTATCAAATTGATTTGTAGGTGGCTCCATGGAACCAGTGACTTAAGCACCACCTTATCGACTTTCTGGCACCAGTGAAGATGCGCCTAATTTGATACTAAAAAATGAGCTACCCCGTGAAGAGGTGGTAATTATGGATTGTTGCCATTGGACTAAAAAAAAATGGATTTTAAGCTGAAGTTAGGGGGAACGGAGAGTCGACATTTTGCAACGAGTACAATCTGCAAGCCCTAAGCTAAAAATCATGAATTGTTTTGTCCATGGAAACTTCGAGAAGAGTTCCAAGATTGGCTTCTATTTGTCCACGATTGGTCCCGTCTCGCTGTTCATCAGTATGGAGAAGGTGGGGGCTATGTGAATGGCCAGCCCCGATAGTGGTTTCCCTTCTCTATGGCTCGGCATTACACCTAGTTGTGGATACCGAAAATTTTTTTGGCAGAATTTTAACCCCTAAATTATATTTAATATCCGTGATGATCTTTGGGACTGACAGCTTGGATGGCACAAGTCAAGCTTTTGCCATCATCATAAAGATCGACCCAAGGGCAACTTAAAAGACACAGGCTATGAGATGAGCATAAACATAGTGAACCACATCTTACTACATATTGGACGAAATCAAGGATGTTTGACTGTCGACAAAAGGCGTTTATTGTATTTCATGGGAGACGTTGAAATGCCTGGAAGACGCATCACGTACTTAGGAGCTTTGAATTGCTAAACCTGACTTCATATTATGAAGGCAAAGCGGAAACTCTATCCCTCTGAAAGGGTTAGTGGGATAGTTATTTGAATGATCGGCTTTTGTAAACTAGCTTTACATCATCATATTTATGCCAGTCATCAAGCATTGGATGGATCTTAACCAGATTTAACCCTTCATTGAAAAGTGCTAAAAGAGAATTTTGTGATTCCAATATGACAAGAGAAAAGGGACAGTCTTATCTCCATTCACAGGTTGAGAAGTCGTACCAGGCCGAGACTATTGAGATGTTGAAACGGGATTTGGATCAAACAATTTATCGTATGAACGAAATGCTACAAACAGCTACAGACCTGCTGAATAAAGAAGTCTGCCTTCCACAGACCACCAGCATGCAGAAGGCTGAGGAGGCCACGTCGGAGTATCGAAATCAACTGCAAGCCATTAAGGAGGATCTTCTGAAGAATCTTCAGACCGAATATAACGTAAGAGAAAATCGTCTCATGTTGCTTTTGATATTGATAGTGACATACTACTTAAATAGCTGAAAATGATGTGTATATATGCAATTTGGAGCAATGCATTTCATTTTTTGTTCCATAATTTGTGTAGCTGTGAAAAATGCCACTTTTGGAATAACCTTAGAGAATAACCTGCTCTACTAAGTATCAGCATTGAATCCTTAAATTGGTAAGAATTAAATGGCTCTCTTAAAACAACCCCTAATGCTAACGCATCGGAGCAATTTTTCTTAACGTTAACGACAACTAAGCCCTCTGAAGTGAATGATGGAGGAACTTGTTAATGAGAAGAATGTTGTGACGCTCGCATTTTCATCCATCTTTGCTGTTGGCATGGCAATGGCTGCTACCTTAGGTAGGGTTGGTTTTGGAAATGGGCAAGAGGATCTAATCTAAAAGGTTTGCATTTCCGTCCATTACTGTCTTCAACTACCCGAAGTTAATTTCTGGACCATACGCAAGTTGCTTATCGTATTTTCTGCTCGATTTTGCCATCACAATTTCGGGCAGAACATCTGAGCCTTGATGTAGCCTTCAAGTGCGCGAAAGTGAGATCATGCCAACTACAGTTAATCACGTTCCTTCACCTTTTAGCTTGCAAAAGATCTCTCTGAAAAATTGCTAGCAGCTGCCAAGGCAGGCGAAATCGAATACTCAGAAGTGGAACGGTGTATTCGAGAGACAGACCGTCTTCGACGTTCGCTCCAGCTGATGGCAGAAGAGAAGATCGATGACCGCCTCTCTGAGTTGGCCATGGCGATTCGCGAGGCTGTATCAGTGGGGGTGAGGCTTGCTCAGATGTCCGAGTGGATTGAAGAAACTGAGACGGTGACAAAGGCCAACTTCCCCACAGCACCCGATGAGATTGTGATGGATAGTCTCGCCAGTATTGCACCTGATGAGGCGATCAGTCGACTTCAGGTAACACAATGGTCTTGGTTGGTAGCTCATTTAGAAAAATGTAAATATTTACTTGACACTACGAACCAACGTTCATTTATCCTTGCTTTTATGCTAGAAATACTGCAACAGCATAAATACACACACGAGGGCACTTGAAGAGGCAGAAGAACGGCTGGAGGAACTAAAGACGAAGGGCTTGAAGTCCGTCAACATCTCTCAACTCGAGATGGCTATCGCGGAGACCAGAGAGCGCATAAAAGTGAGTTTATTCAAATTTTCATCCTTGAAGTCGACAGAACACTGGAAAAGTAGTCCTTCAATGAAGATTGATAGCTGAATTTTGGAGGACTTTTAGTCTGACAAGTAGGCTGCATGGTTGCTTCCAGAGTGATTAACTCTAAGGAGTTGTTTTATCTGCAGATGTTCTGTTAGAGAGAATTACATAACTGATGTGTTGCTTTTGAACGAACAAAACGAAATTTTTAGGTGATGTTGGAGCAAACGCGAAAACGCGAACAGCATCTGTTGGCCCAGAGACGGACACGTGAAGAGACGATGGAAGCAGCCAATGTTCTTGAGACATGGTTACGTGAAGCAGAGGAAGTAATCACCACCACCCGGGAGACCATGCTACCCCTGAATGCCATGACTATTGCAGACGCTACCCGCCTCAGCCAGTGGAGCCTAAATCGACTGGAACAGCAGCGGAATGCCCATGAAGCCTTCTGTGAAGAACGCTTGGCTCAGGGCGAAGAATTGCTCAAGAATATGGATGAGTGCTTTCGAAAATTTACTGAAATTTGGCCTGAAGTCTCTAATGTTCAGGATTCGTCCTCCAACTCGGAGATAGTGGTCTGCGCTCGAGAAGTTATTTCTCGTGTGAATCTTCTTAAACAACGGTACAGTGTGAGTTACTCGCTACTTAAATTTAATTCAGTAGAAGCCTAGATTTATGATGGGTCGTCTAAAGCATTCGTTGTCGCATATCCTTAGAAGAGTTGGAAAAATATTATTCTATTTTTGATAAAGTAAAGCGCTAATTGACGTAAATTTTAATTTGATTAGTGATTGATTGGGCCTGATTTTTTTATTTACTTGACAGGATGTCATTGCGCAGCTACCCCAGGCTCTGCTGGCCATTAGATTCGTGATAATCGACATGAAGATAGGCGAAAAGTTGACAGATGCATCAGAACGCCTAAAACAGGAAGAAATGCGCATCGAAAGTGGCGAGGAGGTGTCCCTCATTCTCAGTGAACATGAAGTAAGTAGAGAGGCTACCCCATTCACTCTTTGCCACTTTCGCTAACTACTAAGGCATACCTTTTTATTTTACAATGAATTTTTTTGCCATAAAATGTGTGAGTATCTTTTTCGTGCCAGAGCACACCCACCGGAAGAGGTGGACATTATCTTCAACCTGTTTGTGGCTTAAATCTGAATACCAATATATGAGCGTCGTAACAATTTTTACTGGTTTTACACTAAAGGCATTCCATGGAAAATTTCCTACCTTTATTTCATGAAGGGTAGAACTATTATACCGGAAGGTTTAAGTACAAATTACGAAGTTTCTTGTTTCGATGAAAGATAGTTGGTTAATGAGTGTACGCAGGCATGGAGACTTATTCTTTCTACAACAGAGCACGTCACTTTGGTATTAAAAATTATCATTTAGTCAATCTGAGTGATGGGCTAGTTAATGGACATTATCAAAATCAGAAAGGTGAATTGAAGGACAAAATACATTGCTGCCGTATGGAATGACAGGGAGGTGTCGATTCTGGCACTCCTTGGGGTTAAATTTCCACTTTGGTGAGCCAGGAAAATAAACCTGCGAAACCACAGCACCGAACATTGAATTCACAGGCAACTGAGAGTGTGTGGAATTGCAACAACACTTACCCATTTTGAAAATTTCACTGGATCTGAAGATTTGTGCTTGGGAGCTGTAGTGAAAAGAAGGGTGGGTGCAATGGCTATCATTTACTTTCATTGCTAGTTGTAAAACGCTGACCTAGAAGGAAAGCCACATAAAGAAGTGCGGAATTTAGAATGGATTCACTTCACTTCATTGCTCGTAGATTAGTGAGCAAATATCGAATATCCATCTGAGTGGGATCATAAAAGTTCCGTAGACAGCATTTTAACAAGTGCTCTTGAATGGTTGTTAATACTATTTTAGGAGATCATGGAACTGGATTAGTTGTTGAGGTTCCTTTAAGGGTTGTTGCAGATTCCTTCATTTGAAGTGTACGCCCTTCTTCCATTATGCTAGAGTTTGGAATTCATTGACAGAAATCTGGGTGATTATCCTTTATGATCGGGTTTGCTTTCCGGTGCCGCCAAGGAAGCGCTTCGAGTCTTTCCTGAAGGCGAAATAAGTCACAATACTATGGCAGGAAATGCAGTGCTGACGATGAGAACAACGACGGGGTGGGACAACTCTCCCAGCCTGAAGGCTATGCGGGTCAGCGAAAATACAAGGGCGGAGACTTAGGCGACCTTAGAATCAAAACAAAGAACTGAACAGATACTTAAAGCATTAAATCTCGTTATGCGTTATGGTTAATGGAATTCGCCGACCTCTGAATGGCAAGAGAAGTTATTATTAGTGGGCAGCGACACTATCACTCTAACCCTTGATCTAACTTCTTTCACTTACGGCTTTCAAATAACCTGTCTTTAAACAATTTGTGTTGGTGTTCTCTCGAGCCAAACATATTCTCTTCAAGTTATGCCTTTTCGATTTCTTTTGGTCAGGATTGGCGGTCACTTCCACACTTACGGTACAGTCAACCCTACGAACTTCATACCGATTCCAAGGGGGCTTTATCACTGGCGTAGAATGTATAAGACCAAAGATAACACACGCACAAAGCGAGGGTCGGATCGTGGGATATTTGAAAACTCCTTTCTTTGAATACACTAGGGAGTTCCTGAGCTATAAATGTCTTTAACAAACCCTGTTTGGTAATTGCTCCGCAGGCCTACTTTCTTGCACCTGACTTCATTGAGGAACTGCCAGCAATGATAGTTGAAATGGAGCACATTTTGGAGGACCTGATCAAACTTGAGCCCGACATGGCGTCCCAATTTGCAAAACGCACGGAGGTGCGAGGAAAAACTCTCTTCCAACTGAAGAATCGCGCTGAACATTTTGCTTCAAATATGCGTGATCTGCCAGAACGATGGCTCGATTTTGACTCCAAGTAAGAATTTCCTCCATTCGCTGGTGTTCCACTTCTGGGGCTGGGGATATCAGCGACTGGATCAGGCGTACAAATATGCATACGGTGATTGAGATGTAATTTTCTCACCTCAGCCTACATTGATAAACCCAGTTTATCGAATTAGAGCACAGTATACGTTACCCATGACGATATTGCTTCGGTGATCTTTCCAATTTCACCTAAAATTGAATATGTCGCAACTCCGTGTTTTCTTTTCCTCTCAGACTTGGCGGTCTCGAACAGTGGGCAAGCGAACTAGAAAATTTGGTAAACCAACTCTACTCAGAGGCTCTGCCGGGTAATGAAGACATGATGGATCCCAATATGGCTGCTGAGGTTGCTCAACGATATCGAGCCATGCTGAAGAAATTTGGGGAGATGGTCAACTCTACCGGTCTCAACATCTCCTTAGCAGAGAGGTTAAATAAGATCCTGCAGGATCTTATTGCTGAGGGTGGTCTTTCACCCTCGGAAATGGCAAAAAGACGCGCCTCACTGGCTCGTGTGTTGAACAGTCTGCATGACATCGAGACTCTCACGCCCAATGTGCTACAGACAGGTTAGAATTATGATGATCAAGAAATTCTGTGATCGTAGGGGTAATAAAAGGGTGAAGAAATGATTTTGTAACGTACAATAAAGCTGATGGCGATTTTTTTTCTGTTGCCAATCCTAACTTTATTTGTAGCTGAAAATCTGGTTAGTTCGCTGGACAATCAGGCGTCCAAGGCAAGCAAGCAGGATCACTCAAAGCGCATCCGAGCTCACATGGAGGCGATAACAAGTGACCCCTCCACAAAGGCCATTGACTCGGATGAGATGCGACGCCTGTTGGCAGAGCGGGAGGCACTGATTGCTAGGGTCAATGAGGAGAAGAAAGCTTCCCTTGCCTACCTAATGCAAATACCCACCTTAAACACCGCTCATACTTCTCAAATGCCTCCTGTAGAGGAGCGCTTCCTCCAGATCTGGGAGGATGCCGATCGGATGATGGAAGAGAAGGCGGCGAATCTTCGGACAGCTACCCAAGCCACTGAGGAGTTTGAAGAGGTGCGAAATCGTCTCTTCGGTCTCATAGGAGATGCTCAATTGCTGCTAAGGTGTTCCACTGATAATGTACACGGTTCTAAATCTACTGACCGTGCACCAGTTTACTCCTATGAGGCCTTTGCAACTCTCGCCGACAAGGAGGTTGAACATCATGACAACATTGAAAACATCGCCACATATGGACCTTCAAAGATTAACGAACAAACTGCCGCTATACAGGTGCATCTAAAGTCGTTGGAGAAGGCAGCGGCCGATATCATGAAACTGCGTGGGGCTGCTGGACTAATCGCTGAACAAGTGGGTCCTGAAAAGTCAGCCGAGCTTGAGTCCATTATTAACCAACTGGAAAGGGACATGACTCTCACAAAATCTGCCCTGAAGGAAAGACTAGCAGCTCTGGAGATGGCAAATTCACGATGGATGAATATACGTGAGCACACTCAACAGTTAGAGGAATCTCTAGAATCACAAGAAAGAACGCTTGCGGACCTGCGATCGCATATTGAAATCGCTTCGTTGGAAAACTGCAATGATGGTTCTAGTGCTTGCAATGCCTATCGAAAATACTTAGAAACGTATGCACAGTACTTACAAAATCTTCAGTTTGATGCAGCTAATTTGGGAGCAGAGATAGGCAATGTAGATTCTACTTTGGCTGCATTGTTGACGGTAGAGAGGGTGGATGAAAATGGCAACCTTGTGACGGAGGCATTGGAGAACGTCGACCCTGAGGTCACTGCTGCTCAGAAGAATTTGAGTGCTCTTCTCATTCGTCAAAGGGGGATCAATAAGGCATGCCTTTCCTTAGAAAAAATAGTTACTTTGACACTAACGGCTCTTGAGGAGTATTCAAAATTAAGCAGTGCTGTAGAGGCTTTCTTAGACCGTGTTGAGGCCGCCCGTAATGTGGAATATACCTTCTCTGACCTCGATGAGGTGATGGCGGTTAGGGAGCAATTGAAAGAACTGTTAAAGATGAGACAGGCGGAGATTGGCAGTGCTGCGTGGAGGATGCGTGAACTTTCCCCATTCTTGAAGAAAGTTTCGCAGGCTGCTGTAAGTGTCTGAACAAAAGCGAATTCTATTTCATGAAGGACGTTCAGATCAAGCGAGAACTTTTGTTGTTAAAAGAGTAGTAATTGCAGTTGGAATTTTATGTTTTGTTGATGTCTTCCCAGTTATCGAATCTGGTGACTTATGAATGGTTTAATCAGTACATCTGGATTAGTTGTGCTTACTTAAACGAAAAGACAGGCTGTTAGACCCCGACAAAGAGTTTGCAGGAATTATCGTTAGAAATAGAATCGCAGCAATCAGGATCGCTTCCAATCGAATGTTTCGCCGCAGCGGCACGTTCAACTTCCCTGGTACCACTGACGTTCCCTAGATGGGATGAGGTTTTACACCTTTCTTAACAGACTTGACTTGTCACTGCGCTCGCTTGCAAAGACGCTTTGTTGTTACCTTCCATTTTCATGAAAGATGCGGTAGTTGGTCATGTGCATCAGTTACTACTACTTAAAGGACAACTGCTGTGGTGTCGTTATTTGAACTAAACATTGTTTTTGTTTGCTGTTTAAGGACAATTTAGCATTATGAATCGTTATATAATTAAGTCATCTCTGTGGTGTGTTAATTAAGTGGGTCATAGTGCATCTTTTTGCACCTTATTTAGGCGGCAGATGCCAAATTGTTGCAAAGTCTGGAGGCAGCTGATGGATGGTTGTCGACGCAAACCTCATACATAGAAGTCCTCATCACTGATTGGTGTATGTGGTCCAATGAGATGGACAAGATCGCAGCAGAGCTGCAGCAATTGGCTGATAATGTGGAGCGCGTGGACACAGACGCTGCTGTGGGCACAACACAGCGTGCTTACCAAGCAGCCCGTCAATTGGAGCAGGTGCAACTGTTGAGGGCGCGTTGGAAGGCTTTGCGGCCACAGACGGAGACAGTGCTAACCCTCCTCTCGGGTAGTTCTAAGGGTACCCATCTCACCATGGAGTCGGAACACATTGTCCCACGACGTTACACCAAGATGGGAGATCAGATACGAGATGTTTTCGCTATTCTACAGGACACAAGTACCAAGTTGGAGGGGCAGTTGAATGCACAGGACAAATTTATCAACGATGTGGAGCAACTCGTTCACATGGTCTCCATGGCTGAGAAGCGACTAGCCAAAGTGACCGGAATCTGGATTCCCTCGGCACCCACTCTTTTGGCTCATTCTACTCAATCCACTCCTCAACTCCAATTCGGTAAGTTTCATTTTAGAGTTTAAATGAATGGTTGGATTCTGTGTCTTTCTTCAAAACAGTTACACAGTTATGTATGCATGTGAGTATTTATTTATTTAAGTCGTGTTTGAGCATGCAATTAGATGGGCGAACGAAGAATGAGAATGCAATGATTGAATACAGGTTAGCTCAACTGCGCATGAGTAATGGGAGCAATATTTCAAAACTACTAGGAGAAAAGGAAAAACCACTCCTTGAGCACGCCCGTGAGGACGTGTATGCCCTTATGCACTGTAGCGGCAGAGTTGCGTTAATGGGCGGGTTACAGGAAGAGCTTGTAAGCCCATGCACATATGTATGCATGCATGAGTGAGGAATCAAATTTGTGGCTCTCTTCCGGAAACACTTCACCTACACATAAACAGATAAATATGCAACTCCTCTCTCTCTTCCTCCTCTCCTTCCTTCGCGTTCTTTCACGTTGTTACTAGTGCTGATGATGACCCGATTTGCAGTTTTAACGCGTCTATGCGCGGGAAGGCACAACACGAGGATGCGCTAACCACTTGGGCGTATTCTCAGACCAACTAGCAAGTCCTCGCTTCTGATAGTGGGGTCATTGCAGAGGCCCAAAATAGTTGCCTGATGACTCACTCTGTAAACAGCTAATTACAGTTGGGCGGTGGTCCAACTTTGTAATAGAGATTGGTGATGCTAAAGCTGATGGTAGAATGTGGTTCAAGTACCTTTTAAACACTTACCTCTCCTAAGCACATCATTATTGGGCATAGAAATGGTGTGAAATTGGCAGCTGAAAGTATTTTGTGATCAAAGGATATAGTTCACCGAAAATGATATTTGCATACGTTCTCCTGCTGCTAATGACTTGAAGTGTTACGATGCCTCTTCTTACCATTGTAGACGATAATAAACCCACAAGGGATTCAGATTCGGCAAATGAAAACGCACTTGACAGCTGCATTAACTTAACAGAGGCAGTTACAGAATTAAAGTCCCTTTTCATTGAGATAACTGGCTCAATACGTGCAAACATAGACTCCCTCATATCGCAAGCTAAGCAATTTTATGCTGAAGAAGCCACTGTCCGAGATCGACTACAATACTTACTACGAGAAATGAGCATTCTTGCAATCCGCACACTGAAACGCCAGTACATCTGTGAAGTGAGTCTTACCTACGAGCAAAACCGGACAAATTGGGTCAGTAAACTGCGTGGGCTCCGATTGCTGCAGAGACAGCTGATACAAACCGGGACCAATGTTGAAATTCTCACTGAACTCCATAAAACCGAAGATGCATCCAAGCCTTTGAAAGTACTTCCAGTTGACATGAGTTATCAGGCTGATTGTGATAAGTGGTTGGAGACTCTCAATGAGGCAAAAGTTCAAATTCTGGGTTATAAACTGATCGCAGACGTTCCAAAAGTTCCAGAATACCTTCTAAGCGTTGAGGAGGATATCCATTTTGAGCCGGAGTACACGCCGCAGGAATTGGACACTGCATCGATTGTAGCAGGCATCTTCTTTGTGACAGGAAGACGAGATGAGTTGATGTCTGCCACTTCCTCCTCGCGTGAACCCTTTAGCTTCTATGTGGATGTGGGTCGTCTCATAAGCGATTGTGACCGTATGAAGACAGGCCTGATGGCCCATTGGAACTCCCTTGAAGTCTACTGCACCAACTGGCTCCGACTTGTGAGAAGAAGTGAAGAATTAAGTAAAAATACTGCTGAATTTTTGGGAAAGACGTTGTCTTTGATGAAAAGTGCTGTAGATCTCACAGACACACGCCTAGAAAGACCAGGAAATCACAAAAGATTAGACGAAATCATTATCCAACTCAGGGAATGGCAGAAGGCTTTTGAATCACCAACGGAGGTTGAAAACTTGGCTGATCTTCCACTCGTCTCTTGTGTACTTGAATTGCAAGCAGATGGAGAGAAATTGATCGAATCAGTAGCACCTCGAGCTCTGGCAGTCAGAACCCTATTGGATGCTAACCGAATGGTTCTGTTCAATGCATCAGTAAAGCTATGCGATTTTGCATATCGTTTGGAGAGGCTAGTCAAAGCGTATGACAGTCGAGAGACGGCAATCAAGGAGGTAAATAAGATTGTGAAGGAGGTTGAACAGGAAGCGGGATTCAGATCTGTCAGCAACTTGGCTGCCAACTTACTGGGCGTCGAGGTCTCCTCAGAAATATTGGCTGCTGATGAACTGGTTGGTACTAGCAATCTCAAAATGGAGTTGTCTTATAAGTCGGATCTAGACAGCCTTTTGCGAATGGTTACGTCCTCTCAAGATCTCTCTACTTTACTTGGAAGATTATCGAAAGCTCGTACTTATTTGAGAACACATTTGCCATCAAAAATGATGCATCTACAGCAAGCTAGCTCCGCAGCTATTTGCGCTTTTGAGGCGATTGTGAACGAGGACCATCCAAAGCCCAGTCTTGAAAGATTAGCAGACGACAAAGTGCGAAACGGGATCGTTACAAAGTGTCAGCGTCTCTCTGACCTTATGGACGAGGCCATAAAGAATTTTGAGAATAAGCATCAGGCGATGACCTTGATTGAAAGCAATATCAGTCATGTTTGCACGTGGATGGATGAACTCCTCCCCAGGGTTCAATCAGCAACTCATCTCCTCTCCGTTTCTGCCAACGAATCCGCCATCCCTGAGGCAGTCCAATTTGCAGAGACGGTTGAGGATCCCTCTGATCTGCTGGATGTCTTCAATGCAGAGCGGGAACACTACGCGAAGATAATTGAGCTAACCCAAATAGAAGTGGATTCTGACAGTGAAATTCTTTCTTCTGTCTTCGAATCGCAGCTGAAATTCATTACAACACGGTTCGGTGATCTAGTTAGTGCTGTTAGTGGCATGGAGGACCTTTGGTGTGCCTATCTGGACCAAGACAAAGCAGTGAATCAAGAACTTTCCCGTGAATCAGATAATCTTAAAGTACTTACTGATCGATTGGATAAAATCAACCTTCAAAGTGGACCCGTTCTACTGTTGTCAGCCTCAACTAAGGAACGTACAGATGCAATGCAACTTCTAGCACAATCCTTTGAAGAAACCCAGCAGATACGGAACGATTATATTGATATGATCACACGAGTTGAAGCTCTTTCTAATCGCTGTTTTAATCGAGACACCTTCAGAATGCGTTTAAAACGAAGAAAACTGCTGAAAGATCAAATGGCTGAGGCAGTAGTGAAAGAGCAGCAAGTAAAGGAGGAGGATAAGCTAGAGGAACAGCCGGACAGTCTTTCTAAACACTGTGCCAATTTGAGTTTTAGACTGGCCTCTGTAGACACATTGATTAAGCGGTGCGCTGAGGGTATAGGCAAGCGAATGATGAAGCTCCAGACTGACTCTGCTAACGTCTGGTCAAGTGAATTTAATGCTCTCTCGGAGGGTGTGGAAAAATTGAATAGTTTCGCGGAGCTTCCGCTTCTTCTTAAATCTGATTGCCGTGATGCCGTGTCCACCTTCTTTGCGGAGCGAAAGCATGCTATTCAGGTTTGTTTATGTCCTCTCAATACCTGTCACGTGGCTCATTCTTATTGCCCATGTGTTTATTGTTCTCTTCCTTATTTCTTACTAGGAATTTCAGAACTGTATTAATAACCTGGAAACAGAGTTATCGTGTGCTGTTGGCCTCTACAAGACAATTCAACGCTTGTCTCACTATGAGCACGGCCCTGTGACTTCCAACACAGGTGATGAAGTGAACAGTAGAAAGAACAGGTCTATGCTTGTAGCGCTGAGGCAAAATCTCATCGAATATGCAATACATGTGGGTGAAATGGAGTCTTTTCTGTTGGAGGTTTTCACATCCATATCACGCTTAGAAGCTGCCTTCTCTGAAATGGATAAGCGGTTTTCAGTGATTCTCACCGCCTTGGAGGATTCATTTGATCTGCCCAAATGCGAGACTTCTCTTGCTCAAATCGCTGTATGTCTGTTTGGCAACGTTTGATCAATTTGAAGAGAGGACAACTTTAAAGTACAGACCATTAAGTATGAAGTATTTAACACAATTTTAACAGTATTCCATGTATAAAGGTTGTTTATCATTTTTATTTTAGTCAATCAAGAGCGATCTGGATCCCATACGGTCGGAGCTTCGTTCGCTCCAGTCACTTTCCGATCAGTTGCACGTCGCAATGGCAGCAGCTACATCGAAAGGCATTTCTCTTATCTCCATCCTTGACACCAACACCAAACAGGCGCCGGCACCATCGCAGGAAAGCGTCTCTCACTTACTTCCTGAAATTGCTTGTTTCGATAAAAAACTTCGCTGGATAGTGGCCACCTTGGAAGAAGCTAATGGTCTCATTTCAGCTCTTACCAATGCCTTCAAGCATCATGAAAACAAAGTCACAGAAGCGCGCACCTGGCTTCATCAATCCGAAATTTCGCTGAAGTCCAAATCCGAAGAAGTTGACAGCATTCGTTCTCTTGACAAGGACGATGTTGAAATGCATCTTATGCTGATTCAGGTAGGCATGCCACAAACTTGGCAACCCAAAGTAGCATTTTTCCGATTTGATTTATTTTTGTTTGTGTTTCAGAACCTTATTTTGAGTTTTAGCGATGGGAAAAGGCTTGTGGACGTCGTGGAGTCTGCGACGACAGATCTGATTACAAGCGCTTCGGAAGTGAATCGTTGGGTGGGAAACTTTCGACAATCTCCATATTTTCATTCCGCAACTTCCCATTTTGCATCACCTCTGTCACAGTTCCGAGAGGGTCTGATGAATACGAGTCAACAAATTAAGGAGGATCTATCGACGTATCTCAGTCTTTTAAATGAAACAAAGGAACGGACTGAGATTCAAATGGCCAAGTGTTCCACCTTCTGTGATAACTGCTCCCGCTTCATTGAATGGCTCACTAATTGTGAGACAAAGTGGAATGTTCCGAGTGTTGGTGAAAGTGACAATCCTGTTGTTAATAAAGATATGTTTCTTTGGGAAAAGCAGACCTTGAGCGCAACTTATAAAGTGAGTACCGGTGTACGTGTCACTTCATCCACTTCTTGTAAAACCTTAAACTAATTTCTTTTCAGGAAAGGCTGACGGATATACAGGTGCACGAGTCCCTTCTAAAGGAGTTGTTTGGGTCAGCTGAACTTGATTATGCAACAGATCAATCTTCAGTTGACGATGACACTCCTGCATCGAATGCTCGCCTTCTTGACGCACGAAAACGATTACAATGGCTTCACCAATGTGTGACTACTCGTTTAGCCTTAATTGAAGAGGACATTAAGAGGACAGAAGAAGTGGAGGCACTGTCACAAGCTTACCAACGCACTATTGAAAGCATTAATAGGCGCTTTATCACGGCGGAATGGGACATTGTGGAACTAGCCACTTGGGAAAAACTCAAACCTGTCACCTCTGAGCCCATCCTGGAGATGCTTGAAGAGGTGATGTTGCAGCTTCCCCACAATCTCAAAACACTGGTAGAACTCTCACACGAACTTGAAGCAGCAATAGAAAATGTGGTCGACACATCCAGTTCGCCTCACCAAACTGACGAGGCTAAGGAAATGCTTGTGAGACTAAAAAACTTGCAGATTTACACGGAAAAGTACATTAAAATATGTCTTGTACTCTCAAATCTCTATCGAACGCTGTCAAATGACATTGACAAATTTAAAACACGAATTTCCGAGAAGGCCTACATCTCTGAATTAGTCTCCCCTGATGTGTGTCGAGTGACTAATGAGGAGTGGGCTTCCCTTCGAAACGATATTCTCGTTGAACAGTCTGTACTTTGGCAAATTGAAGAGGAGCTTCAAAGCGAGAGTTTTGAGAACAAGTTCAGTGTCACTAAGGCTGCGTTTGATGAGTTTTTGAGTGCCATAAGCGACGTGGCTCAAACCTCGACCTCTCAGTGTTCCGCCGTTCGTCACTTCAAGTCGAAAATGGAGGAATTGCGACAAGTGTTTGACAATTGTAAAAAAACTGTTACAGGCTATCAGCATGGCCTGGAGATGCAACTGAATAAAGGCGACCTCTACCATGATGAATTGAATATGTGTCAAAAACTTCTTAACGAAGTTGAGATAGATTTGGAGGAGGTTTTGAATACAGCTTACCTCCGAGGTGATATTAAGACTTGGACCACGGATACACAGGACCTGGTGCACAGGGTAACGGCAATCGAGAGGCGTCTATGCGACTTTCAGACTAAAGAACTGGAGGATTTGATGGTCATCTCGCAGTCTAATGAAGAATTTTTGCCACTAGCAGTACAGGCCACTCAGGATCGCTGGAGTGACCTGGTTAATCGGGCAATGGCTGCCCGGGGAGCGGCTGAATCAGCACTCAGCTCCATTCAGGAAGCAGTCGATGCATTTCTGAATATGATTACCTGGATCCGCGAGACGGAAGATAAGTTGAATGCGATTATGAATACACCCACGGAGGAAAAAAATAGGGCTCCTACAGAAGGTGATGAATCACGGTTCTTGGTCGACGAATGGAGTAGCCTCGTTGATACCAGAGCTTTACGGCTCCCAAAGCTGACGGTACGATTGTTTTCTGCCAAGGAAATTATGTTGAGTTGAATTTTTGCATGAACTTAAGTAAGCAATCACATTTATGGTGTGACTCATGTCATTCAAACTGGAATCAAGACCTTCTAAATATTTCCATCATCTAAAGAGGTAGAAAACTGTCTGACCGATACCACAGATAATCCGGAGTTTCACTGACTCCATTCCAATTTAAATACTATTAAACTTGGAGCATTTTTGTTTTAGAAACTTCACTCTGAATCAGTGGCAAGAAGGAAGATGGTGCTTTCAACTACGGAAGATTTGGGCAAACTAAAAGGAACTCCTCCGTCCAAGGCTGAAGCTGCAGTGATTCGAAGTCTGGAGCTAGAATTAGCCGACGCCTATGCTGATCTGATCGACCATTGTCAAACTGCGATCAGCGGTGAACAAGAGGTTCTCAGGACCACACAGGCTGCTCTAGAGGATGTAAACTCGGCTCTCAGCGCCACGGAAAAGCTCTCAGATCGTGCCACTAGCCTCCTCTTTCGTGACGACTTAGGTACCTCACTGGAATGGCAGCAGACTTGTTTTAACGACTTCATAAATATTGAAGCGGCCACTGTCCGTGAATTGATTAACCGGTCGAAGAAATGGGTTACTTTGTTACCACAACCTGATGGACAACTTGCAGAAACGATCAACTTGCAATTGATGGAAGAGCTGGAGAAAATTGAGACTAAGGTAACAGAGCGAGTACAGATATTGGAGAAGCTTTTGCACAATCTCTCCGAAATTTCCCAAGGAATTTCTGCTGAAGAAGCCTGGCTATGCGAGCTCAGCACAGCCATGAATCCAACTCTTAGGAATACTCCAGATACCTTGGAAAAGAAACGTGAAATGGTACAGTTTTTCGAGGTATGCTCTTAGTCGGAGGCTTTAATTGTTAAAGACGAATGATCAATGCAGCATTGACTCTTCTACGTGACGTTATTTTCAGACTAAATTGGGTGAACTTGATGTCCATATGGAATCCGTGGGGCGCATCTCCAGCGCTTTGGATAAACTAGCAACGAGTGATGCTGTCGCTATTGCCATACCACCAGAATTTGTCTCACAGGTGCAAAATTTGCGTCAGAGTCTGGCACTTCAACGACAGACTGCCGATAAACAACGATCACGGTGGCTTCAGGTGGTAGATCAGCATGTCAACTTCATCCGTGACCTTTTCAGCACTTATAACTGGACATTCTCTCTTGCTACCGAGTCCATGAGATGCTGGAATATCTTTCAAGATGTCTGCAAGTCGACGCCACCCAATTCCGAGATGATTTCGTGGATCAGAGAGGCTTCCATATGCGTGTTTAGATTCCATAAAATTTCGAGTGAGGTCCAAAGACTAGATGGAAAATTTGCCCTCGTTTGTACAGTAGGGAGTGGAGAGGCAAGCACAAGAATGGGTGCGTGCTTGAGGAATTTGGAGAAGTTCTTAAAGGCATCTGAACAATTGGAGGAAAGGCGGCAGTTGTTGCTGGAGAAAATCTCCCATCATGTGGACGAATTTAGCAGAGGCGTCCAAAAGTTTTCGCAATCGGCTGAGGCGTTCTCTACTAGGTATAACCAAATTCTAAGCGCTTCCATTGAGCCCACGAACTCAGTGTTGCACGTATTGTTAGAGGATGTTGAAAGTAGCCTATCACTGGATTTAGATAGTCTGGAAAAAGAAAAGGCTGCTATTCAAGCTCTTGCTGTGGAGGCGTGTAGTGACGAATTTACTCCACCCATTTTGGAACCGCTGGAGGAAGAAGTAGAAGAGGATGTCAAGTGGGAGCAAAAGTCAATTCAAAAAACGGCAGATCCACCGGAAAATCGAGTACTGGATGCGGATAAAGTGCTCGGTGAACTGACTGAAGCCAAAGCTTTACTAGTCGTTTCACTTACTGTAAGTTCTATCTTTGTTCTTTAGAACATCACGCTTTAAGGCCTTTTGGTTTTACTCTTCAAGAATTTCCGTCAAGCATTTTTCCATGTTCATTTATGCAATAATGAGCTCTCTTTGAAATCTTTATTATACAATTGATTTGATGTGATTTTAGAGCCTAAACGAGGCGGCGGATGCACTTGCCGTTGCTCGAAAGCATCAGGGTCAGGCACAAAAATCTTGTCAGGATTGGCTTTCTGAGGCTTCAAAACAATTGGAAACTTGTAGAGCTTTCCTTCTCGAACAAGCATCTTCTCATATGGTGTCTCTGAATCAGAGAGTCAACAGTCTTCAAATGCGACAAGGGAACTTAGAGGTTGGGTTAATGACTTCAAATCCTCGGTATTAAAAATAGTCTTAACTATCACTTTTATTTGTAGGTGCTTTTGGAGTCACACAAGGAAAACAAATGTCGGTTTGTCCATGCATCAGAAGCTGAAGCTGAAATGCTTAACTGCCGCACACGATTTCTACAGTGTCTCAAAGAAGAATGTGATAGATGCAAAATTGTCCCTAATTCTTCCCCAGTCGACGACCGTTTGGAGGCCACCGCCCTTAATCATGCTTGGGAGAATCTTGTCAGTGAGATTCAGACTCTTCAGAACTCTATGTCAGATAACCTAGCAAGGTGCAAGGAGGCTTCTGAATGTATCGTTTGGATGGTAGAATGGCTAAGGAGCCTTGAAAAGCGTATTCGTATGGAGGATGTTCCACCCATAGGCAACTTCAGACTCACTCTCACCCATCGTGATCATTGTCTAAGACCCTATCTCGATGAAGTCGAAGTGGTTAAAAAAGCTGTGAATTCACAACAGGATGTTATAAAGTCTTGGCAGGTATGACAGCCTCATTAGGCTCTTACTAAAATTTGACAAAAATATTGCTCCGTAGAACTACTTATATGTGTGAGGTAAGTAGTATTGGAGACCAGTAGTGATCAATTGTGGTCTTGTGTTTATGCAAGCGTACCATTGAATAGTTAGTAAAACACCTCAGAGATCAGTGGTACTTTACCTTTAAGGTCAATGCCTTGAGCCCCACAATCATGTGAAAATAGGCCGAATCGAAAGGCCTTAGCTTTATGCTGGACTGTTAAAGGTCGCTTTGTGGCTGAAATTATAATACATCGAGGAGCAGTATCCATTACTACTCTTTACGGGAAGATTGGCGATTATGAAACTACTAGCTGTTGGCAAAGACAATGGTAAACGAAGCTTATAAGGTGTTATCATGAATGTTTGTATTGCCCTTACCAGACAATAAATGAAGAAATCTGCACTAGGAGACTTGAATTTGATGAGAAGGAGAGAAAGATCTCTGCCTTCCAATCAGAGGCTGATTTGGTTGCCCAAACCCTTCGACCCCGTCTTGATGCTGCAATGGCGATGGCAAAGGTAATTGCAGTCGCCCCTTGAGATGGCACTAGTTATTATAACAGCTATTTTGTCGACTCAGTCATACTGATTGGCAATTTTACCCATTTATTCCTTCCCGCGGAGGTGGAGTTGCATTTTTCAAAAAAAAATTTGGAAACATTTTCAAGAAGACGAAGCTGGAACTATCACCTTCTGAAAAGAGTCTCTTTTTTGATTTACTTTAAATTTTAAGCGAGGATTTTATGATGAGTGTTCATGAACTATTTTAGAATTCACTTCAACGAAACGTTCAAGGTCTGGATTCCCTCAATGAAGTTTACCAAAATCTAGTGGCCTACAACAGCTGGATCGTCGAAGTCCAGCAACGAGCTTCTGCCGAAAACACTTCAATCCCACAACTCTTTGGTCAAGAAGTGGATAGCACACTGGAGGAGGATCAGAAGCGTGTCGCCTCTCTCATCAGTGCGGTTGAGCATTTCTCCACTGAATGTCAGTGGGCTGGGGACAACGTCTGCCCCCTGTCTGCCGTTTGCTTCCTATCCACTGACCTGCTTCCCCATCTCAATGTGGTCTGGCAGTCTATCCGAGCTGAGGTCCAAATGGTGAGGCAGAAGCACCAGAACGACACTGAGGCACTAGCTGACTTCTCTTCACGTTTAAAAATTCTTGAAGCGTGGCTGGGTGAAAAACAGGAGCTATTTGAGGGCATTCAAGGGGAGATAGAACACTTCAGCAGCCCTTCAATTAGTACTTACACTGAAGAGTTGGACAAACAGATTGCTCAACTGCCTCCAGTGGAGGCTGCTGTTGAATCAATAGCCCTTTACCTTAAGAAGAAGAAAACACTGGTGTCGGACGTTTCTACCCTCCTCAAACACCTAAACGTGAGTTTCATTCCGTACTTTGGTCCTAATTCTATGGGCGCTTTGTAATTGTAGGTAAAGAATCGTGATTTTGACGTCTTGCGGGAGAGACTTCAAGAGCTCACTGCGCTGAATATCGAAGGCATCTCGCAGGCAACTTCAGAAACTGATGAGCTAATGGGAGGATACTGCGACTTGAAGACGAGAGTGTGCCAGCTATCGGAGAAATCGAAGGAAATCTTGTCCCACCATCAGAAATTGATGGAGGCATTAAGTGCCGATCAGAGGTGGCTTGATGAAATTAAACGGGCCCTCCTCAATTCGTCTGATTTCTCCGGTGATCGCTACGCACTGGTCACTAGGATGGATTGGTTAAAAGTAGGTTAATTTGAATGAAACAATATTTTTAAGTGTTTGCTCTCCGAATGGAACAGCTGTTAGGGCATAGGCTTCCTTTGGACATCACCTGAGCCTTAACTCTATAACACTGAACTTCTCTATCCTCTGCAGCTGACTTCAGAGTTGCATGCTCCACAACAGGATGGCCTTACTTGTCACCCTAATCTCTGCATTTTACCCTCTCCTCAAGCAAGCAGTGGGTTCCAACACCACAGTTGCTATCCCTTCTTTTGCCCTTCTCTACTTCCTAAATGCTCTTCTTATTTCGCCTTAAGTGCAAATTATAATGACAGTATAAAATTCACCTTCTCACTCATTTTATTAAACTCTGCGGATGTCAAAATCTTAATTCTTGTGTAGTGAAAATAACCGTCCATCGGAACCCTACACTAACATTGTCCCATAGCCATTGCGTTTGTTTCATAGTGGGACTTCTGAAACGTTTGACAGGCCTTAGCACTGATAAAAATGTCATTCTATAGACATGTTGAAGTTTTTTTACAAAATGTTACTATATTTTAACTAGTAGATCCTCTAGGAATGATAACAAAGCATTAAAACGTGTATTTGCGATACTTTTTAAAGAAATGCCTGGTGAGTTACCAAATTTTTTGTTGTCTGTTGTATGTGCTGTCATATTGCATGAGTTGTGTCAAGCTAGAAAAGTTAAAATGGATGAGGTTGACCTCAGCACAACCCCAAATCTTGTTTTTTTTGAAACTGTGTTTACGACGGGCTCCTGCTGCATTTCCACAAGCACTTCAATTTAAGATACCACTGACACCTTTCGTCATCAGTCGAGAGTGGATTTCAAAAAGCCTGTGAAAGCTTTAGCTCAGATGCAGTTCAGTAGATGGTCGATGCAGTGACTTCATGATCACGGCAAAACATTCCCCCGGCCTAGTAGTCGGCTGGATGGTAGACGAACTAGCACTACTAGCTGACTTTTTCTTTAATGGTCTCTGGATGGGCCCTTGGCGAGCACGTGGATCATGCATGATGTGACGCCCTACTATGGGTGGCACCCGCCAATGCCCCTCAAACAGACCACTGGGTTTGTCTTAAGGTAGTCACATAGCGGCGTATTTTCTATTCAATAAATAACCGAAGATATTTGAGATGATTTCTTACGATGCTAGAATGGCACGACACACCTAGACTGTTCTCGTTGTCAACCAGTGACCTTATCACTTACATGCGTGCATGAATCAAGCACCAAAGTGAATGTCAAGTTCCATATGTTCACATTTGATGAAACTTTTGTCTTTCCTTTTTCCTACAGAATGTTGACACGGTGTGTCAAAAGGGCAATAGAAGACAGGCTGACCTGAAGGAGGCGTGTGTTCGTTGTTTAACCACTTCGCCTTCTGATCTCGCCCCAGCCTTGTTGGCAGCCACGAATAAACATTTAAGCGAATTTTCCAACCTCTGGGAAAAAATAGTCACTACACACACCCTCTATACCTCAATTCTTGCGGTTTGGGGAAAGGTAGACAATGCAGCAGCAGAGTTTGATACAATTTTTCAACGTTGTCAGGAGTCTCTTGCAAACTACGAAGTGCCTTACTGTGTAAATTCATCCGACTTTCAGACCAAAATAGTCGTACTTTCTTCCACACTTGACGTACTTAATGGTGTGAATGATGTGGACTGCGGTGCATCAGGCCTCATGCTAGAGGCTTCAGCGCTCAGAAACAAGTTATCACAACTCTTTGAGGACTATACGCAACTAAAATCCATCCTCACAGCAATCCCAACTGAAGAGGATCCGAGTTTGATCTCGACGATCGCTCAGCGATCCAGCGAGATAAAACGTCTTGGCCAAACCTTACAGCAGAAAATTGCTACATGGCAGAAAATGTCTGATCAATTTAGTGATTTTGTAAAGGAAAGTGAATCGCTGGGAAAAGAAGTCAACGAGTTCGACAAGCAGGTGGAAGCCCTTGTTAAGGATGAAGAATTCGCCACCTCAGTTGTTGCTGTAAAAGATTTGATTCGAAGATGCGAACTGTGTATGGAGAGCCATGGCAACTTTGCAGATGCTTTAAGGAAGCTGAAAGGGAAACTTTCTCCACTGATACCTCACACGAGCAACTCAATCATTCTTGAATTGCAAGGAGCGCTGACAGATCACTTGACACAATATACCTCCACCCAACAAGTCGGCAGATCTCTAATCAAGCGATCTAAGGAGAGGCTTGACATCGATATCAAAATGAAAGCTGATTTGGGACGTCTCAGTGCTGCACTTTCTGACACTGAGAAAATTCTTGTAAAATTAACTACTCTTGGCCGTCTGATACCACAAATGTCATTCCCAAATTCCCTCTCCCTCTCAACCTTGCCGTGTTCAGAGATGTCTTTCAGTTTTGTCAAGTTTTCAAATGCTGTTTTGGAGTACGTAAGCAAGCAGAAGCAATCTGTTGTTAACCATCATGAGCAGGTTTCCAGATTTCAGGACGAATTAACTGAGCGGAAGAAAGAAATTCACGATTTAATCAACCAAAGTATGCTTGAAGATGAGGAGTCTAATATTACAAGAAATGGCGTGCAAGATCGCCTTGACGAACTTATGGAACGAGCTGAGCAAGTGAAAAAAGACGACAGTGCATGTGAAGCCTTTATTCTTGAGAGTAGCCTGTTGATAACCAAAGTTGTCAATGAACTTGGCTCTTGTATAGACACCTTTGTGCATAAGGAGAGTGATTCTAGGCTAGTTTCCGATAACTTCTCGACCAATTTTGAGATACAACTAACAAGTTTAAATGCATTGTCGTCGAGCTTGAACTTCGATACCCCTCTACTTTCATCGATTAAAAAGATTCATAAGCGGCTTCCAACAGACGATCAAGAATGGAAGAACTATATGAGTTTGTATGATATGCTACTAATCGAATTCAGTAGCCTCCAGCAAAGGGTGGAGCATCTCAAAGCTACGCTACGGGATGAAGTTAATGAAATGAATCGGGTAGCAGATCTACAAAAACAAATGACTGAACTTCAGTCAGAATATGTGGCCAGACTGTCACAAATTTCGGCCTACGTGCAACAGACGTCAGCATCACTCGATTTGGCGTACGATGAAAAAGTGTTGTCTCAACTCAACACTCATTTAACATTGATCAAGTCAGCAAAGGTAGATTTGAAATCTGCAATCACTGAATACACTAACAAAGCCAGCGTTCTTTTATCTGCTCTCTCCGAATCGGTGAAGTCATATTCCTCTCATCGAAATCTACCCGTAGGCATGTTGGTCGCTCGTATAGAATCCCAAAAAGGCCACTTTGAGGATGCTGAACGTCAGGCAGAAAAGGTGGAAAAAGAGATCACTGAGGAAGTAGTCCATTGGGATGAATTCCTTGCACAGTTGAAGGCATTCCAGCAGTGGTTGTGTGCCCGTGATGTGGAGTTAGAAGCAGTCTCAGCTGCGGAAACCCTTGCTGAACGCACTAGTGGATTGCGTAATCTAGATGAGATTGTGCAAAAGAATGGAAGTCCAATGCTTGACAAAGTTACCGCTTGTGGTTGTACGCTACGGTCTCTTCGGCCTAACCTGGCTGTCATTAAAATTGTCACTACCTGGATTACTGATCGTTATAACATTCTATTAAAAGAGGTGTCTGAACGGAGAAATAGATTGAAAAATATGATCTTAGCCGAGGAGCAGTTGGACAGATCTGCCACTAGCTGTTCTGAGCTACTGGATAGTCAAGAGGCTCAGTTCGCTGAACTTTGTGAAAAACCTTTTTTTGCATCATCTGCTGTCACCACGGTCGATGATATTGGAGAAAGATTGCAAAAATTGCATGAATTCCTGTCCCAACTGGAAGGTTCAAAGTCTTCCCACCTGGTCCCATTGGATGAACACATCCAGACAGTGAAGAATCAGTTGAAGCTATGCAGCTTGGATCAGTCTATGCTGAATGGTGCAGTGACAAAAGTTTCTGAACTATGGACACGTTATAACAGTCTTCGAGAAAGTTGCATTAGAATTTCTGCTGAAACTGAAAAGCTTGTCAAAGGTTGTAGAACTTTCCACAAACTGACCGAAGAAATGAATTCCTGGCTGCTAGACCAAAAGGAGACGTTTATGGGATTTAATCGGGACACATCTACCTCGGACTGTCATGACATACATGAATTGACTGATCGACTTGCGAATCGTGCCAATGCTTTCCACCGATTCTATGTGGAATTTAATTCAATTGGTGAGCGCCGCCTAGCCGACTGTTCCTCATGCGCCACAGACATCTTGACTATTGCCAGGTCAATCGACATGCCACTTCTACAAGATGGCTCTTCAAAGGTCCACAACCAAGAGACTCTTATTGCAGAACTGCGCAAACGCTTCCAATCACTACATGCACAGGCCACAAAGTGGAAGGATGAAATCTCTTCCTTGCTGATTTCTCTCACCGCCTATGACGAGCTGTTTATGCGTCTCCACACTTGGGTGTCTTCAGTCACTAAAGAGGTGGCTGAAGAAGGAGCTGAAGATGCCGCAAAAGAGATGCAACTCTGGTCTACACCTTCCAGCTATTTGACGATTCGATCGAGCCATATTCTTTCCCAACTTGCTCAGAGTCATGAACGCGCGGAACAGCTTGGCGAGAAACAGGCTCATTTGGACATCCTGCTGTCTCGTTCAAGTAAACTTTTGGATGACTGGGCTTCCTCAGAAATAACCCGCTTTGCAGCTCAAAAGGCTGGAACTCTATCACGTCGCTTTGTAGAACTCACGATACAGGTCAAGAAGCAGATAGAACAGAAGTCGATGACTCTGAGGAACATAGAACGACTTCAAGAGGCACGCAATGCGTATAATGTGTGGGAAAAGGATGTTCGGGGTAAATTTGCACGTACCTGCCAAGAGGAGAACTCGGTTGAGGTACTAGCAGGCGCAAAGAGAGTGGCCAAGTCGTTGGATATGGGTGATGTGCTGCTGGAGTCGTGTAGACAGTGGGCTCTTAGTGTACAGTCAGATGCGTTAGGGTCTAAGGCTGTTGATCCCTCTCTGGCGCAAGATCTTATGACCAGTTATGAAACCCTGAAAAGTATGATATTACAAAAAATTGAAAATGTTGAAAAACACTTGGCAAACCAGCGAGTTAAACAGCTGACCATTGCTTCCTTGTCTTCCTGGCTTGAAGCCGCTGAGCAGAGACTTCAAGCTATCATTTCTTCCATCTACACACCTCCTCAAACAATTGTGAAAAGCGCTTCCTTCGTCTCTATTATGACCTTTCATGAACAAGTAGTTGATACCGCCTTGTCCGAACTTCGTAGTCTGCAATCTGCGTGTACAAGTGAGATGAGTGTTGAAGATGATTATCAACTTTCGTCCCGTCTCTACGCTTTTAAAGTGAGGTTAGCACAATGCATTGATGAAGTGCAGGTGAGAGCTAAAAACTTTAATGCATATAGAGAGGCTAGCGAACTGGTTTCGATTCGTCAGAAGCTGACGCTGGAGAGGTATTATCAGATTACTGGTGAAGGTAGCACAGTCCCCGAGACAGCATCTCAACTCGCAGATTCTTCCACTGCAATGCTTGAGGCTCTCCTCTCACCCTATGATGCAGAACGTCGTCTCACCGTTCTCCAAGGTATTAATGACGAACTCGTTATTGACAGTCGTCAACTGCTGGAAACGATGATTGAGTCGGCAGATAGATTGGTTTCAACCGCCATGGGACGGGAAGCCTTTTTAGTAGAAGTAGTTAGTGAACGAAATGAAGTGCTGAGCGCAGAACAGGTAAAACTAGAACGCCTAACAAGGAAAGCGATTGGACTGCTAGAGAGTATTACTGAAGCGTGGAAAGCATTCACAAGGATGGAAGAGGAGTTGAGTGATTGGCTGACGGAAGTAGAACAGACATCTGCTCGACCGACAATTAGGATGGAAATGTCGATCGAGGAGAGGAACCAAACTATTTTAGAGCTGAAGGTGTGTGTGTGCTGCTACTGGTTTTTGGAATTTAATTTTTCTGTTTTTCAATGTTTACTTATCCTTTTTTCTCATTTTACCTTACAATTTGGGAAAAATTTTGAATTGCGATTAACTGTTTCAGCAGTACCAATCCAACCTTAATAAGAAGGCTGAAGCTATCGAAAGACATGTAAACGAAGGTGAACGCATTAACCGTCAAGTTCCTCAATTCCAGACAGCTGAAAAGGCTAAACAACTTTCTAACCGTTATTTTGCTCTCGTGACATCTGTTCAAGTGCGTCATTTCGAATCCCCTCCTCCAATTTTAAGTTACTTTGACACTTTCTCCCTGTTTTTTACGTATTTTAGGATCAAATTAACCAATATGATGAGGAAGTTGCTGAGCTATCGCGATTTGAAAACTTACTCGGTGAAATGTGCACCAAAGTCGAAGATTGCCGATCGCTTATTGAGGAATGTTGGGTGGAGGATCGATCCAATAGCCATTTGGAACTGGTTGGAAAACAAATTATGATCAAGGTTCTTCGTCCACACATCCATTGTTTGCATTACTTTCGGCTGAGGTCACTTTAATTTGGCGTTACAAATGAAAAAAAAAATGGTATAGAGATTGTGTGAAACCCATTAGTCCAAACTACAACAAAAATTTAGTCCTAATCCAATCAAATTGACACAAATGCTTATTTCTGAAAGACAATCCTAATTGGACGTCGAAAATAATTGCATCTTTTCATTTAATAGAAAATGCTGAAGGAGGTGGTGGACCTAAAAAACTCCCCCCAATTGGAAGATTTGTTATGTCGCACGGAACCCGAGAAGGCGTTTGCTTCCACCGCTTTGGGACTCGATTTCAGACGACGGGTCGACGAAGTGTCCACCTTCTTGGAGGAGGCTAGTCATCGGCTGGAACAAGCCTTGACTTTTGTTGCCACGCGGCTGGAGACATGGAGGGTCTGGTCTTCAGTGGCAAAGAAGTTAGGTGAAGAATTGGGGGAGATTGACTCCTCCTTCAAGGATATTTTGAAGGAGACAAAGAGTTCTACCTCCTCCAATCCTGATGATGTACTTAAAAATAGACGGGAGGCAATCGACCGACTTCAAGTAGGTTGTTTTAACGAGCTTTTCTGCCATTGTCATGACTGGTTAATGTTTGTGGATTTTTGAACAGGAGCTGCACATGTCTCTTGTCTCAAAGAAGCCTGATTTTAACGAGCTTAAACGACTAATGAAAGGCGTTGATTGTGAAGTGTTGGATCCTTTGCTCTATCGCCAATCCAGAGAAGTTTGTTCAAGAAGTAAGACTCTAATCTCTGACATTCAGGTACGCTAGGATTGCTTATAATGCCTATTTACGAATTTTTAACTGCGCGACATAGTTGAGCAATTGGAGTTAGGAAAATTTAGAAATTGAATGGGGTAAGATACACGCCTCTAGAAACGTTTGCATCTAGTGAGAGCTGCGGTGGCAGTCGTCTCGCCCTAATTCCAGGCCTAGCTGCAGAGGTCGGATGAGCCCGATTAATAATTCATTTGGTTGAAGCAGTTGTCTCTCTGTCCATTTGTGCCGTGACAAAGTGGGCGCCTAAATCACCATTAAATGACAACAAATATTCGGAAAGACAGACTGAAACTCCCTGGGGAGATTGTGGTAAAGGTGGCCCAAAGCTTTTAAAGCATGGCTGTCGACAGAATTGATCTTTTCCCAAAGATAGGTTGGGAAGTTTTCGAATTTGCAAGTGGCTAAGGTCTGGTGATGGAATGGCTACAGCGAAGTGACTTTTCGTCCCCATTGGCTTCATCCAGATCCAAAGAGATCGCTTAAAGCGGTCTTGGGAAGGACTGTTTGCATTCTCCAACAAGGTCAATGCAGCAGATCAGTGGTTCTTGAGCGCCTCCGTGAAACTTACGGCTCTCAATAACGCCAATCCGGACGGTCCGAAGGCAACGAAATTCCTGATACGAAGTTGTGAGGCGTTTGTCGCCGAAGTTTCTCATTTCGTGACCGATCAACTCAAGCCACTAATTGCTGAAGGTCAGGATATTATGGTCTCGAATAAAAACAAAAAAATGAGGCAAGGGAAGAAGGTCAAGGTGGAACCAACGGGTTTTGAAGATGCACCTCAGCATTTGCTTAGTCAATTGAAAGCCATGGAAGATGAGACAGAAGGCCTTGTCCAGGTTGTCAATGCCATTATGGTACGTTGTTTACTAAGCCTCACCCTCACTTGTTGGCAGTGAAGCTAAGCTATGCTTGGAAATTATGCATTCACCATTTTTATTATCACGTTTTTATTATTCTCTCTTTCTCACTTAAGGATCATGCTCCATTCCCTTCTGGTCTAACCTTTCTATTCATCTTCCATCCGGTCAAATCGAGCTCAAGCACAGGGCCATGTGTCCTGATAAGGAGTCCCAAAATATGTTATCCCTTAGTGAAAATAGATACAGCTGTTGAAAATATAACTAAAGTTTGACTAAAGGTGTATATGAGCCTCACTTATTTGGCATTACACGGTTAAGCGCTTCCGTTTACAAGAATTCAAGCAAGATGCTCTGAATTGCTTCAATTCAAAACTCCGGATTTTAGATGTCAGACAGAATACCAGGTATCAAGGTGCTTTCAGGTCTTGCGAAGGCTTTCGCTTACGGCATGGTGGAGAGAGGAAAGGGATAATTTCTATCCAAGGTGGTGTCATTAGTAGACTTTTCCGAGAAATGATGTAACCTAAGGTGTTCTGATCAAATGTTAGTGAATGTGAGGTTTGGTTTCAAAATCTTAAAGAACCTTAAGATCTCATGCGAAAAAGTGAACACCTGAATTGGTCTCCAACACTACCGGGAGTTGAAGTACCTCCGTTTCTTGCCAACGTGAGTTGACTCTTCCATGGGGCCTTAGAGTAGATCAAATAGACGAGAAAATTGTCACTAAGGGAAACAAAGACGATTGAAGGCAATCGTTAACAACGTTTAGCAACATAATAGAAAAATTTTTGCCCAGTTTGTCGGATGGAGTATGTTTTGAGCGCTGCTTGTGTTCTGCTTTAATGCATTTGAGATTCAGGGGCTCCGCTCCTGGTATGAGTTTTGTATTATGCGATTCTGCTTCCAGGACGTCCAGGTGGTGCATGCAGGGTAGTTCTTAAAAATGCAATGAAGAACTGAAAAGCACTAGATGAGATAAGGTGGAGTAGCAAGCGCTACCTTAGAAAGGGAAATTTTGAGGTACCCATGAATGGTGTTTACAACTGCGGAGTTCAATAAGGTTGTAGGCGCCTTGGTATTAAGTTCTGGATCAACTCTCAGAAGCATTTAGTGATCATTCAAGTTGCGCACCAGTACGGAATGGAAAATTAAGGAGGGCAACGGCTTCGAAAATGAGGCGTTTTTTCCCCACCACCCAAAGACGACGACCGATTGGTCATGAATGGAGAGTTGAAAATGGCTGCAGCGACAGATGTGAGACCAGTTAGAGGGGAAATTTCGGATCGAAGAACACATGAGTGGTTTGAAGGTAATAACAGTGAAAGAAGGGGTTTTCGTCCAGTGACTATTTATAAAGTTGTGCCCAGCAACTGACTCCTCAATTGAAACAGCGAGCCAGTGGAACTTTGTGAATCTTTTACATTTGACTAAAGGCTGGGAATCACGCAACTCATCTGACAACTACCATGAGCGGGAAGAGTAGCAGGTTCATCTGGCATCTGGAAAATTTAATAACTCTATCACTGATAATTCGAACTGACGTTTTCAAAGAAGGAATTCCTGGCTAACATCTCGTTTGAGATAGGTCAAATGGGTGCTGGTAACCTTGAAGTGGTTCTCGCTTTGTGAGCTGCTCCAGTGGCATTATCAATATTTACGATTGCACTTTACCTTTCAAGGTGAATCTTCGCACCAAGATCAAGGAGTGGGAGTCACTCCTACTTATTGTTGAAAGCGACGAGACCTACTTGCAAGTGACCTTAGCACATTGGTGGAGTGAATATGTGGAACAGGCGGAAGAACATCTTCCTCAAGATCAATGTCCCATGACTTTGTCTCTGCGTCTGAAAATGATCCAACAACCTGAGCTCGTATTGGAAGACGTTGTAAACCAGATAAAGGAGGTTGAAGTAGGACATCTTGGATGTATTTCTGGTTTTGCCTGTAGGTTAATACTAGTTGATTTCAAATTCTAGGTAAGCTTTGAACATTGAATCAGTCTGAAATAGCAATACTAGCACCAATATCCTTTACGAGCACTGAGTAATAAATTAGTCGCCTCCGATGTCAATGTTTTTGACAACATTTATGACTTTTAGAAACGACGGATTCAACTGGAGAACTCGATCACCAAAGTATCAACCCCATGGACTCCGGTGGAAACTCCACTCACCATTAAGCGGCGTTTGAAACGTTATGGAGTGGATGAGAGCGAGCTGACCTCGGAGTCGCTTGGTGCGGATGAACCTCAAACCAGTGGAAGTAAATTGCGAAAACGCGTTGAGGTTCTTCTGAAGGCCTACGAAACCGAGATGGAGAAGGTGATTGTGTTAGGCGTCACTAGGTAGCCAGGTAGCTAGGTAGTCAGTGGTGCGGGTTACTTAACAGTTTAACAACTTCAGTAAGAAAAGAGATTCTTTTGCAACTTATCCTTCTTTTTGGAATCGCAGATGAGGACATTCAATGAGAAGTTGAACAATTGGAAAACTCTTTGGGACCAGCAATTGCTTTGTGAGGCCGAGGTCGCAGATTGGATCCAGATGAAGGAGACTGAAGCCAACAGCCTCTTTGGAGGTCGTGGCCAGGACACGCTGGATCTAGGCACATCGGTATTGAAAAAACTTCGTAACGAATTGATCGCCAAGCGTGAGATGATCGACGAAATGGCGACTTGGCGCCAGGATATTTTGTGTCTGCCGCAGCAAGAGAATGACCCAATTAATGAATTGAATTGCAAAGTTGATGCTCTGGTGCACCGAATTGGAAAGAGGATTAAAATGCACGCAAATTTTATCAATCAGGCAAAGGAAGCCTCGCAAGTAAAGGCTGAGATACAGAGTGATCTGGAGAGAATGGTCCAACGCCTATCGAACGTACGTCTGCGATGTTGTTTTTGTTGCTACACTTATCTGCATGAGTGTTGTTTCGTTCCTCCGTTACTGATGGATTAGATCTTTCCAGGGGCGGAAATGCGGAAATGACTGAGTCTTACAATCCGTTTGATTGTTTGGATGTGGGCCAACGCAATTAAATTATGATCTCACGTAAAATACGTCTTTGATCCTTCTTCCAATTAAGTCGAAAATCATGCATCAATTGGCCTCTGATGCCGATAATAATTGTTGTACAAGTATTTGGTGTTGTTTGTGGTTTTCTGCATCATCCAAAATGCATGTAATTCGTCGTCCTCGTCAATACACTTGCGTCTCTTAACAGCCACGACTGTTGGCACTTCAGGGTCATTCAACACTTTACCTCCGCAGTCCTCGTGCTCAAAATTCCCTTCGGACAGCTTACAGCACCTCCGTAATTCCTCAAAGTATTCCCTCCCCTCTTGTAGTTCAAGTTCCTTCCAGTCCCGTTGTGGGCTCTCTCGAATGGCTTTGGTACTCCCCCACTAGCGTACTTGACCAAGTCTCCGGTCCATTAAGCCCTGCACGCACTCCCTTACCGATCCCCACCTCTCCCAGTCCTCCCCGCCTCCCAATCAAGCCAAATCGCGCAGGTCGCGGAAGTCTTCTCGTTCGGTCGACTCCCCTAATCAACATCAAACGCGAGGCTGACATCCATTCGCATCACAGTTTCGTCTTAAGTCGGTTCGCTGACATAAGAATGGATGACGAATCCCATTCCCCCACTTTTGCATCTACCACCTCCATTACACCACCCCTACCACCGCCCCCATTGCTCCTCGGCCGATCGGTACCATTCCATCGTCGGAGCATGTGGCGAAGATGGTGGAGCCTTCAAGCTCACTCCTTCCCTGAGTCAAGCTTCATGAAAAAAAGTGGGGGCTCCTCCTCTTGTGCAGACCTTATGCCTAGTAGACAGACCGGAGTAGTACTTACATCCAGATCTAGCGCCCTCTGTGCTACCAGCGACATCGCGAGACGACGACGTAGACGAAAGCTGGAGCAGAGGAGACAAAAGAACGAGGATGCTAGCGACTGAGTATTTTGCCTCCTTTGATAGTCTTTCAACTCATCGACTGAATTTTGCTGGTTTCACATTTAGTAACCAGGACTAGTCGTATAAATTGTGGAAACGAATGTTACAAACGATGCTGTTACTAACGTTCGCGTGACATACGTAGGCTTTATTTACTACCTTTGCAATATGTTACCTGGTTATTGGAAAAAATACCTAGATTTTATGCAAGTGGGACTGGTATTTCCTTTTGAATGATAGATTCTTATCCATTCCTTCACCTCTCTCGGCCAAGAATGCAGCCGTTCATTTTCACCTTGGTCCACATGAAACTGAAAACTTGTACTGATGTTCTTGATTCTGATCTATTCTTAAAACGATTTTATTGGCCTTATCTAGATTAAATTTCATTAACCACAATGTCCCATTCCGGATATTACTAAGGAGACGAAATATTATGTATTATGCAATTGCTTAGGAGCGGTGTAGGGGCTGCTACCGACTGAAGGAATGAATTGCGACTCTCCTGCCTTGCCTAGGAAGTGAAGTCCAAAGCCCTGCTGGTTCATAACCTCAGGTAGTTGTGTAACTGGTGAGAGAAGATTTCACTGTATAAGAATATCCTGAATTATTTCAGAGCAACATTCCCTTATTTTCATCTGAGCTTTGGACTGAGAGATGCCGTAATTGACTTTATGCTGTTCTAGCAGAGTAAAAGGGAACATTTGCATAGTGCTCCACGTAGCAGTCAAAAAACAAGACTTCCAAGACTTTGAAAGCACAGTGACAATTATGAGACGCGTTTCGAGCTAATCGCTTCCACTAATGAATAAGACTGGGTGTCGAGTCTAATGGAACCCCCGTAAATCCCGTTGCCAGCAGTTCTGTTGATCGAAGCCCGGTTTAGCCACATCGAATTATGGAAATAGAAATCAAGAGAGGGACTACTTCTGAGGCGTTAGGCTTCATTAAGCTCGAGACGCAAACCTTTGAATTAACGTTCGCAAAGGCCAACAGTTACACTTCCAAGACCTACCTCAATTACAAACCCATCGATCTATGATGGGATCAATGAAGTAAGATGGTTTTCTGTAACAATAAGCCTCAAATAACTTCAAAAATTTTACTTTATTAACAGCATTCCAAGGATGACTCCAATTCATCAAGATCTATGTAAGTAAAATTGCCATTTATTTCAGCATTGTTCGAAATAAATCAGTTTATGTTATTGTGTTATACTCTGAAACAGAAATAAAGTAAAGGGCGCAAGTGCCGCGCTCTCAAGATTATACTACTTTCTCCTTCGAACTCGCCGACTTCCAACCTTATTTGCACTTGGATTCTGTCTTTCGTGGTTCGCGTACTTCATCTTCAGACGGTCTTCTTCATGTGGCGCCTCTTTCCAAGTTGACTTTCGAATCCGTACAGATTTAACTGCAGGACAACCACTTGACATCAACTTTCCCATTTACCAGTATCAACCTCCTCCGACCTAAGTGCTGATTCTTGCTTTGCTATCTATTATTTAATGATATTGTGCAAAAAAAGCCGAAGCAGAGTTGTAAAATCACAACGTCCAAATCATCCCTAAGAGCTGGGTGAAATCTAATCATCTAGAAAGCAAATGACTGTAAACGTGATTGAAGATCGTGAAGTTGAAGAAATCTCGTATCACCAAAATAATGGACACAGGGTAATAAGACCAGACTGCCCAAGGTCATTCAGAAGGTGCCCAAGGTGCATTCAGAATCATGTGATCCACAAAAACGTCGTGGTTCTCCGTAGCAGAGTAGAACTCGAGAAGTAAGGGCCAAGAATAAGATAATTACAAATATAATATGCCTGCAAAGATTGAAAATTCTAAGTTTTGGTGGTATCCCAAGTGGGGTAAAATCCTCCAGGGATATGTTCTTTCTCCTTTCTACTGCGCGCCGGAGTGAGAGCCACGAATTTGAAGCGTTTACCCATCTGATTCGACCCGACGAGCATCTCTGTTGCCGCAATCAGACTTTTCTTGTCCTCTTCAACTTCTGCCTTTTCAACAAGCGCCTATGGTGAAATGAAACACTGATATCACCTTGGAGAAGAAAAAAACCATAAGTAGGGCATTAAATTGGATTCAACAGCATCGATAAATACCAAAAAAGTCGCAATGGAGAAGAATAGATAGCATTTAAACATCATTTTATGGGTATTGAAGACGATTAAAAATTCAGTTAACACCAGTGAAGTACCTAACAATGAAATGAATGGTGTTGGAGTCCTTTCTTTCCATCGCAGAGGGGATATGAATGTAAGGATACAGATTTCACAGTAACCAAAAGACTACAGGAATGTAAACACAAGTGCAGAAATGACATGACTAAAAAAAGCCATTTCTTGACAGAAGTGAACGAGTGAGTGGCAAAGTAAACTAAGTTTAAGATGATGCTCGAAATCATCAAACAATTGAGTCACTAACCTTGAGTCGCAATAAAATGCCCATGTGTACAAGGAAGTAAGCCTGACTCACAGGCCCGTGAAAAATGACTATCAAGAGAGTAAAAGCAATTCAGAGGTAATATTAGGACTCAAAAAAGGGAATACCAGCCCAAGTTTACCTGGCTCTTTTGCGGCTTCAACAGACCGTCGAAGAAATGCAAAATCGACGTCAGCAGTGATGTCCGCCTGACCGGGGTCTTTGAGCGGATCGTGGAGCTTGTGGTCCTTGAATGCCTAAAAATATTAATAAAAACTAGGAGGCGTTCAGCAGCAAAAAGCAATGTTGTTCGATTTTATCCACCGGCATACACGCAACGTATCCTCGCATTCCCCAAGATGGCCATAGTCACTGATCAGCGCTGAGCCACCATCGGTTGCAATGCGAGAAGCGATGGTTTGGAGAATAGCTCCAGCTTCAGGGCAGACCTCGACGCACTTTTTGTTTGATAGATCACCAGCAAGCTAAAAGGGAAAAGCGAACGATAATTTTTAGAAGTGACTCTAAAATAAAAGAAGAGAAAATAGTTACAGGTAGATACGTTGAGGCAGCAATTGTGCTGGAAGGCGAAGTGACGAACACCAACTGATCACCTGCTTCTTCAGAAGTTGACGGACCAATGGTGCTAACGAAAACTTCCTTCCAGACATCTCCAACCCGCTGCATTATTGCAAATTACATAATCGAGATCGAACCTGGAACTGATGGATGGGCAAGGCGTCAAGGAACTCGTTTGCTAAATAAAAAGTAACACACCCCGTGGGTATTTCATCCAGAGACGAGTACCACGAAAGACCAGGCTTGATACAATAAGTTTTGAGAATGGGAGATATTACAGACTCCTGCATTTCGCGCAGACGATCGCTACGTTCAACGAAATGTAGGTGGCGAAAAAGTGAACTTCCAGTGGGGAATTTGCAAAGCGTCTACAGTTTGGATAAGCCCCCCGCGAAAAGCACTTTACTTTAATGACAGTGGCCATTAGGGTTCCTCGACCGGGTCCCAACTCCACAATATCAAAAGGTGTGCTTTTGGTATAGTTTATCCACTCATTAACTATCCAAACCCCAAGGATCTAGTTCATAGGGTCTTTACATGCACCTTACCTCACCAAAAATCTGACTTATTTCAGGCGAAGTTATAAAATCCCCGTCAGGACCCAAAACAGAAGAATTGTTGTAGTATCCCTATAAATTTCGCAAGGGTTTGATGAAAGGCTTCACAAACATAAGCAGGATGATGCATGACAGTTTTCATGTATTCCGCAACGGATATTGGGCCAGCTGACCGAATCTGACGACAAAGGATAACATTTAAGTCCTCTTTTGTAGAAAATTTAGCACCAAAACAACGCTTCGCAGAGCGCAAACATCGCCCAACGGCACGCATCTGTAGGCTACACCAACAGTTGGAGGTCAGTAACCTTTTGATTCCAAGATTAGTTAGAAGGCTGGAAACATCAACATCATTTTAAGTAAAACTAGTTATAGACGAAATTGCATTTGGCAAATGTAGCGGAATGAAATAGGTTAGCAAGTCCTCATATAACTCGAAATCTGCAAAAAGCACTGCAACAAAGTGATAATAATTGTGCTACAATAATCAAAGCACCTTAGATACATTGACCTAGAGGGGGAGATGAACAAATGTTCATAAGCTGCCCTAATAGAAGAAAGGCAGTTTAACGATTCGGACACGAGTCCAACTTGTGGGGATCGGAAACAACCATCCGCGCGACGAAGTTAGGTTGTTGTCTCATCGACATTATCTTGTTCTTTCATGTGCACCCTGTTCATAAAATCAGAGGTTCGGGGACCTGAGGGTAGGCTGGGAGGTCGTACAACTCGATATTCCTCTTATTGAAAAAAGAGCAAAAGAACTACTACTACTTATGCCTTCTACTACCCCATTGGAAGCCTCAAGACGCTACACTGGTTTCATGCATAAAAACGATAACTATGCCCGTGTCCAAGAAAATAATTATTATTTCAAATTTGGGCTGAATTGATTGCCTGCGTGTGCAAAGGGGCAAGCGTGATTTCAACACTATGTGAGCGTCTGATGCCCAACTATTCTAGTAGCGTCTGTCTAGCTTTTGTGCATGTGGAATGGCCTTCAGACCGTGTCATGGTTCATGTAATGCTTTGTTTATGTGACTACCTGGCGTTTGGCGGTCACTTTGGAACTTGCCTGGTCCCTGTGCACTTGGGCTGGCCTTCGGGCCGAGCTCGGTCCCTATTTGCCCTGTCGTCGTCGGAATACATGTATCCGACCTCACTTATGCCTTCTTCCACCCTATGGGAAGCCTCGGGACGTAATAGTTCATTTGATTCTTCTCTTCTAAAATACTGTAACACCTTATTTATGTGACTACATGACGTTTGGCGATCTATTTAGGATTTGCCTGGCCCTTGTACACGTGAGCTGGCCCTCAGGCCATGCTCAGATTTATTTGCTCTGTTGTCTTCGGAATACATGTATCCAGCTGCACTTACTGACTTCTTATACCGGATGAGAAGTCTCAGAATGCTGCAGATAATTGTAGCAGATCAAATTTAATGCCTTTTTTAACTAGTATGAAGTTTCAGGTTGCTACGATGACAGTGACAATCGGAAGAAAGATTGTGGCTTAGCTGATATCAAATCCCATTATGGGAATCCAACCTTACCCGCTTAAAGTAGACTTTGGAATAGCTACATTGCAAAAGCGCATATGCAATAGCAGTAACATCTGGCTGCTTAAGATTTGGGCAAAATGAATCTGTCTCAATGGCACTACAGCAATTATTCGATTGCAACGAGGCCGAGGTAAATAAAGTTTCTAGCAAAATTTTAAAGCAAATTTAATCCATGTATACTAGACATAGTTTTACCTTAATTGTATTTTAGGACTTTAGCCTGGCATTGCCTAAGTGATTTGCATAACAGACTGTTCAGTAGTGCCATTTTTTAAATGTATCAAATGGGCACACTGGTTGCGCTCCTAAAAGAAACGCTGGTATGTTGATGCGTCTGATGACCGTGTCGTTTTCAATTTTTAACTCCTCATTGGTACCTTTTAATTAATTCAGTTGATTGCTAAAATCCTGATGTCGAATGTGAAATTTCTTCTAGGCACCACTACCCTTTCAAGTCGCTTACTACCTACATAGTGGATTTGGCTACTACTTAACCGCTCATGGTGTTCCCTTAGTGGAGTCTTCTCTTTTTGTGATATTTCTTCACATTTTCTGTAGAATTTTGGCAAACTAAGCTAGCAGTGTCCATGTTTTTTAATAGTTGCCTTACTATTTTGTAGTAGACTCAACTGATCGCCTGTTTGTTGGTGGATATGTCATGGGTTATTTTATCTTTCTCCAGCGATTCAATCTCAGTCCATCATTGGTGTGACACAGGCTGAATGTGTTGAATATACGTTCTGCTCTTTTGGCCATTTTGGCAACCTTACATCATTCAACCTATTAAACCAAACGTGCATGCGCATGTTTTCCATGAATAGCATTTGTTATTCATTTGTGCTACATGAGCATTGGCCTTATATTCCTACTTTTAGATTCTGCTTTTGTACCTTTTTGCACTCCAACTCATTACGCGATGGTTTTTTCCTAAAAGCATTTACCTGAGACATTAATTCCTTTACATTTTTCCTCATGTGTGGCAACATCTACTTCCTAACCCAAACACTTATCAAATCTTTTTTTCAAGATTTATATGAACCTCAGTTATTTACGCGAAAATATTTTTTTCGGATTTGATGCCAATTGACCTTGCTTAAAAAATAGTTTTTTTAAGTTGTTTGGTCCACCATCCTGTCCTTGAGCCGGAGGATGTAGAAATACTTATTCATAGTGATCGTATTATCCTACCTTTTGTGTCTTTCAGACGTTTACTCATCATGAGTATTAACGGAGGGAACACCTTGCGTCGTATGGCAACCAAGTCGGGATGTATGTGGCGATTCTAATATCCCTCTGTTCTTCCACAACTTAACCCGCATGTAGCTATTTTAAACTATTGTACTTTGTAGCCTCGGGTGCTATTGACGAAGAGGGGTTCAGACATGCCTTTTCAACTGTTTCCTCTCTACCGGTATGTCGCTTTTGTATTGCTTCTTTCATATTCGAGTGTAGATATACTCGGCACGAGATCTTTCAGAATATATGACAAAGATAAAAGAGTCCCTCTGCGTCACTCCTGAGGACTGGGAGCGTCGTGTAAATGCGGTAGGCACTGCATTCTAGCGTAGTAAAACACGCCTTGCGAGCATATAACTCACTGCTACTGTGTTATTTGCTTTTCCAGTTGAAGGACCTCCGCAATGTGGTTGGCAGTGGAGGTCATCAGATGGATGAGTTTTCAGCCCTTCTTCGAACACTAGAGACACCCGTTCTGGGGTGCCTTCAGGACCTCCGATCTCAAGTAGTGCGAGAGGCATCGGTTACTGTGGCGTACGTATATAAAATTTGCCGGGAGCATTGTATAAGCCAAATCAGTTTTCGGTGCCATAGATTTATGACCTTACTGAGGAGATAGCCGTAAATAATGACTAAAATAGCGGGATTCGCAGTCGGATTTTTGTAGCAACTAGTACGCATCAAAAGCATTTAAGTTAACATTGTGTTTTTCTTTGATTACAGATATCTTTCCCAAGAAACCGGTAGTAAATTTGATCATTTTGCAGAGATAATTATGCAAACTCTCCTCAATTTGATCCCGAACAGCGCGAAAATTATGTCAACCAGCGCCATAACGGCGATTGGTTTTATTATCCGTGTATGTTTTATTAAAATTTGTCTATTCATCTTGACTGCGCTTTGCTTTACTAGTAATGGTTAACTTCTATTAAAAGTATAATCTGTTAACTTTCTTGCCACAAAGTTTGTTCTCTTCAGACACAGCTTGTTTAGATTTCTTAATTCTTTACCAAGATACCTGAAGAATGCTTCTGTTTGGTCCCAAAACACTAAAACGAAGCATCTCAAACTATGTTGCAGTAGAAATATTGCATACCTCTTTACCTTGCCCTATTCTCTTTTTTCTCCAATCCTTCGACCAAAATACCCACTTTACTTTCCAGAACACCTTTGCTTCGCGACTTTTCCCCATCATTGCCGGTGGTTTATCATCAAAATCCAATGTTTTGCGAAAGTACGTTTTTATCTGTTGTCATTTTTACTACTCAGGTGTGTTATTCTGAGATTCGATGCGGTATTTCACATTAACCTAGTCCTAATGAGTCACTGCAATGAGCGAAACTGCGCAGCGAACTATTGTGGCTCTAAGAATTTCCTTTAAAATTGGCGGGTTATGAGGTAGGGCTTGTGCTTTTTTGATTCGTTGATTCTTCCAAAACACGACATCGGTGGGTGTTCATCCGTGCAAAACAGGGTTACTTACCGACATAGCAGTATTTGTTTTGACATTCTGTCCATCCATTTAATGTCCGTACTCCCAATGCATCTTTTCCCGAGCTCGCTATAACGTGGCTTCATTTGATTAACCCTTTACTAGTTACCTGTCTACGTCTGAACGACCTCATTGCCACCAGTGGTACTTTTTTATTGGTCATACCTGTTGGGCACCCAATTTTTGTTGAACAACTATACACCTGAGTTGAGAATGCAATTATTCACTATATTTATTGTTGAACCTCATCTATTCTCCATTAGGTCCTCTCTAAGGTTTTTTCGAAGTTAGTCAAATTTGAATTTATCAGTTATTGGCCTTAGGTTCAACTGTAACTCCTCTTTTACGCCTTTGTTTCTACGGATTTGAGATCGAAGGATAATAAAGGCTTGATTGCAAAATGATTAGATTTGCTTGTTTCTTGGTGGACCTGATACCATCTCCTTGGTCTCTAAAGTGGAAACTACGGAACGGACGGTGTGCTTGATATTCGATGTGGAGCGGTGCTCTTTGACTCCATGCCAATTTTCCTTATGTTTTGCCACATGAATTTTTCATTGGGAAGGTGTTTTTACGACCTTACGAGGTGTGAAGGTCTGCGGCTGCGGTTTCAAGATTTTATCATAAATTTCGCTATCATGTTGTGAATAAGTTTTACCATGTTTGCCTTTCAGACTTTGTAGCAAGGCCTTATTTCCTCTCTTTTTGGTTACTAAGGTGGATCTTGTCGTATTTTTTGCCTAAACGTATGCTCCAAATTTTGATAATTTTGTGTCTCCGTGCATGACTTTTCTTGATGCGAAAGTAAATTGGACTTCCTAGTGGTCAAGGTTGTTGCTTTGGAGGCAAACGTGTTGATACTGTTTTAAAAATCTTTAAGTAACGCAATTTTTATCTTCATGCCTTGTTAAATCATCGCCAAAGATGCTTACCTTTGGTACTCCATGAATCACCTGAATTATCTGTAAATCTCATTCAAAGGTTACGATTCCTATCCTACTGTGCTATTTCCCGCCGTATCGTATCCGGCTTTTAAGAACCCAATGGGAATGTTTGAGCTTCGACTTTTGTTGCCGATTGCACTGCCTCAAATTCGCTTAGATTTATATTACGATTTGAAAAACGATAGGAATGGCAAATGCTATTTTGACCTTCGCTTGGGATTCCAAATTGTTTTCCCTTATCACAATTCTTAAGACGTAACGACTTTTAATTGTCAGCAAATACAGGCCCAAACTTCATCAAACAGCCGGAATGTTTGCAACCACAATTATCACTCCACCGCCTCTATAAATGGACGTATTCTGTGCTATTTCACAAAATGGGTGCGTACAACAGGCAAGCAAGACATCGTGTGGCCTGGAGCTTTGCTTATTCACCGTAGACTTATTGTTGGGCTCGTTGCATCTTGCACGTGCCCACACCGAGCCTTGGCCATTGATGTCTTCATTTCGCTTAGACATGACACTGCGTTTACCCATGGACTTTTTGTTCCATCCTACTCTATCCACAGAAACAACGGTTTTTTATGCGTTTTGTGCTTTTACCAACGGATACACTGGTTTGCGCACTCTTCCGATGTTCATATAATGACTTGGGGATCTTGAAAACAAGAAATGACTGTTTTGACGCCAAAATCTGTGCCATCGAATTACCCACTTTAATGTGCCTAAAATTGTATTTAGCCTTGGACCAAAAACGTTCAGCATCGTTTTTGCTGTTTTTAGTTTACTTGGTCATTTTCCAATCATTTGATGTAACCATTTACCAGGCATTAACTGGCGAGGAGTCTGTCCCTTATGACAAAGGGTTCAAGGAAATATAGAAGTACGATACTATTGACGCTAAAAAACGCAATAAGCTGGAACAAAACTATGTTGCGTCTTATCTTTTCCTCATGAGCTCCTTCCTGGCTTCCTATTGCTGCCTTATTCACATTGGCTGGTTAATCGAATGTCATTCCTGTGATTGCTTGAAGAATTGTTAGTTTGCCATCGTATTACTGTTTTCGAAGAGAACATGTATGCCGCTAAACCATCCCTTGATTCACTGAAACTCCCAGAATCCAATATGTTTGCTCTATCCTTACCGTCTGTTAAGAATGTGCTTTTGCATCCAGTCCGCCTAGAACACGTCACTGTATGATTCCATGTAGTGATTTTGTCTAAGTGGATTCTTCCCTGGCGTTCTGCACTGACAAGCAGACAGTCTGCGTATTTATTTATGCCGGGGCAACTTATTAAAAAAGGGATGGGATTCAAGTTGCAAGGATTCTTCGCTAGTATACCTTAATTTTTTGGTCTCATGTACCTCTAACCTCCATCGTATGCGAATAATTAATTTGGCTTTGATCTTATTATACATGAAGCTTAGTACGAATTTGGGTCGTTACCCTGAGCTCAGCTTTTGGCATTCGATTCCACAAAATTATGCTATTTCTTGTTGACTGCGCATCTGCCCTCTCTCTTACCATTTTCTTCTGATCGATCCCAGTGTTCTTCAAGTCTACCGCCACACCAGTCTATGGGGATCGTAGATCAAAACACCACTCATGCATTCACAAATCATAGCATTGCATCCCCTCCAAGTGATAATGTTATGCGAGGGAACAATAGGGCATTTACCTCATTAATTCACCTTTTGTTGTTTGCGTTCTCCAGGTACGTTTGTATCTTCCTCGATCCCATCTTTCAATGTTGGCCCGTGCATGTGCTAGAGAGGCACATGGGCCTTATTCAGGAAGTGCTATGCAAGGGCGTCTCTGATGCCGATCAGGATGCCCGATCTGCAACTAGAAAGTGAGTCTCTTGTCCCATTGAACTCCATCCTGAATCCCTTTTATTTCATTGCATCAAGTTTTAGGCCAGTTCATTGAGCAGCTGTTTTTAAATAGTTCTATGCAATGCTTCATTTCTCCTTAAAAACTGTTCCTTTTGTCGAGTCATCTCCTAAGTGCCACCTTTGCATCACTTGCTTCCTCACTACTTGATAACTGATTTACCTTTACTCAATGCTCTTCCAGCAAGGGCATAGGGTCACTTCACAGTCAATCTTAATAAAAAAAGACTTGTCATTTTGTCTGGCCTCTTCCTATTTTCATTGAAACTATGTTGCTAAACACACGCTCGTCTATTAGATTTCCCAACAGTACTGATAAATTACGATACATCATGGCATTGATCTCTTCGTGATTTGTTCAATCAACCCAAAGGGTGGCTACAAAAATGCCTCGTCATTTGTTGAATTGCTTCAGGACAGGCTTGCTTAAATCACAATATTTATAGTTCTTCTTCCTTGCCACGCGATTGGTTAGCCCTCTTTTGGTCGCGCTTTAAAATGTTACGGTAGCTGTCATTGGGCACATGGATCTGGCACGGCGCTTCATGCCACACTGCCAGTCTGTACGTGAGCGTTGACGGCGTTGGCCTTAATTTTGTCAGCACAGAACGCGCGAGGATAGCGAGATTTATTCTGTCCATGGTCCACCCAACGACTGTGAGTACACTAACTTACTTTGCTATGGAATCCCACCCTGTGTTGGATGTTTTAGCGCCAACCTTGACCTTTGATTCAGTGTGGCTTTTCATGTAGACAGTTGATTTAATTTAGCTCTCATGAGCTTCCTTCTGTTAGGGGATTGCAATTGGGAGATATTCGTCGCTTCAACTGCATTTCGACGGAACTTGAGGTTCTCCCATATAGTGTGCATTTATACAGGCTTTATACGAGAGCGCCGTCCTTTTATTTTACTTTAAGTTAATTCTGAATTTTTGCCTCGCACGGACTATGGCGAAAACATAGAAGCGTAACACTAACAGCAAACGTGTCAAAATTGGTTGTGATCTTTTTCCAGCGCGTTGCCGTCCCTTTGGCTAACGACTGTAGCTCTCGCTTTGGATATTCGTTGTCTAATCTTCCCGGTCTTATTTTTAAAATAACCAAGCTTGTGCTGAACTTTCGTGTTTTGCTATAGCCTATCTTAAAAAACGTTTATATTTATTCGATCCAATTAATTGAGTTCCTTATCATGGGGTATGGTTAGATCCTGGATCGCTCACCTCTCTTCAAGCAGTCCATCACTGAGAAATTAGCAATGAAAACGCATTGATCAATATATGGTCGTAAGCTTTTTACCCTCCTATCTCCTCACTCTTGGCCTTCGCCTTGTTACTTTGGCCTTACCAAGCCTAGCTGGGCGTGGTTTATTGGAAACGCCTGTATATATCGTGGCTGTTGCATTGATACGCTCATGCTATTTCATTCCTTCCACATTGTCGAAAGAATATTCTCAATGCTATTTCTCAATGACTTAAATAAAGAGGAAGAATTTGTTTTGGGTTTGAGTTGCTACATACGTAATTTAGTAAGTCGGTGATTAACGATATTATTATGGGGTGGAGTCGTTGAATAAAAGAGCAAGCTGGCATTCACTCCTTTACTTCCTCCCTTCTGAGTAGGGCCTTCAAGTCCTTTGCTGAAAAGTTTCCCGATCAAGTGGAAGCAGTGCTGCGGAATCTGGACTTCGCCAAACGAAAGGCGATAGAGCGTTCGCTCTCATCAAATGGGGCAGACGACCAATCGAGCGCGGCCAGTGGAACCAGCAGCCGGACGGCCAGCCAAACAAATTTGGCTTGTCCAAGTACTAAACGCACCACCCGACCAGCCATGGGCACCTCTGGCCTCAGCAGCAGTACTCGTAGGCCCGCCATTCCTAGTTCTGGCTCTACGATATCCGGTCAGCCTATTTTCAGTTTGTTTTAAACCCTCTTATGACTACAATTCTGTTTGCGTTTAATGGGGCTTTAAATTTAATGTACGAATGCATTATGAAAGTGCCATTATTTTACCTCATATGGATGAATTTTTTCCCTTGATTGGAAGATTTTTTAACCGGATTCATTAATTATAATATCGTTCGTTCTTTTGACGATCAGTACCACGCAATTAGTTCGTCTAAATCGATGTTGATTCTTCCTAGTCCTTATTCCAGTTATTTGATAGAGCTCAAGATCCAGCCATATAGTTAATGGTAAAATTACCCCTACTGCTTCCTTTATGTGTTTTAGTGCTTTGTAACCATTTCTGTTTGTTATTCAGCTGGTTTTTCTGAGGAGCATTGAAACATTACACAGTACCTCGAATCAGACATTTTTTTAATTATGAAAGTAGTCCGTTATTTTGCTGTTGGAATCTCTGGCTTTTTAAAAGAAATGCTATTGCCTCTTCTAGAGATAGGACGGAAAAATGTTGGTGCGTACGGTGACTCGTATTCTCGTGTTGGTGCCAAAAAGATCTCAGTGTCGCAGCGTGAGTACACTGTTTTTATTTCGCTCCTTGCCCTTCAGATAAAGTCCAATAATGCTTATTTTAAGCATCATATACCCATCGGATGTCATATAGCTATCCGTTATTCATTAATTGATAAATATTGCAGTTTTCTTTAATCGTGATCCGCTCCGCTGGATCCATCTGTATATTTGACCCTGTAAACTTAGTGAGAGATGATTAACGCCTTTGCCAAAACAGACAATTTTTTCATAGTGAATACCAAACGCAGTCTTTGTAATGCAACAATTAAACTGGGTTTAGTACCCAGATGTATAAATCTTTGCACAAAAGGGTGTGATGAACTCTTCCTTTTTGCTTACTCAGTGTCTCTACTAAGGCCTGAGTCGTTTAGTTTTTCTCTTTATTGTGCCACGCTGCTCCGGATCTGCTTGCTCGATTTTTTTTGGTTGGAGGGGTCATCTAGAAGGTGGTGCTTTTTGTTCTCTGCTCATTTCCTCGACTTCAGATTTGCGTAGACAAGTAAAGTCCTATTTCGGCTTGTGACATTGCATGATGTTTTCATTCAAAGTATGATCAAAATTAGTTTTTCTGATTAAAAGTCGAACGGACTAAATCAGTTCGTTAGTTATCGGCTATTTACTTGAATTAAAACCATCTTTATGAGGCAGAGAATATGAATGGTAGAGGATATCACTTGATTTCCATTTCGGAATGAGATTATTCGACGTAGTCGGCATCTTTGCACATCGTGTTGACTTCTTTACTCCACTTTGCTGGGTTTCCGATTTGGAATTCATTGTTGCACGTTTATGCACTGAACTATTCTTGACCATTCTGATTAGTTAAATGGTTAATTGGTCCTTTATCAAGCCATGGCACCCGACCTCTATCTGTCGGCTTTATAGGCATAAGCATAAACGACAAGCATAGGACAAGAATCTATGCAACGCCACTTTTGATTAAACCGATTATCATTCTGCTGTAGCTGATAGTCCTGGCTTGGTTGAACCGGCTATTGAAGCCACCAAGGATGTCCCATCGGAGCCAGAGTGCAGCTTAAGTAGTGAATCAAAAGTCACTGGGGTTGGCGATAGCCCGGAAGAAGACCTCGGTGAATTTTCTCATGGCAAGGATAGTAGGTTTTGTTGCTGTTTGCTGTTTTACCGTTCTTCCACGTGTGGTTTTGCGTTCCCGCAGGTTTGTGTAGTGAAGAGTAGGTAGTCCTTTTAGGCTCCTCATATGATTCCTCTCAGAAGTAAGTTTTACACTTTAATCGGTGTAGTTGTTTCCTTTTTTCTTTCCATTTTAAGTGTCGGCTCCAGCTTTATGAATAAATGCTGGCCTTGCCTCCTTTATTGCCTGCATTAACTCGGTTGTTACTTAATCTAACCCTTGTTTAGCAATTCAATTCCTCTGCTTGTACCACCAACAGTTTTGAAACTCTTGGTAGTATTATGCGTTTAAACAGAAGTTTGACCTACTCCTTACTGGTTGTTAAAAGTAGAGACCGTTTTTCGTGAAATTGCAAGTAGGTGGGAGGGCAACCTTTAATGCCTTCTACTCCGTCGAACCATCAAAGTAGCACGGACAAATTTAAATAGTGACAAGCAGCATTAACTCCCTCGAACCATTGAGCAACTGCACTCAGCCAGATCTTGAAAGTGCATTCACCTAATTCAGCAGAACGTATACTGCTTGCTGTAAGCTGTGCAATCACCCAAATCTGAAACAAGGCAAAGGAATTGCCCTTTGGTCTCCACGGCTCGGATTTCTTCATGGTGGGCCGGAATAAACGAATAAGAGTTAAGATGGAATGATTATCATTCTTTTTAATGGCACATAATTTGATTAGATATGCACTCACTTTAGCCGCTAGCCGTGAAACCTCTCCTATAAGGACCGCCTCGGAGGTGGACTACAATGCGGGTGGGTCGAGTGCGGCTAGAGCCTATGCCAAGACTCTTAGTTCCACGGTCGGCCGTCGGAAGGGACTTAATTTCGGTACCAACTCTACAGTGCGCGGTCCACGGAGGACCTCTAGACCCCTGCCTCATAGTCAGGACCCGTCTCGAGAGGGCTCACCAGTCTCCGCCGTTAGTGGAAACGTTCCCTACACTTACGGTGCTGCCAGTACCGCTGGCTCCGTCACTAATAAAAGACGTAAGTGGTGATTATGATATTTGCTATAGTAGTCTTATTGTTGGCATACAGAAAGAGTGGAACCGTAACTATCTCTAAAGGTAGAAAACCGAGGAAGTTTGTGCGGTTCCTTGGCTCAGCATTTTTATCGGTCTGTTCCCACCATAATTTGTTTTTCGGTCAATATTTACAAGCCTCATGATAAGGCTTACTATGAATGTTGTGCTAGAGATCGAACGATGCCAATAGAGGACATCTTTTGCATGTCAGCTACTTTTCTTGGAAATTTTTTGCCTTAGAAGTAAACATGGTTCTCAAATGCTCGTGCAAGAAGTTAGTGTGATATTTTGAACAGTGTGATTCTCTATGGCAGTTTTGATGTTCTTTTTCATAAGAGGTGAAACTGTAGTCATTTTTAAAGCTTTCGCGAAGTTTTCGGATTTCGCGAATGCTGTCTTACGCTCAAAGTAGCCTTGGTGTTATTTCATTCAACGATGCGATATCGTTTGTGATATCACTTTTAACTTTGGCTTCTATAGCAGTTTTTTTGTTTTAGTGGAGTTAATTAGCGCGTGTGTGAATGCAGTGTTTGCTGAAGTTTTGATGATTGATGCCAAACTGGTGTCTGCCAGTGAGCCTAACAGCTCTTGTCATTTGATTTATTCAAAAGCAGTTCAATCTTCTACATGCTATTTTTACTCTGCTCCTTTCTTTTAGCTTCGTTAACGTCGATGAGCGATGCTGGGTATTCGCAGGTGAGTTATGTCGCTGATTAAAAATGAGCATGGGCATGGTGGTGCTGGTAATTTTGCATGATTTGTTGAAACTTTCCTGTTTTACTTCGTATATGGCCGAAACAATTTTTGTATCCAATGCTTTGTTTTGGTGTAGCTTCTCTATCACTTCAAATTCATTTGCCAAAAAATTTACACTTTACCTTTGCATTCCCTTAAAAGATTCTTGGGTGAGTTTTGACACTTGGTATTTACTCGGGAGAAAGATTGTTTTCCTTTGTAAAGCTGAGGAATCCCGTTTTCTATCAAAGTAGTTGAAAACTACCATTTTTATTCCTACGGTTGCTATCTGAGATCTGTATCTAATGCCATATCGTGACGTTTTCGTTTTGATCTATTTCAAGTTTAAGAGCCAATCCCGTCGCCAATACGAGTCAGACGACAATGCTAGTGAGACGTCTTCTATGTGCTCTGAGCGCTCGGGCCAATCTATGCCAGTATATCGCCGTAGCCACCTGCGTCCAGTCAACGTAGGTTATACCTGCTAATATGTATGCATATTTCGGTTTTCCAGAAGGAAAATCGGCTTAATGTACGTAAAAAAAGTTGTAATTATTGAGAAGGATTGACGATGCTCTTCTTTATGTATTGTTATAAAACTCGTTACCATTACCAGCGCCTTGCAGTTCCTCGGCCTGTTCAGGTACGTTCTGTATGCCAGTGTGTCTACTAACAATGTCGCATGTTTTGGCACGGAGTGCCAAGGTTACACTAGTTTCTCTTTGATGTTGTAAGCGCCTAAATGATGGATACGTAGATTAAACAAGAACTTTTGAGTTTACATTTTGGTGATTGAAAAAGGAGTTTTTGTTCTATTACATCTACTGTCACTTCTAAATACATATAGGTGCGCAAATGATACCTTAGAAGCTTCAATGCGTAAACATTTACCAACGTACTGGAAAAAATATTGGCACCCAGGGACAGTAATTTTCTGAAAGCGTAGTGTATGTATTGCCACTCAGATTTCGCCACTGGTGGACAGATATTTGCATTCTTAAAGTGCCCTAATGTGATTGAGAGTTTTGGCATTAGTAGCAGCGGTGCTAATTATCTTTCGTGGCTTCGGTGCCTTCTATCACAAGAAACCCAATTTGTCATCAGTTGCACGTCGCTGAATGCACGCACTTGCCGTTACTGTCACCTCCCATCTCGTTTTGCAGTATCTCCACTGCCCATTTATTGCTGCTTGTGGTAGCCGTATGTCAGCATTCATAGTCTTTGTAAATTTAAAACGCCAACTTGTCATAAATATTCCTCAAATACACTCTTCTTGGGATATAAGAATAAATACAATTTTTTAAGGAGTAACTTTTGTACTACTCAGAGATGCTCGTCACTTTCTTTTTAGTCAATTACAATTTGAGCATATCATGTGTGGAGTAATTTACACACCCACTTGAAACATAAGGTAGAGTTGTTTTTTAAAGAATATCTACTTTGTAGGGGTTCGGAGAGATAATCAAATTGCTGGGGAGTTCTCAGTGGTCTGAGAAGAAGGAAGGTCTATTACACTTGAAGGAGTATCTCCGATCGGGTCAACCTTTGAGGTAAGTGCCAGTATCACTTTTTTGCGTCACTACTATCAGAGTGTGCTTCTCGAATGCTGATTTTAGCGCTCTTTTCGAGAACTTGAGTCATTTTTGTTCCCAGCGTCACATAAGTTGTTGTTGCTTTAAATCATGACTACATGGCGTCCTCTTGCAAGCTCAACAGGAAATGCGGCGGCAAGTTTCTACCATCTGCTCCAATTTGTGCAGGGAACTATGGTTCACTATTGTGCCCATTTTTCAAACCCAAGATACTGCTTAAACAAGTGCTCTCATTTCGCTTATGTCAACTTTCTGTTTGTACCCATTTTATTTTCATGATGCGATTTTCAAATTCCTTTTAAGCTTGTTTCCATGCCCTCAGCCAAGACGCTCACCCCATTCATTTTAAAACACCTCCATGGAGTATGTATTGTAAAGCTTAGTAATTAGGAATTCTGGTTGGCGCTTAATTTATGAGAAACATTCTAAAAGAGGTAGGATACTTTCAAGTGAATCATGTCTACCTGTACCTTGCTTTGTCCTTCTCTCCAGTTTTTTACCCTAATCTGTTAAGTTTCTTTTTCTCTCCCCTATTTGTAATGCACTATATAGCTCTATGGTGGGCTGTAAGTGAGTTTTGTTTTTTAGCCATGCAGAAGTTGTACGTGTTGCTGAGGTTCTCAGTGTAATTTTTGGTGAATCCTCGAGCAAGGTAAGCCATCCTCTTGCAATCGATAGAATTCGACGAAGAAAAGAATGCCATTAGGCATCTTTACACACCAACTGTCTGGCAGCTTGGGAATGCTAAACTCCATTTTATGACACCTATCTAGGTAATCACTCCCTTTATGGAGACACTGCAGCTCTTCATCAAGGGCTATCATCAATTCCTCCACGAGTGGATCTATATTGCTATGGTACGGCTCTTTAATCGCCAAGGGCAGGAAGTTCTCTCAACTCATCAGAAGTCCATTGCTGACACACTTGCTGTTGTTCGGTACGTCTTTTTTGCCTTTCATTCCTGCGCCTTCAAATTTTGTTGCAAATAGTTTTTAGCAATAAGTAAGATTCTTAGTAGTCTCACTATGCCAAAGTATTTTTCTCTACTCACCTTTGTTGTCTCTTTGGTAACTAAATAATCTCCATATTTGATTTAAGGGCACTGTGGATACTGTACGCTCGGTCCTTTGGACCCTCCATTGAACATAATGTCTGGTGCATTTTGCTTACCTTTACCATTTCATTTTCTGCCTTCTTCGGAGGACTCCATTTTAGTTGCATTTTTCACTAAAGGCGACCACTTTCGCTGTCGAAGGACAGGATTTGTAGTTAATGGTGCCACTGGGTTGCAAGTTTTGGCGGTATCAAATTAGTTGACCCACCTAAAACACAACGGACCTTTTGTATGATTTGTCTATTTCCTGATCAATTTTTTAAATGTTACCCTTCCTATTTCGTCTTTGTAAATGTTCATTCATCCGGTTGAATTTGAATTATTAAGTTTTAACCGGATTTATCTTGACTATCTTTCTGAATGGTGGTTCTATCCTACATTCACCTGTTTTTGAACTACCCACGTTACCAGAATTTGTGATCGACACTTCGACTATTGCCCAATCCTTGCAAATACGAAAGGTGGTGGTGCTTTGAAGGGGTCTTTTGGAAATAAATAATGCGTCTGATCGATAAATCTCTCCTGTTCTCAGGTCCCACTTTCCCCTCAATTTGCAATTTGCCTGTTGCTGTCGTTTCATAATTGACGACGCGATGTCTCCTACACTGAAAGTGAAGGCACGAGTTCTGGAATACCTTAAGGATCTCCTCGTTATGATGCCTGTCGACGCCATTAACAATCCTTCCAGTGAGATGGTGAAGAGCATAGCTCGCGTCATTGCCTGGTCCACGGAACCAAAGTCGGCTGACGTCCGACGAGTAAGCATTTAAATCGAGGCAGTTTCCTTCGAATTTTTGGAAATACCAGAGTTTACTTGGAATTACACACAGAATACGATATAGTCCAATGATGCTTGTGCTCTTCATTGCTTAAATAAGCTTGAGTTGTTTTTGTAGTGAGCGTAGTGAAAGCAGGTACTACCTTTTTTTAAATAAATTTTTCTCGATCATAGCAATATGTTATCTTATGTCTGATGCCAAAGTCTTGAAGTGTTTGGGAGACTTGTGACAACTGTACATCACTAGCGCGGGAGCTAAATCATGCTTCTTGGCTAATAATGAGGTAGAGCGAATTTATTTGTGAAATTTTGGAATATCTAGGTCAGCGCCTAGTTTTTTTGCGAAAAATATTACTAATTTGTGGAACATTTCGACCTATGTACTTGGGCCTCATTTTAACTGCCTTTGTGAACTTATTCGCTTGCAGTTGGCAAGTCGAGTGGTAATAAAGCTTTCGGACCTCAACCCGGCCGCATTCGCCAGCGTGGTTAAGCAGATGCCAAAGGCTTCTCAGGATCAGTCAGCTAAACTACTAAAGACCTATCAAAAGACTGCTACCGTCAGCGCCGGCAACCACGAGACTACCTCTCCTGATGGATCACGACCCACTACCCGATTGATCAAGTGAGTTTCATCCCTACTTTTCCATGTTTGTATACTATTATTCAAGCATCATTTCCTGATTTTTTTGAGAAAAAGGCTCTTTCCGTGTGTTTTGCTTGGAGAAACTTATGATAGTTTCCTCTAGAACCTACTCAGCTTCGTCACCATTTTTTTTTCTGTTCTGATATTGTTGAAGTTGTAATCTCCAACCACTCCGCGGCATTAACTAAGGACTAGGGGCTAATTATATGAACGGCCCGAACATAGTAGCGTGGGTTATCCAAGGCGTTCACTTTTAAGGTAGTTTGCTCTCAGAAACGTGCATTTTTCGGCTAGGCTTGCATTGATAGTTCTTGGGCTATTTTTACAGACGTCGTTAATCAACAGCACCCGGGTGCGAAAATAGCACCAATTATTTACCCCACTTCCACACAACCGCTCTAAGGCAATATTTATGGAATTCAAATCATCTGAAATTCCAACAAATACCTAATCTGCACCGTAACAATGTAGTTTTTTTTTCAATCCATCATTAAGGCAAAACGTTTTCATATCGCTAACCACATTTTTCTTGGAATTCATTTCTCACCAACATTTCTGTCTGGTGCTATAATTATGTGATATCAAGAAAGGGTAATGGCAAGAGAAACGTCAAAAGAATGGCAAAGGTTTGGGCCGGACATTATCACCTTTCATATGAAACAGCGAAAGCAGTCTAATGGTGGAATTTTGTGGCTGCACGAGGAACGAGGCCTAATGCTATCTCGGACGAAAAGGAAATTACATTTAAGTTGTACAATATTGTCCTGCATTGAATCGAATCATTTTGATTTTTTGACTCTGAAAAGCCGATGAATTCTTGGGCATCAGGTGCATCCCAGGAATTCCTGTCCGACGAAGTGGTATGTGGTTTGAAAGTGTAGTATGGTTAGGTGATTTGGTGATAATCCCCTGTGTGTTTGTTTGTTTGTTAATGAGCCTTAAATTGACATTCAAAAATTGTTTCTTATTGCCAACTTTGGCGATGAAAGAAAGTAATCATGCAAAATAGTTTACGATGGATGAACACAAAGGGCAACGAATAGACGGTTCTTGAATCCTATTTTCTGCTAACGTTTAATGCATTGAATGTTTAGTTTCCGCGACGACTTTCTATTTCCACGTGATGTGCTTGTGTGCGAATCGTTATATCACCTTAGCCCAACGTTACCAAGGTTTTCGGCGCATGTTCCTCAATTATTACGATGAAAAGTTTTTTGGGAGTAATGCATCATCACCTGGTGGTGCACTATTGTGATCATACGGTGCAAACATTTGTGACTGCTATGTTCTGTTAACGTGCCCCTATATAACTGTGCAAAAAAATTTACCAGATGTTTATACAACTTCATGATTCATTTGGATTTGCTTTGTAAACTAGACAGGTTTGAATCCATCGGGTTTACCGAATATTTTGTGAGAGTAAAAGTAGATCTCTTAATCGGGAGGACTGTAGGATGGGTTGGAGCACATCTTTTCTTAATTATACATGCATGTGAGCAGTTGCATGCACCTCACAAGTCGTTGCATGAAGCTATGCGAAATTTTCGGATTTTTTGACTAGCTGATGACATTACGGATGGGAGACGTAAGTATTAATGCTATAGGTTAGTGGTGGGTACGTTTGATTGTATGTGCAAATGATAATTCTCCGGATATTTACTAACTCTACCTTTTTCTTTCCTGTTTGATCTGTGCTGTTACTCCTAACACCCTCACTTTGTTCGGCTAACCGGCGCAATGCTTTTGTTACCTGCGTTGTTGCTGCTGCTGCACTGCTCTTCACCTTGAATTAAACCCCTCCTCCCTTCATGGTTTTTGTTCATGCAGCAGCTTCCAGCGTTCATTTTCACTGAGGCATTCGGCTTCATCTCGGCATTGCGCTAAGTAATTAATATGGAGTTTATTGAGCTATCCTTTAACGATCTTACGCATACTTATTCAAAGTCGCAGTTTTCCACTATGCCTCCCAGTGAAATGGACTTCCACTCGACATGATCTGGGTTCGGGGAAGAGCCATTTGTGTCGCTACCAGTCGCAAACGTTTCTACTACTATTATTCGCTCTGAAATGTTATTTTTACTTGTTGCTTTCAGTTATGGTAACCTTTGGTTGGTGTATATTGCATTGCTTTTGATCTTTAAGCGGTTCTACTTCGATAAAACCATTTCTCACCAAATTCTTAGGCGTTAGTGGAGACCAAATAATACTCTCTGTTATTTTGAAATGCCACTTGTTCTTCTCAATCACCAGCGTTCCAGTTTGTTTTGTTGCCGCCTAAGGGGCGTTTGCATTTTCCACCTAACGCCTTGAATGTGATTTTCTCCACTCTTGTTATGCGTCGGTTTTAGTTATTGTGTCAATGTTATCAAAGGCAAACTAAGTGAATGTGGCTTCATATTTTACTGAAACTCATGTAGTCCCAAATAAGTATGGGCCTGCTTTATTGTTAAGCATTTTTAGAGCATTACTGTGTTAATGATTGTGTGTGTGTGTAAGGGCTATTATTGTACCTGAAAGTGAGCCATATTAAAGTACATCCAGGAAGTTGGCCAGGTTTGAACCGCAGTTTGCAAACTACCATTACTTTCCTCAAACAAATTAGAGATTGTGTTGTTTAATCATATCAGCATATCTGTCTTCTCACAACTTGTGTTGATCCTGTTATATTTAGTGACACACATGCACCTACCATCTGTTGTTGCTCACATAACCTTTCCCTCCCTCCCTCACATCTGATCTTAAGGCCGCAAGTGGGCAATGGTGGCCGGCCTTTTAGCCCCATATCGCCAACTTATGTACCCGTGGTACAACAGGAGGCTGATCATTTCCAAACCGCAGGCAAAAATCGATCGGTTAGCATTCCTGACGGTCGTCTGGGGGTGGATCCTTCTTCAAATTATTGTCAGCCGCCGCCATTGCCGCCACCCTATTCGGCTAACATGGTAACACATAACGGTCAAGTGGCCGATGGAGCACATCATTACTTTTCCATAGCCACCGGCAGTGGTCAGCTGCCTGCAGCAGGGGACTCCGGTAACATGCAACACCTCCCATCACAATACTCCTACCTTCCTGCAAAAAGCGTAAGTGACTTGTGTTTTGGAGGATCGCATTCATGTCTGAGCTCGGAATAGTGAACTGCTTACTTTTCTCCCTCTTATAGCCACAACAACAACCTCCGACCTCGCTACTCAGCGGGTTTAGCAACGATCGTAAGTTTTTGTAGTGGCTTGAGTGTCTGTAATGCATTTCCATGATGATTTGCCATTGTCCTACGATTGATCCCTTTTCAATGTATAGTGCTCTACCCCAAGTTAAAAAAGCCCGTCATCGGGTATCAGACATTGAAAAAGATACGCGGTAAGCCTACAGCTCAAGCCTTGATCCTCCCCACCCCCACCTTTCTCCGTTCCTCGTTATTCCACTCCCTCTCCCGCGCATCAGCATGCGTGCGTTCGCTTGTATTCCTGCAACTGCAATGGCAGCAGCATCGAGAATCGAGGCCTTCCATGAACTCTTCTTTGTTCTTGTTCGCTGCTCGTTTTGCTATAAACCCTCTTTCTTTTAATTTTTTGACAACTTAAGTGCGATCATTTCCTCAAAACCTATCACCTGATCTGTGGAAATTGAAAAGTTGAATTGAGTGAATCACCTCTCTCCACTCCCTGGTTAGAGGGCCGTGCTCGGGTTGTTGGGGCTGTTTTCTTATCCTTTCATTTCTGTCAGTTTTTCGCTACATTTTTTTTGTATTTTTTTTTGAGCCGAACTGCGTGTAAGCGAGGTCTCAGTGCACCCTCAGCAAATTGGGCTCCTATTTACGTTGTCACGTTGTTACTTGAAGTGCCACCTTCTCTATTTATAAATGTGCATGCCTAAATTTTGGGCCTACCGGAAGTTGCACCTTATCACATTTTCTGCATTTGTGATCTTACGTTTTGCAGAGTTGCCTCCAGAGGACGCCATTACCGAGATTCTGCAGGAACTCTCCAACTATAATGACAGGTACGATGTTATAATGCTTGGGTCAGTAAAAATAAGGCATGCTAACATGAGACTCAGTATTCCTTCCTTCCCTTTAGATATGAGCAACGGAAGGCGTGTATGTTGAAGCTAATCAAACTGCTACGAGATGGGACCATTCAGACTTGGGAAGAGCACTCAAAACCCACTCTACTGATTCTCTTAGAGTCTCTCTCAGACACGTCGGTATGCCACTTTTCAAATGGTATATTTATCCAACCTTAGGTCCCACAGACATGCTGGGTCAATCACTGTTAATGTTATTCGAACACATTGGGGTGCGATTCCTTTTACGAACATCCATGTGGGATGGGTTTATGACAGTAGTAATTTCAACCAATGCATTCTATTTGCTTCTTCAACATTTTACGGGTTAATATTTGATTCTACATGAGGATAGTTTAATAGGACGAAACTTTGTAGCCACATGATGTTTTTAAATAAGCTCTCCAATGGCTTAATGTGCAAAAGCTGAAATATTTGGAAAAGAACGTGCCTACTGTGCTGATACATGGCGTAATTTTGATGTCGCATTCCATCTAACAGGACCTTCCAAAAGCATCCACATAATGTGGTCGCATCTTAACAACAGTACTCATGATGTAGCGTCCCCAAAGTCACTTCTCACTGGTCTTAGGAAGGTCAGCTGAAGCGAAAGTGCATAATTTAATCGAACCTCATTTTTCAAAGATTATTTGCTACCAATAAATACTCAAATGGATTTTACAGGAAAAAATTTTACGAAACACCTTTTTAAAGATTAGAAAACTTTCGCCGAAGTGGGTCGCGGTAAGGAGTGTTTTGGCGTGACCGTTTGCTAACTGAATCGATGTTTCGTGCGTTTGTGAGAGTCAGTTGGATTTGGCTGGTCGCACCTCTGTGTGTGTGTGCGTTTTTTTGGAGGTCAGGAATGTCAATGCAGACACAGCAGTTAGCAATTTTTCCTTCTTTCCCCTCACCTCTTGGCGGTCAGAACGAGACGCGTGCATTGGCCTTGCGAGTGTTGCAGGAGTTGGTGCGCACACAGGGCGACCTTATCAGCGACTATGCCTGCCTAACTGTGATGAAAATTCTCGAGGCCTGTAATGACATTGACAAAGGGGTATGTTCACTTTTTCTTACTCCTCCAATCTTTCCTCTGCATTTTCTACACTTCGACACCTTCCATTGACAGCAGCGAGCATTTCCTCCAAGGGACCGAACTCATTTATATTTGGAGACGATTATACGCAACTTTTTTTCTGCGTTAGGTTTTATTATGCAGAACCAGCGTAGTTTGTTGTGGTATGTGGTGTCATTTGCTCAGTCGCTGTAAAGGTTGATAAAATTTTTGTATGATCTTTTCATCATATTAGGTGTTTTCCCATGCTTGTATTCTCCTTATCTGTCAACGACCATTTGAAGGCAGTCTGGTTGTGTGATTTGGATTTAAATATAGGCTGTGTTTTCTCGTCCATTCAGATGAATGCCTAAAGGCACTGCATTTTTTTACTGCTATTGACATTAAGCTGGTGTCATGCTGGCACAAGATGTCACTCATCGGAACAAAGATTTGTACACAAGCCACTTGCTTTTGTGACTTCACCAATACCGCATGCAATCATACTCCGTATTACCTCCACTTTTTTATCCCTCAACAAGTAATGCCGAGTTTAAATTCCTGACATAGACCACTCCATACTTTTGTGCACACATTCTGGAAGTTGAATAGAGGTTGATTGGCTTCTTTTTCATCAGTCCCAATAAAGAACTGGAAGAATGGTGGTTTTTTTATAATAAAGGCATGCATAATGTCACGGGATGCACGATGCCATTTACTGTCCCAATAATAACCTAACCCAAAGCAGTTACAAAATAAAAGGAAATTACCTAAAATGGTTTTCCCCAATTGTCTATTCGCCTGCATAAACGTCAACAAAGATGTTGGCGAACCTAATGTGTGATGGCGATTTTACGCTGTTATCTGCGGCGCAATGGTTTTCCATTCAAATCGTAGCCATCAATCAGTTAACGGGATCACTGATACACTTTATAATTAAGGTTTATGCATGGTTTCAGGGCAACTACTTCTAGCCCACCTTCGCAAAGCGTTTATTTGATTGATTTTTCTATTTCCTATTATTGCTACCAAAATGACTATGGTTATTGCTGGGGAAGAGTTTTGTGTAGCAAAAGTTGTCTCAGCCTTCCCGTTACGAGCTCCCATTGTACACACCCATGTAGCATGCTTGCATCCACATAAAAAGCGTTCATTGTTAAGAGGAGAAATATCTCTTCTATCGTAAGTGAACATGCACACCCTGTTGAGACGTTGGAGTTGCCTCTAAATGACTACTAGTTTGGGTGGCATAGAAAGAAGCAGTTGCTGAAAAGAGCACTGCAGATAGACACTGTTAAAATAGTCATCACTCCTCTGCTCCACACTAGGTGATTCGTTCGGCTGAGGAATGCGCACAGACAGTGGCGCGCTACCTCTCCCAAGAGCTTTGTCTGCGTCTCCTCACCACGGTGATCAACGACAGCCAGACCTCACTGAACTTGCCTGCAGTGAAGATGCAGACTCAGGTCATCAAAGTTTCCTCCCCCGAGCTGGTTCAAGAGGTCCTACCTGATCTCATTCCTGGACTCATTGCGGTAGGTGGAATTTATACGGCAACGCAGCTCTTTTTCAAAAATTTGCAAATATATTCTAATTGGTGGATAGTTATTGCATAGGATGAATTGTTGAGTCTATTTTCTACCTTTGATTTCACAGATCATCAAAAACTTACTCTAGTCTTACCTATCACTTTGGCGTTTCAAATTATCTGCCCTGAAATTATGTGGTGAATGGAAGGAAGAACATGAACCTTAAACGATACTGAAAAGTCAATTGAAAGATGAGAAAGTAGAGACTATTGAATTCAGTACTTGGTTAGATTAAACATTTCAAACTTTGAGATTCATTGCACTGAGACGGCACTTGAGGTCCCACGCAGCCTATGCAAAAGGCTCGCGTGAAAATTGGTTGAGGATCACCTATGCTCGTTAATGCCAATATTATAAGGTGGTGGCTTAACTTACTGCTCTGATTTTATGGCTTGCAAAAGAGGCATTAAGTGAGAGGTGTCAACCCCACTTCTAGACGAGCATTAAGGGGTTGTTTATAAGGAAGTAGCTAATTAAGGCAAACGGCAGCGGTCAACTTTATACACTCCCCTCAACCGGTGGTTTAGAAGAGCAAGATGGAATTGAGGGGTTTGATATCGTTTGTAAAATTTGGCACTAGGCGTTATTCCTTAGGTGTATTTTTTGCATATTTTTTTGCCGCCTTAGCTGTGTCATCACTATGTCAGTCATTCTGCCGCTTGTGACTTTGAATAACTCGATTTACTAACCCATTCATGAACGCAGACGTGGGTCGTTGAAACCAGCGTGGAGACTAATTTGTTCCACATATCAATGCTGTCAATGCGTGTCTTAAAGTGACCGGCGTGTAAAATGAGTTTGTTGCGTCCTTCATAATAGCAACAGTATTATATGAACCGGAATTAGCACTAACTCCAAGCTTGGCAGACTAATGCGATACAGACAAGAGACGTGAGACGACAGCTACTGCTTGCTAATGCCAGTCGTATTTTTCCACCTAATAATGGATGACGAGGTGGTGATATTTTTCATTGACCTCATTTGATTCTGAGTTGTAATCGTTGATTAGTGGAGTTGCATGACTTTGGCAGTAGGTGTAAAATTTTTAGAAGTTTTTGGAAGAAGATGAACCAGCAAGTGGCGACGCTCAGAACATTTACTGGTAGTTTTATTGATGCAGCTTCAAAAAGCAAACGTTCCGAAACATTGACGGTTTCTTGTCAAAGGGGGTATTGTTTCTCCAAACTTAGTTATGGATGTTAAATGTTGGCATTAGTCTACTAGATCGCCAAGATTAAATAATTTTTTTTTTCTGGCATATTGCGGAGTCTGTAGGACTTACTCAATTTCCATCGGCAGTTATCTCCTCTTGTGTTGCCTTTTCAGGCCTGCAACCACGAGGACAGTCACATGCGCAAAGCCAGTATCTTCTGTCTTGTACAGATTGCCATTAAGTTTGGCGATGCTGTATGGGACTATCTCAACGAGCTGACTGCAAGCAAGGTAATAAATCGAGTTAGGGTATAAATTTTCCTCCCATGTTGCGCTGCATTATTTTCTCTGGCACTAAATAGTATCCCTAGGTAAGCTTTCATGCTCAGCCTATTGCCAAATGCACAGGGGCAATTAGGGCAGGATTGTGTAATGCACTGATAAGTTTTTGAATTTTGCATATTAGCGGGACATACGGAAGCAAGAGCTTTTTGCTCTCGACGTCATCACGCGGTTTGCAACCCTCTTCATTTATTTTTTTTTGAATTCGCTACCTATTGTAATGTAAGTAGGCAACTTGTGATGCTGCTGTCTGTTTGCTCTCTTAGACTTATCATCTCTACTGCTTTATTGCTAGGCCTATTTGTTTGGAAATAAGACGCTTTTGTTTGATCAGCAATTTGGGATGTGGTGAAGTGATTTCTAGAATTTACTTCATGCTGGTGTTAACCAGTGTGAGCTAAAGTTTCGTGTTTAGTCTCGTTAACTCATTTTACGATGGTGTTATAATTCGAATCGAGAATTGGATTGGCATAATTGGTCTCGAAATTATTGGCTGTAGCTGTATTTCTCTGTTCAAGCAAAGATTTATATGGGTTACTTCTGTTCATATGCCTTTTAGAAGCGTCTTCTGCGCATATACATTGACAAGGAACTAGAGGGATCTGGCAAATCGAGTGATTCAGTTCGCATAAGCGGCAATCTGCCAATCGCTTGAAAGCACAAGGGTGAAGAAATCCCAGATTTTTCTCCTAGTTTCTTCCCAACATTCTTCTCTTCATATTTACTTGGGGTCTTCAAGTTCTTTTTCCCCCTTTATTCTCCCTTACTCCCCATTATTACTCATGTATAAATCCCCGCTTTATGCATACACGCATCGTTGCAATAATCTTTCTCTCTACCTGTTTTATCGTTCACCTGCATAAACATTTACTCGATTATCTAATATCCCGATCGCTATTAGTCCGATCCAGTTCAATCCCTGTGGTCACCGTGCTTTCATTTTGCCACATCAGTGCGTGCGCGCCCTAGCATACACATCTGTTACGTCGACACCCCACTGCTGCTACCATTTCCATGTCATTTCTCCCTTCCTGAAGGTGCACAAAGTTCTCCCTCCGAAGGATCATATCGGCTGAAAATAACGTTAAGCCAATACAACTTTCTCTTCACTGAGTATGTTGACCTCTGGATGTGAGAATCGTAAGCGCTTGGGCCAGAGGCAATACATGAGAAGCGGTCTTTGTGGACCTATTACATTCCGTAGGTTGAGCTGCGAATGCCGATTTCGTGGTGTTTCGATTTACTCTTAGTCGGTTAATTTATCCTTGATTTGGAATGAGGGGAGAGGTACTTTAAAGTTTATTAACAGTAGTTGGCAGTGGAAGAGTTGCACTGAATGCTTCCGCATTTTGAGCAACAAAATCAGACTGGGAGGTGTGTCAGTGTCAGCTCCCTTCGCGGGCTGTTTTTGCTATTAATTGAGTTCCGTCCATCTGAAAGTGAAAGCATCATGTATGGGGCAGGAGAGTGATATGCTCACACACTAACTGGACAACCGATTTGTCAGTTGCACAGAGTAGGGTGATTTGCCTATTGATTAAGCTGCGCCTTCGACTGCACGGGATAGTTCGAGACTGCGATTTGTACATCAAATGTGTTCTGTCATGGTAATTCTGTGTGTGCTCTTGCTTTTTTTTATTCAGACGTTGATAGGGATTAGTGCTCACTCAAAAGCACAAATGCTGATTCGCTCACTTAAAAAAGCGATGGAAGAGTACACCCAATAATCGCCTAACCGGAAAATGATGCAAACCAAATAATACATTGGCTGACAAAAGCTGCACTGTTTACTAAACAGATATCAAAATGATGAGAATAGCTATCGACGCATACGAATTATCTCAGCAATCTAAAACAAGGGCTGGATAATGCGCAATACTTGGATGGAATGTAGCAATGGCCTCTCCCAAGGACCATATCGTGACCCAGTATAAATGCGGGTCTAATAAATAAAGCATTGTAAGGTTATTAAAATTCTACCTCAAACCACATTATTTCATCCAACGTGTTTGGCACGTTGCCTGCTCTAAAACAACACCATGAGAAAGATATTCAAGCTCTGGTTCAGTATTTGGATTAGGTCAGTGTTAATTATGGATGCACACCTGATCATGGAAATAAGAATGAATGAAGAGAAACCTTTTACAGACTTAGGGCCTGAAGTATAGGGCTTATAATCTAGAAGGTTAAAATCGTGATTCCAATTTTTGAGTTAGTTCACGTGCCTTATTAGTAATCCGCCGCAGGTTGATATTTTAAATAAGCCAATTGTGCCTTAGCAAAGGGTAAATTGGTGTGCGTTTGGTTATGCCTGACTCCGATGCATATTTGAGGTGAGTAGGGTGCAAATTTCGCAAAGAGATAGTAGTACTTATCGACTATGTAGTCGGACACCATTTTTTTGCATTTGCATTAATAAACCGAGTAGATACGTTGGTGTGATACTACTCTATTTGGTTGTGTTTTAGAATTTACTTTATAAGTTAGCGTTGGCAGAATGTCTCTTCCATTTTAGTGCAGTTATAGGCCAGTTTCAAATTTCTTGGTCAGTTTAAGCCAATCTTAGGTTATTGCTCTGTTTAAGTTCATCGATTTATCTCTCGAAACTTATAGTGTAATGTTTAATACCATTTTTGGAATCTAATCGAGATGTCCTAATCCTAGATATGGTTGCTAGCATTTGGCATTGTTGGTTTCGAAAGTATCACGACATTATTGCATGTATGTAGTCTCCATTAACTATAGTATAACTTGTTTTCGTTTCCTACAGTTCTGACTCCAATTCTGTCGATTTGGAGTGGAAGCTGCAGCTAGCCAGATCCGAGAACGCTCGGTTAAAAGCTGAACTAGGTTCCAATGTCAAAATCTATCAGGAGCATTTGGCTAGGGAGAAAAAGGAGACGGAGATGGTTCAAGGCAAATACGAGAGGTAAAATGCCAAGTCATTGTAATTCTTCTGCTATTGTTTTGGAAAGTAGAATTTTCATAGCCAGATAGAAAATATCTGAGCTGTATAATACAGGTTTCTGTGGCGCAATTGTCCTTAATACAATACAGTGTAGTGTAGACTAGAATAAAATGTGATTACCCAGAACTGCACGCTTGGCCTAACGAGCAAGGATGAACTGTGGTTTTCATTTACGTTTAGGCTCCTTGAATCGCATAATCGATTGTTGAAACTAAACTCCGAACTGGAGGAAAGATTGCTGGTAGCGGTACGGCACTTCACAATTTCAAGTGGTTAATTCATCGCCTTTCTTTGGGTTCCACTTTTTAAAGCTCTTACTAGCCTTGGATGCTATTTTTCATTTAACAACTACTGCTGCATTAACATCATTTCTTTACAGGTTTCTTAGATTGTGCTTTTATTCCACATTTTCTTCTTTGAGAGGGGTACATTTCAATTCTTACTTTGTTGCTTTTAAACTTGTCCTTATGACTTGCGACGTGGTATGATAGAATGCAATGGGTGTGATTCTGTACCTTTATTGAGTGCTCATATGAGACACGGGTTTTACGTCTCAGATACATTGTTGGGGCTTGGAAACGCCTCTGTCTCACAACATTTCGCCAACAGAACACTGGAAACCTTCATTTATCCTCTGATTAACGCATCAGAGATGAACTGATGTTCATTTTGCTTATTTCTAGGTTGAGACCTTACAAAAAGAAAGGACGGAGTTAAACGACCAGCTTAGTGTTTTGGAAGAGAAACTTGCGGAATCAAAAGAGACCATAGAGCGCCTTACTACAGCCTGCGTAAGACATCTCTTACCATTACACCTTCCGCAAATACGCTTTGTGCTATTTATTTAATAATTATTGCCGCTACTATTTGCATTAAAATGCCTGTTGCTTACTGATGCATAGTGAGTAACTTGTTTTGTGGCGCACATAGGATTCGTACAAAAAAGACTGCAAGGTCGCCGCAGAGCTTCTTCATGCTGACCCCAGCCGGTTTCTTCCCATCAACCTGGATCATCAGTATTCTTCGGTAAGCCTTACAAAAGTGTGAATTTATGGGAGACTTGATACACATTCCCTCTTCATTCTTGGCGTTTCTAATTAAACAATTTGTGCTGACTGGCTTGGTTGCAGCAGACGACACATGCAATGCTGTGTAGATAAGTGCCTCGTGTGTGTGAACTTGTGTGCGCATGCATACGTGAACACTGTGCGGACAGAAGAGCCAATTACTTCATTCATAAACATCTGAGGCTGCCTTTTACGAAACCTCTAAACTGCAAATTTTTCCGAAAGACTTGTCGGAGCTGTTTTATTTTGGAAAACACGAGGACATTTGACGATGAAAAAGGTCTTTTCTTATCAAAATAGTGATGAGGCAGACGTAGCGCTGAACGCACGCGTTCTGTAAACCGTTTTATGGTATGAATCGTAGTTAAGAAGAGACTATAATGCCTTCTGTGTCATACTACTGTTTTGGCTATAAGTAGCGTCAGTTCTGTTCCCTTCCCAATCTGCGTGCATCGAAATCTGTGGCCATTCTAAATTCATTTCTTTGCTTATAATTCACTAAAATCTATTGTTTTGAGGTTTGTTTTTTCCCGCTCTGTTAGTACGTTCAGTGTTAATGTCACATGTATTCACTCTGTGTTCTTCAGTTGTTGGTCATTGTTACCCGATTGCATCGCACAACTTCGTAAGCTAGTTGAGCATAAAACAGCCATGTAGATTTAGAAGTTTTGGGATGGTGGTTGCTTACATTCTCTTCTATCAGGAAGAGGTCTGGCACGTAAGGCGGCTCTCCTCTCTCGGACTTAACGTGTTTAACGTGTCAAATGACCAAGTATGCGATTTGAATGTTCACACCTCCAGATGCCCTGTTAATGCTGCTTTCTTTCCTTTATTTGTGTACTTCCTATCATTCCTGCGTCGAATTCCTCATTTTGTGTCGCCTACTGGCCCTATATTATCTTTATGGCCTGTAGTACCAGTGCGTTTTCTTGTATCTTAGAGCACTTGATGTCGATATAACCGAGTGGTTTATCGTGTTGCTCTTGGCAAGAAATTTGTCATTGTATGAGTGGTTGGTTTCTTTTGGTTTAAAAATTGAACGTTTGCAACGATAACTTCGGTTCCATTTTTGTAAAGTACTTCAATTATTAAGTGGCTCGGTGAGTTAAACCACAAACGTCCTCTCCAGTGTTGTTTTTCACTTGGGCACTACTTGGTACATAGGAGCTAAGTCCATCTCCTTTGTTAATTTAACCGTCCCATTAGCATTGCTTTCGTCTCTTCCAGTTGGGAGCTTGATTGGTGAAACCGGAACAAACAAAGTCGTGAATTTCCTACGAACATGCATGTGCATTTTATAACACAATTAAATGCTTTTTGAAGGCTTCTTAGAATGCTTCATTCTTAACCAGACAATCTTTTCTAACAGCTACAGTACTAGAGGACAGAGGTAAATATAGCCTCAGAAACTTCGTTTGCTCTCTTCTAATCTTCATTTCCACCCTGCACATTACCATGAGGTTGTCAAATACTAATGCTAACAGGATTATTAATGGCAACACGATTAGGGCGATGTGGAACAATGTGGCAATTCCATCCCAACTAAATGCCAAATAGGAAAGCCTCTACGATAGCATAAAGTACGGGTTCTTTTGTCATCATGGATAAAAAATAGAACCTTCCACTTGCTGGTTAACAAACACTGGGTGCCTTTGCGTTTGAATTGTTTTGTCCTCAAAAGTTCTAAACAGTTGTGTCTGGCGTCCACAACGCAACCATCATGTACAGCCTTCAGTGAAGGAAGTGTGGTTCTTGCGTTAGACATATGGCGCGGGTGGGGGATTTGATGGTAGCCACCAATGTTCTTGTTTGTTTGCTTAACAAATAGCAAACTGAAGTATAGGATATATTTTCACTGTAAATTGTTCAAAACAATACAATGATTTTTGAAGTTTATTGTTAAGTGAGGGCTATTTGATTCGCCTTCTATTCTTTTTGATTGGCTTATGGGCTAAAAGCTGTTTTCAGACAAAATTTTAAAATTGACAGGCGTAATTAGCATGACCGTTAAGTAGTTGTTTTCAAGGCCAAACGATCATTCTGAATTCAATACATGTTGAAGCACTGCTGTATATAAATAGGTTTCGAAACCAAGTCGGTGCAATACCCCGCAATGGCACCTTCTTGAAGGACTCACCTTATTTGACAGCAATTCAGCTTTTGTAGCCGTTAAATCGAATTTGGGTGTTAATTTGAAATAAAAGGTTGATATTAGGGAACGGAACCTAAAGTTTTTCTTTGTATTACACACACAAGACTGACCATACTTGTTTCAAAGTACTCACAATTTACAATCGGTAATGGCGGCACTTTGTCCCCATCAGTTCATTTACTTCTCCATCTGCAGTCAAATGCCTGTTCTGTTGTCTGTGTGCACCACAGTCGAAACATTTTCTACTTATGGTAAGTAGCCTGAGGGAATAAGTAATTCAGAGTAGTGTATTTCCTTTCTTACAAAGAAGGAAGAAGATATTCGGGCTGAATACGTATTGCTGGTGTTGCGACAGCCCGTGTCGGTCACTGAAAGGGTGGAGACAAAGCCCTCAATGATCGTCAAACCACAGTACGACTTTCACACCGACTTTCATTTGTTTTGGTTGGAGAGTTTGCGATCCCTTTAAATTTTCACTTTGTCTCGAATCACAGCAATCAACATTGCAGCAGTTTAGAAAAACGAATTAAAGTGAATTACTTAATGGGTCGGAGCAATTAATGCTGATACCTTTAATCCTACCAGTCCATTCCTAATATCTCCTTGGCTGCCGTCGAGATTAACTATTGTGGATTTTTGAAGCCTTACTTTGTTTTGGAAATCTGTCTTCCCTACGATTCATTTAGATTCGACTCCTTTGTCATCCTTAGAGACATTTTAGTTTAGGATTTTGGATAGTAAAGCGTAGTAAGGTGTTGGTGGTCCGCTAGGCATATGAACTGGTCAGGCAGGATTGTGACCTATACCTTAGACTGAACTATGTAGTTTAGTTAATTAGGCAACTCGAGATCGTGTGAACTTACTACGTGGGAATTTTGCATTTATCTGAACGTTTCAGCCCTCCAAACATCGGGAAAGATCGTCCACCCCTTCAGACGAACATTTACTTACGGCTCCTACGCACTATCTTCTTCCCACTACCTTTCCACCCATCGCCCTTTACTCCACTGAGCAGCCAGCCCTCCCGCGGCATCCTTCTGGAACTTTGTCGTCCCAGTCGAGTGGCTGTAAACCGGCACCTTCTGACGGTCTTATTCTCGAGATTTAACTTTGACATGCTCTCTCTACTATTATTTTTATTTTCAAGTGCCTTGCTTGCTAGTGGTTACTGGCTTTTTTTATTACAAAGGCAGGTGAATTAGCACTATTTAGTATCTTGCTTTTAGCTGTAACAACAAGTGCCTCCAGCAAATGCGCTAAAAGCGGGTGCTGGGGGTTCCGCATAGTGTTGACCTCGTTAAAAAATGCATTAAGACCTCCGACAACTTAATTGGTAGCATTCACATTTTTTGGTTGTTTAAACGTTCATGATTCGTATTTGGATTACATGGAAGATTCGTAGTGATCCTGCATTTGGCTATCTCATCGCTGTCTCCTTAGCCTATGGTCCTGCTATTGCATCTTGAACACATAATCCTTGTGCTCCCAACTTTTATTCTTGTTATGTGCCCTACAAGGGATTCGTTTGGATCCATTGTCGGGCTTTAAAAGTCTTGATTGTCACCGGATTCGGGCTTTTCCAAAAATCAGGTAAAGTTGTTTTGTCTGATGTCACGTTTAGGCGTAGAACACATTTGGGATTTAGGTATTGGAACACGCACCTTTATGATCTTCATCTCTGTCTTTTTCGCTACATCATAAAGAAGGCGACTGACAGTTTAATCATGGGCTCCTCCATTAAAGGCCAGTCAATAATTTAATCGTACCATTGCCGGGGTGGAATATCGGTACCTCAACTAACAGCCGTCCAAAATCGCTTCGACGTGGAATATTACATGGAGTTGATATTCACTATGGACAATCTTTATACTCATGACCTCATTGTGATCACAACTAGCAGGTTCAAGGCCGCCTTGACACCGTTGACTCTCAGTCTCGGTTGGTGTCTTTTCCCATTTTGATAGACGAGGGCGTACACAATAGTACGCGACTCCCTTACGTCGATTCTGCATTGTAGCTCTCTTCTTGTGGGTGGTCCATTTTACGAAGGGCTCAGTTTATGCATCTGGATTGCCGCAGAAATGGAACCTTTTAGATGTTATTTTGTTTTGGTCACCAGAGTACTCTCAAACTTCATTCTCATCCGAGAGCTGTTACACTTTCTCTTCCACCAGTACTCTGCTGCGGCTAGGGCTGATAGTCCATTCTCTCTTAGATGATGTGAAAGTCGTGAAACATTTATCGCCTTCAGCACAAACCTCATTTACGACGATGTCGTCTATCATCCTATCACTTTTTTGTTGTCTAAAAGAAATGAACAATCCTCCAAGCATCTTCCATGCGAAATTCCCTCCACTCAAAGTCATGTGCTTGCTGCAGGCCAAAGGCCACGTAATCGGTTGAAGATGGTCAGATGATGCTCGTTTGCTTTTTCCATTCACTCAGTAGATTCTCTCTAACACTGATCTCCAAGCAAATGAAAGATTCAATTATTTTTTGTCTCAAGGTTTTACTCCTTGCAATCATTGTGGAATTAGACCATGATTGTTTAATTCTTCCTAAATTACGACAAAATATTCGGTTGTAGTATTTATTACTGCTCTTGCATTTCAATGTGACCTTCCATTCCGATCGATATGTTGCTTCGAATTTTTGATCTCTCCATAGTAATTTTACCGCTTCCGATGCTAATCGTCACCACCTACACAATGCCTACTTCAAGGCCAACAATACAATTGGTTTTGTGAGTTTTTGGAGGTAAACAAATAAAATAACTGGTCACGTATTACTCAAAAGCAGGTTGTCACTCAAAGTGATTGCAGTGAGCATGTGAAATCGTAAGCTCTCCCATTGTCGAGATTATCATTTATCTCGGATTCTTCAGTGCTACTACAGCACTGACCACCCGTTCAATTGCGTAGCAAGTGCCCTTTCGATGACATTAATGGATCTTCGGAGTATCCTTTTTTTACGATATCAAAGTGGGAATTGAAGGAGAGGAATGAACTTTGCCATTTTCGAAAGGGAGCCCCTAAAGCGCAGATTGAAGTGCTGACAGCCAGCTTGCCAATTTGGCTAGGCACTAGACATCCCATTCAATCATGTCAATCGACGAACACACTGGCAATGGCGGACCTAACAGTCGTGCAGCGCCAAATCATTTTCGCTCCTAATGCCACGTACACTATGGTGCACATGATGATTTTTTGTTTTTTGTTCTAAAATCACGATCAGAACGTACATCAAGTACATTCATTGTGAAGGCCGTACAAAAAAACAAGAGAACGAAATGGTGGAACACGATGAATCCTCATAAATCCGTCTTCACTCTATCAAGATTGTGCCCATATCCCATAGTTCCACTTTATTTTCATACTCATCCACTTTCAGAATGCTGTGTTTTGGTTCGAAGAGAGGAGAGAAGAACAAGCCAACATGTATCAGAAGAAATTCGTCTCTTGGTTTTATCGAGGTCGAACACAATATCATAGCAGTAGAGACTGGGGCAGTGGGGCTGGTGGATAAAAAAGTTGCAAGAAGAAGGGGGAAAAAATTCAACTCATGAAAATGTTGAAGCTGATTGAGAGAAAAAATGCTAATAAAATTAGACGCAATTTTGGTGTCAAGCCTCGAAATATAGATATTCATTTTTTGGCTAAAAAGAAGGAAACCAAATATTTGTCGAATAAGCATAATATTTCAAGTTTCACTGGCGTAAATATTGGCTAGATGGAGAATTGGAGAAAGGAGGGAGGGAGGATGATCAATTAGACAGGAGAAAATGTGAAACCCCCATGATTTCCAATAAAGGAAGGTGTATTGCGAGAATTGCGTGGACATAAATCGTTCCGTTTGCAGCTTGAGGAAAACCTTACAGGTAAAGTAGGATGTTGAGAAGCTAGAAAGGTAGGAAAAGTGACAATTAAGGAATCTAGATTGAGAGGAAACAAACCGAGTGAATTTGGAAAGTTACCTGAGCACCTCCATAGGAGTTGCCAGTTCTCATGGTCTCGAATGCTGTTCTTAGACGCGCACAGCAGATTATGTAGTCGTTGAATCGCAAGATACGATCGCGATTTGAAAATCTCAAGACGACACTTGTGAAAGTTGCATTATCAATGTGATAACCTGTAAAAGGGGACTAGTTTAACTCAAGTCTTCCAATAGGTTGTGCTGTCTCATTTGTTTGACAACCAGTGACATTGCATACCTGCACAGTTGAGTGCATTTCGAAGTTCGAAGGTGCTCATAGTTCCACTGTTGTCGGTGTCAAACTTTTTGAAGATAACCTGAAGCACAAAATATCAACTTAAGAGTAACAAGGAGGAAATGGGGAGGAGGTAATAATAACTAAACGGAACCAACCTTCCAAAGGCGCAAAATTTCCCAAAGGATTTTGAATTCTTCAAAGTCCAAACTACCTGATCGGTCGACCTGTAAAAAAATGAAGCCATTTTGTCTTTTAATGCCCAAATTTAGTGCGGTGTTTAAGGTGAGCCAATGGAAACATAAACGCATTAAAGAGGTACCAGAAAAGAAGGACATATGGACTCACATCCAACATAGAAATAAGAGAACGGCAAGCTTCAATGCTAAAGCCGTCAAATGTGAAGTCTATAAAGGAGAAAAAAACATGAACACTTTAACTTGGCATCGATAATCGCTACAATCGCAACAAACACACTCACGCAAACCGTTGAGAGAGTGGGTGTTAGGGCCAACAGGGGTTATGCTCTACAAGGATCTATCCATCTTTATGACTTTGTCTGTTAGAGGTTATTTCTCACACCTTTCTTTACATTGACAGCAGAGATGATGCAGGCGCATTCATTTGGTGGAGCATCAAAGTATCCTCAGTGGTGCGAAGACAGTAAACGGAGGTAACATAATTGTGACAGTTGAAATTTCTTTCCCATTAACAATAAGTAGCACATTCTGACGATCAGAATCATGCAAAATGTTTGCGTTTGTGTGTGTGTGTGTATGGGAGAGAGGAGAATAAAGGCATGCGGCACAACACAGTCGCTAACTACCTCATGCAGAAAGGAGAAGAAAAATATAAACATAAACTGGTTGACATAAGAAAGTCGAGGATTCTACATGTGCCTTTAAACTGAGTCATTTTTGTGATGAAAACCTCCATTGAGCTTAGACATTTGCAGTAAGAAAGACCAGTTAATGTCTCAAGCTTCAATCTATGTGGCAAAGTTAAATGAAGGAAGAGAAGGAAGAAACGGTCATTAGTTAAGGCACGGATGATGGCGCCCCTTCAAACACCATTACTAGGATATGGAGAGACTGAAACGCAAGCAGGCAAAAGCAAGCACACACCCATCAGTGGCTATGAAACCACGAGGTTAGGAAACACAGCAAGGGTGGCGACTACTGACTACACACTAGAGGCAGACAGAATGGGTGAGGGACGACAGAGAGCAAAGCTAAATCGCACCATGTTCACCGGCTTCGGAGCCAGCCTTGGCGCCAGAAGGGCCGTTCTCCGCAGTGTCGTTCTCGGCCTTTTGCCCGAGGCCACAACACAGCAAACTGAAGCCTCTGGAGGTCGCCCGAACTGTGACTGGAACTGGTGCGGGAGTCGGTGCCTTGGTGGTGCCTTCACGACCATCGTTGAGCTCTGAGGAGGGAAATTATTAAGGTTGTCAAGACTTTGGTGCTGCACACTCATCCACCCAGGTGCGCAGGCACGCTGGACGGCCGTTGAATCTCTCCCTTCCTTCTTCCCTCTTTCTGTGCCCTCTCTTGCGCATTCAATTATCCACCTCCATCATCTCCTCCCCACCTTATCATTTCACCACCATCCATCCATTCCAATAGTTCCAAACAGGCTCAGAGGACTGGGCTTCTGATCAATGGGTGTGGGTGTGGAAAAATCAACAGTGGAGATGGGTCACTGTTGAAGAAGATGCAGGGTCACAGAAGGAAAACACCAATTTCAATTTTGCTGCCAGGGAATAGAGAGTCACATAAATGGGAAGGAATGAAGCTGTTATCAGATGCAGGAAAAGAGAAGTGAAAAAGATATCCAGTTTCTGTAAAACAAGAAATGTTATGGCCAAAAAGCTTCACACTTTGTGGACAGTGTTTCTACTTCTTATTTAGCGAAATATGCGCTGTTTCCATTTGAAGCAAATCCATTTAGCGTTCTGTAAATAGATGATTCCGTTTAGCACCTCCTTAAAACACTTCATAATTGGAGCCAGACGAGAAGTAAACGTGCAACCTTGAAAGAACCAAAAAAAACGACAACTGCGGAAGAAATACTGTAAATCCTACACTAAAGGATTTGCGCCAAACTGCAAAACGTAAAACCTATTTTTGGCTTCACACATGATGTAGCCTGTGTTCAGTCAAGTAATGCAAAAGCAAGATTTAGAGTCATAAAAGCTGATACACCCATTTGGGAAGCTGAGGGAATAGACATGTGGAAAGATGGGAGCAGTAGCAACCACCTTGACGCTAACATCACCACAATAACTATGTGCTATAGCACCCGGATTGGATCGTTTGAGCTTGGCTTAATCACCAACGTGACAGCCAGCCAATAGCGCCTCTGATCCTAAAATAGCTAAATAGCTAAAAGGTACGATCTCTAAATTATTCACGGGTACCAATAGCTACGGACATGCGAATTTGACAGGAAGACGGTGTGCTATTGCCACTATTATTTTGCATATGGCGTCAATATTTTCGTCTGGTGAAGGTTTGTTACGAGTTAATCATAAGCTCCAGTTAGTAGAGAATGTCTTTTAGAGAAGTCGAGAGCGGAAAATGGATTGACATCCATGAAGCGCACCAACATCCTGAGTACCACAATTAAAGTCCTCAAAAAAAACATAAGTTGGCATTCGCTTCGAAAAACAATTCCGGCGAGAATAAGTGCTACCTTTCTGGGGTAGTGCCTTGACCTTACAGAGGTGCCTCAATGTGATGGAACACATTGAGTCAGGGTATTTCAAGAACGAACTGACTTTATGCACTTGTGTTGGGTCATTAAAGGCAAAAAAGCAAAACAATCACAGCTTTTGTTTTTCATCCCTTGCCACCAGTAATACAGTTCTCGAAGGATTAAATCAACATCATTGTCTCCACAGGAAGAGGCTTTTGGGTGTAGCTATTGGGGTTGGCGAATCTCACCGATAACCCTTCAGATTACATGTATGGACAGGGGTTAGCTGAGTGAATGACCATAACGCCCAACTGAGGGCCAAATGCTTTTATTAGCGTGACTGAAGATCCATGCAACTTAATGAAAAAGTTGTAGGGAAAAGAAGGTACCAAATAACTTCCAAAGAGCAAACAAAAGACCAAGTAGTCACACGCACACATACACAAATTGGAGATCCGAGGAAGAAGAACTATAGCAGTGCGGTCAAGGTAAACAAGTGTAAAGCTTCAGGCACAGGCCAAATCAGTCGAAAGCAAAGCTCACATGCGTATAAAGTAGCAACTTATGCTGGTGGGGAAGGAGAGGCAAACAAAACCAAATAAGACAAGTGAAAGAATGTAAACTACTAACTCAGGTTGGCAGAAGCGTGAATGGTTGATAAAAGGGAGGAAGACGGATATAATTTTAGAGGGAGCAGAGCGAGGGTAGGAGGGAAGGAGGAAGGGCGTGCACAAAGCCAAACAACGGCGTAAACCTCTCTCCTCTATAACATAATTGTGATCCTGGTGGTAATGATACATCACGTACAAGGCACTGAACTACTGGTGCGATTGGTGCAAAAGCAATTCAAAAATTGTTAGTAGTAGTAATAGTAGTGATAAAGAGGAGGACAAATAGGTGGATAGACTGAGAGTTGGTGAGATGATTTGATGGGTCGACAAATGAATGGATGGAATGGATGGGTGGAAGTGCGTACAGGAAGACGAGAGGGGAATTCAGCAGCAACACTGCGCATCAAGTGCTATGAAGGGGAAGGAGGATGGGAGGAGCGGCGAGGGCAGGGAGTGGAAGAGGCGATGGGAAGAAAGGTGGACTCACCTTTGGTAAAAGCAACATTAAGAATATCGATCAGCTCGTCAGCCGTGATCTCTCCATCGGGGCCGCAGACCTTTTCAAAGGCATTCTTCAGCGCCACTACTTGACTCTCACTAATTGGCTCTGGCATCAGTGCACCCTAATTAAGGCAAAAGGAACGGCTTAGGATCCACAGGGGAAAAGAGCTGCATGAATATGTGTACGGTTCTGGAAGAATAATGGACTACTTTAAGTTATCTCGATCAGTCTATCATGCGTGTTAAATTAGTTGGAGGAAGACCTGGATAATATTTGATAAGACGGCATCCCTGAGTGCAAAGATATTTTTTTACTGCCATGCAAAGACATTACACTTTCTTCGACGATCCGAATCGTTCTGCCTTTTAGTTGAACTACCTTTTAATTTACAAGATGAAGGGAGAAGAAAAAAAACGACTCCAGATTAATAATGAATGAAGCTATGGCAAGGAACTCACCTCTCTACAATAAAGTCGAATAAGGTCATGCAAGTTATAACACACATGCTATTTGAGGTGAGAGATTAAATAACCAGCAATCTAATCAGATATTGGCAATGCTATGGCCCGCTTGGACCGCTATAGCGCACAGATCGAGAGAAAAATATGGAATCAGTACAAGCACCACAGTTGAAGAAGTTTATTGAATTAGCAGTAAATCCCTACATCACTTTTAAAGTATTACATTCTACGATGAGGCAAAGAGCATCATTTCGTTCTGATGCAAAACATCCGACGCAAACCTCAGAAAGCGGTTCAATCGGCGGGGTAGATACGTGGGCCTAACTACAAGACTAGCATTAACTACTGTAGTTCCCCTAACACACGCAGAGCACTAATGCAAATGAGTAGCGCATTCACGGCCTCACGTCTGAATTATGTAAATTGCAGTCGGTTTGGGGCGATCCAGCCGGAGCTTGACTCTTAGCAGATAAAGAGGGAGTCAATAAAAAAATGAAACCCAAAAACAATAGAAGATGGGAAATCTCAAAAAAGCCGCCACAGCAAATTCAACACTGCAAATCAAAACAAAACACTTTAAGTGTAAGAGAGCGATGCCACAATTTTTTGCCTCGGTCAAAAACTATTGTGAGCCAAAGCTTGTTGTATCTGCGTCCCAGACCAGAGCACCACACAACGTGCTAACACACACAAAAAATCAACTTACGGATTTTATTGGAATGCCTTTCTGATAATGTAACACAAACATTATTATGGGAAGAAAAACAATAATTTCACTATTAGTCGTGAGAAGTACTACAAAAATTTTGTTTAAATTTTAAGAAATTGTCTATCCTTCAGACGATCTTAAAAGTAGCTTAGCGATGACTACAAAAAAGCGTTTTCACAATCCTTGCAAGAGCATTTAAACCTTGAGGAAGAAAAAAAGAAACATCAGGAATAGTGAAACACAGCATCCATTCGAGCTTGCATAGCCAGAGATTTTGAGCAGGCCGACCATTCACACAAACAGTACAAAAATTGGAGGCAGTGGTCTCAGCCCAGAAACATAGCATGTACAGGAGTAGTGATAGGAGGCAGCAGATAAGTACTGATCTTTTGCAAAAGCAAAAGACAACTTACTGGCTTTGCAGGTCCCATTGGCTTCTTTAAGGGGATTGCAATACATGGTGAAGACCAATTAATCGGGAGGCATAAGGGCAATAAGAGCACAATCGAGCCAAGTCTAGCAACGCGATAGTTTGGGAGTCAGCTTTTATACAGAGTGCTGGATCTACAACTACTTGGAGATTCAGGCTACTAGGGGATGAAATACACATCGCTTTGTGGCACTTAATATCATTCGAGTAAAGCAATGCAACTCCACTTGTACTTGCGGAGATGGATGACAACTGAGAAAGGTATGAAACACATTCACTCTACAAGTGGTGAAGTTTAAAGAGTTTGTGAGCTTTTGAGTGGAGAGTCTTCATCAATACTTCATTGCAGTTTCTCATGAGAAAGTAGTAAGCAGCCTTAGCGAACATCATAACATTACAACCTATTGCTAAATAGATCAAGAAAGGATTGTAAGGTGATAGCAAGTAGATGGAGTGCTAGGATAACGTAGCTTCAACTTACTCTCCATTTTATGAGGTCAGAAGTTATTCAAAGAATGAAGTGAAATGCAAACTAGTAAACATGCAGGTAGACATGGAAATAACTAGGTAAACAATTCTACAGTGGATGCCCATCCATGCTTCACAGATGACGTCAAGTAATAGAATTTGGAGCACTGTCATGCACTTGATGTTGTAATCAGGAGCTTAAAGAGCCAATCAAGTACAACAGGCAACACGAAAACGCTGCACATTCTAATAGCCTTAAACTCACCTTCTTATCTTTCTAAAATCGCAAATTAATTCAAGGCATAGATTGAGCTCTGATAACCCTCCCAAACATTTAGGTTGAGCGGTAGTTTAAATACGAGCAAGTTTGAAAGCTGGCGCCCGTCAATTACTCGTCGATTGGCGAAGAAGGAGCACCTCTAACCGGTAGGGAGAGAGGTTCAGTTGTCAGTCAGTGATGGGTGCACATAATACAATGGTAGCGCGTTCACCCTGGTTTAGTCACAGACTCACTGAATACACCGCCACCCAAAACAAACGCCTCAGCTATGATTACACCAAAGGTGCTCAGATGATGGAGGAAAAGTCAGTGATAGAAACAGAGTAGAGTAATCGTAGTTGATGAGAGAGCTCGCCAGGCATAAGCGTATGTATGTGTGGTGATAATGAGTATTCAAGTTGGTTTGGCAAACAACTGCATGCTTGAGTACCCACTATTTACCCCCAGTGTGCGCATAATTGTGTGAGCACTTCAATTCCTGTTGTCAGCACCATCATCTTGTGACATGCTGGCATGGTCAGTCTTCATTATAAGTGTATCTTCCATCGATTTTGAAAGACTCCAGACCCTATTGTCAAACTCTTTGCCAAAGCAAGACTAGATCAAATTTTATGAAATGCACTAAAACAAGTCGTTGAGGAGAAAGCACTGTATGTCACAGGCAGTAGGCTATTCTGGAACGGAACTTACTTCTGGTTCTTCCATTCCAACAGAGTCATCCATTTGCCTAAAATGACAACAAAAATAAGGTCAACAAAACCAAACGGTTAAATTAACGTCGGATCGGTGGGCTTATTTCGACACCTTAATGAGGTAGACTCTATTAGATGCACACCTTGAATCTCCTCTATTAGCTCAAACAACGTCCCAAAGGAGGAAAATTGATAGCCTTTCATTAATAAATAGAGAATGGAGTAGAACCTACTCAGCAGTGCTGACTTTCTCTGAGAAGATACGCAGAAGGAAATCGGCACGCTCGTTCTTGGCGAATGTGGACGGCACAATGACGTACGTTCCAGGTGGCAGACGGAAACGACCGGTTACCTCACGAGTGTTGATGAAGGCCGGAGATCGCGCTACTGCGGCATTGTATTTGAAGAAATTTAAGTCCAGCAGACCCTCATGTCGTTCTTTTAACTATTCAAGCAAAGACAACGTTACTATTTCCTGTTTCCAGTTAGTGCCACAGGATTAATAAACTATGATACCATTGCAGAGGTTGCACATAGACCTCCTTTGTGTCATGTTGTCCTTTCTGAATGAAGACATAACTAACCTCTCGGAAGTGAAGGAAGTTTAATTGGATTGAGCCCAACAATAACTTTGAAACTCACTCCATAAACCATGAAACCAATGGTGAGTAATTCAGCACCCTGTTTACGCATTTTTCGGCGATCCTTTTGCATCAGGCCGACAATCAGAGTTCCCAAATTTTCATTGTCGTCGTCATCAGCATCGTCAACCTCCACACGGTACTGAGGATTCGTCCAGAATGTTTCTATAATTAACACGACAATAATAATCATTAATTAGTAGTTTCCACTCAAAATACGAATTAATTTCGACATGCTCTGACCCCTAAAGGGTGGATAAAGTTTTGTAATCGTTTAAACGACTTTATCGTAAGTACACGCCTAACCGCATCAGGTTACTCTCGGCAAACACAGTACGATGCCCGAGTTCAGTGGATGTAACGAAGTGCCTCCAACTTCAGGTTCTATGTAAACCGATAGAGCAGCTGAACCTCCTATCAAACATTTTCCAGGCCAAATAGCTAAAGCATAGTTTTCTAGTAATACAATTTCAATCCCCTTTTTACATAGTGTATAGGTAAAATAAAGTGCAAAACAAAAAAGTGGTAATCACATTTCTTCTTGCCGAAAGTGAATGGCAGACTCTGAGCAAGGTTGTGCAGTTTATGCCCACCTTTCCATACGCACACACAAGTAGGTGTCGCATAAAACCTCATTCCCAGGGCCTTTGCAGACAAAAGAAGACGCAAATTAGTTGATCTATAGCCTGACATCCGAACACAGAATCAAAAGTACACAATGAGAGGTGATACTACTGACACTACGTCTTCACCTTCGAAGGAAGGGAACTTTCAAACTGTGAGAACCTTCAGAACTTACTAAACAATACACAATAATCGTGAGTAATCGTATTAATGGTGGTTTGTACCAGATGATGGTGTTTTAGAGATCGTGTAGAACTTTGATAAATAATTCTTTTGGATAAAAAAAAAATTTCGAGCGCACCGAGGAAATTGCGACAGCCACCAGCGTTAACACCAGGTTGCCAACCCCCATGCTCAAGGGTCATCTCAAAGGCCACCTTCTTGCGACTCTCGTCCATGTTCAACGACTGCGGACCGAGAGCGCACATTTCAATCTTCTCAAATTCGTTAACAAAGTCATCGTAGCACATCCTGTCAAGAGAGTAGAAAAGTCAAAGGAATACACAATTGGAATTGAGATGACAAAGTTGAATTACATTCCTCTAGTGTGAATTTTGAAGTGGTTCTCAAAATCAGTGAAATGGAAAGTATCTAAGGAATTCAAGAAGCAGTAGCCAAGCTATTGCACTACAATAAATGATTTATTTCAATTTCCATATGGGAATAATGCAAAAACAATTAATGAATGTGATGGTACGGCAACCAAAAGGAGTTTGGATTGTTGTCACTGACACCTTCTTTCCACTTGACTTTATCAAGAAACTTCAAAGAAAATAGAAACCGCATCTTTTGAGAGAGGTTTGAGCTTACCAAGACGGAATGAAGTAAAACTATTAATGCCAAAAGTGCACGACAATTTAGCATGTCAAGAAATGTGACAAGTGGCAATGAAGCAGAAGGAAATCTCCTCAAACTCCATCAAAAGCAGAAAGGCAACTGGTTAAATACACTCCTCTGATGTAATACTTCTTCAAAATTTCGGCTACTAGACATGCCTCTAGTCTGACATGTGGGAAGGCGTTGGCGAACTTTGATATTTCTGTGAATCAAAACATGGACTACTGCTTGAGAATGCCTTTCAAAGAGTAGCTTCTGTGACATCATAGCCGAACAGTGATTTCATCTTTACTCAATGCCGCCGTGGTTTAGGGAGTTTGGCATGCAGAAAATGTAGCTGAAAGACCTCACACCTCCACCAATGAGGCCCCGAAGACGACTGCAAACTAAGTTTACACACGTAGCATAAAATGCTGGTCGAGTTATGATGCAGCCGCTAGACTTGCCAATGCGCCAAACTGGTGCCACAACCAAACAAAAAGGAACCGTTTCAAATGGATGAGAGGTTGGTGAATAGGAGTGAGTGCAACAACGCAGGATAGACGCAGCTCACATGGCAGAAATGCATTAATTTTATTTATCTAATGGTTCGCCTGCAATGTTTTACCATTTTCGGTGGGCAAGACGACAAGAGGAGAGGAGCATTAGACCTGAGGGATGTTCAAGCGCCTCGGTAAGTTCTAAGCTTCTATTTGGCAGAAAATCCAAACAATTCATTACATCAACTCCATGCCAAAGCATCTACACGACAAACCAGCCAACGATCAGTGTACAATGCATCAGAATTATATTATAAACACCAATTTCAACTAAGAATTAATTAATTACGTGGAATTTAGATTATCGTTGTTGTTTTATCCTTACAAGAGCCATACACCAAAGCATCTAGTCTTTGTGACTCAACACACCCTGGTAGCGAGATTGCGACAAAGAGTGCTGGCCTTTCAAGCTAGCACAATGACGCCGCCTCGCAATATGCACATCAAACTGAAGGCATGCTAACAACAACGCACACACACGGATTGAGAAAGCCTTTTAATGCAAGGACTTGATGCATTAAAAGGGGAGCCATTTTGAATAATTTATATTGCGAATCTCATTAAATTACAATCGCGTACTCCTCTGGTCCCGCGAATAAAAGTTTTACTACATTATGATCCCCATATGTGTCTTGAGCTGCTTGAATGGACACATTTAAAGGGCTTCAATCAACCCTTTCGTTCACCATTCCACGGTTATCTGACCCTGTACGGATGCCAAAGAGGGGCTGAGAAGCGTCCAATTTTGTTGTCTTAACGCATAATTATCCCCGAATAAGTGTTGGACGATCAGTTGACCAATCATGTGTGCGACTGAATGGAAATGCACGCAACCACTTACATGCAGACATGAGAGCGCATAGCGACGAATGCACGTCCATAAATGCCCCACTTTAGTGAGGATGACATTTATGATAAGGGTCCAATATACACCAAATTGCACAATTATGCCCACTTTAAGTGCAGACACGGCACAAGGAAGGAAGAGGAGATGTAAGAGCGATTCTGATTCCAGCAACGTTCATTTGATGGAAAAGGATGTGGCGAAGTGATGCTTAATGTAATAGATAATAAATGAGAGAAAATTCGTTGCTGAACTGCTGTCCACTAATAACCTGCCCAGCTACCAAGGTCACATCAATCAGTGTGCCATAAACCAGCGCGATACTTAATGAGCCAAAGTACACATTGAACTTTACTAATGATAATGTTTGGTTGCTTTGGCATTTGATACGCCGATAACTTGTGTATGGTTGGACTTTTAACTTGGGAAATTTCTCGAAGTACAGACCAGGACCCATGGAAAGGTGGCTGGAATGACTTTGAGGAGTCTCCCTCCCTCTCGCAACCAAGACATGAAATCTCAATCCCCTTAATTGAAACTAATGGAACAGGAATATTTTTTCCTCCACATAAGTTAGTCAATTTTGCAATCACATTTGATAAATAGCGTAAAATATCATTCTCTCGAAGGTACAGACATGAGAGAGATTAGAAGAATCGTTATACTCACTAGTTAGAGGCAAAGACAACAAGTTTCTCTGGAATGCAATGTTCATTTATGATTTTTTTTTGTGCATTCCTTAGTAAGAATAAACATTTATAACTAGAATTTTCAAGAGAGATGCACGGATATGACATTCTGCCTTAGGAATCTCCAAATCATGCATTGAAGATCGAGGATGGAAGATAAGAAATATGAAAGCCTTGATCGTTGGCAAAGAATTTGTGCATCAACCTAGTTCGACGAACGCCCAACAGACCCGCGCACGTCCACCTGTCTTGGATTTGTGCACGCAACATGATGGCCGAATGACTCATTGGCTAGACCAATCCAGCAAGCACACACCTTCTAGATGCTCTCTTTTGCTATCGATGTGCGGGTGAAAATGGCCGAAATTCAACTTACCAAAACTCGCCGTCGGCTTCGACGCTGAGGCCAAGTTCACGACGCTCGCTGTCGGAGACCGTGCGCCACTCCGGAGAGGAGTCACCCCAACGGCCCTTCCATTCCGCCTCGTTTCCCCAAGGATTGCGGAGACGGAGCAGTTGTACCGGTCCTGAACTCGTGTTCACCTGAATGGAGAAGAGAAGGAGGAAAATCGTTTTATTAGTTAACAGGTTATAGTACAGACCGTTGAATTATATCCTTTACTTGCTGATAAGGTCAATGATAACTGTGAAAGTCAAACCACCATCAACACGTAACCAAGGCGGATAGTTGAAAGTGACCCTTAAAAAAGAGTGATCATAAAAATACTTATCATTCTGTATAAGAACTGAGTCATAATTGCCATGAATGGCTTTTAATAACAACTAAAATTCGTTGCTGCAACTCACCCTAACGCTACTTTTACATCCCATAAAGGTTAAATCACTTTCAGTTAAAGGATTGGACCACGCGAGATCACAAAAGACATCACACAAAATCATGGTGTTAAAAGTTGGCCTGACATATGTACCGAACTTATAACCCCTTTGGCCGTAACGATGACCCAAATAATAGAGATGACCAAAGGACTTGAAAAATGAGTGATCGCATCCCCTCAAAACGTCGGATCGGAGTAGGCGTTGGCAACAGGTATGGGAATGAATACTCGTGTGAGATTTCCTTATTTTCTTAAACTGTTCACCAATAAAAATAAATTAAAAAAATAAACAAAAAGTAGCCATTGAATGGAAAGGTTTCCACCAGAGGCCCAAAAGAGCGTTACCGAGAAAAATTAGTCAAATGAAATGCACAACTAATCCATTGAACTAATACTTTCTTTGCGGATTTATGGATGAATTTGCATGAATGAAGTTCCCAATACACCTCTGTGAACTATATCAATTATTTAAACCCAATCGTTGGGACAAAGTAAGAGTGTGAAGTCTGACAAAGCCAGATAAACTAGCACGTTTAGGTAAAAGTCCAAGAACAACAAAGGAAGTGATGGCTCTTCTTACTTGGGCAACTTTAGTTAAGGAGTAGGCATGTCCACGAATGAGACCGTTGGGCTGTTCAGCCTCCAGGACATTAGGATCAGGGCTAATGGAACAGGCCATGAGAGTTTGCCGTGCATAACATTTGGTCAGGATCTTGAACAAATCCGCTGGTTGCTTGCCGCGGAGATCGTAGTATTCGGCCAGGCCACCCGTGAAATCCTCCAACGCCTCTATTGTACTGCCACCACGAAGGCTTTCATAGGAGCCAAACAACCTGAGAGGAAAAAGAAAGTAGTTCAAATTAAGCTAGTGGAAAAGGAAATGGACAACCAAAAACAATCGATCAGCATCGCAGAATGTGCCCATTGGCTGAAAGCCGAGGAACCCTTGATTGGACAATGAGATCGAGTGAATGGTTTCCCTAAAACTACTCCATTATTTATTTGAAAAAAAAGTATTAATTCTTAAGTACAAATCCTTCGTTATGCAGGTGATGTTTAGATAAAGCAAAATATGGAAGTTAAAGGGAAGTGAGAGACACTAGCCTTCGTTAAGCTTTAGTGCACAAAACCAATCTGTATCACTCCAAAGTACGGAGTTCACTTGAAAAAAATTCGCTGAGACTCGAGGTTGAAATACTGTCCTAGTGTTCAGTGACTCGTGAATCAAGTCCTCGATAAAAGGTCAAGAAGTAGCATGGGATTTTCTCTCAAAAGGACCTCTTTTGTTGATCAAAAATAATGTCCCTATTGAGAAATTAAACAGCTAGAAAGGGCCCATAGCAAGATCAAATAATGGGAGTAAGGTGAAGCCAAAGTTGCCTAAGCAACAATTGACACACAAAAAAAGGCGTGGTCAATTAGCCAATCAAAAACACGCATGAGGATTGCGATTGTCTCAAAAGCACAACAATGCTACCAAAATCAACTTGGAGAAGTTGCAGCATCAAAATCAGACAACCTACTTGGCGTATGCCTTTTCGAGGAGAGCTGACCAAAATTCATCGCGATCAACGGAGTGCATGAATACGAGGCTCCCATTGCGAGTGGGTAGACGATCATCCACAACCACCTCGACCCATTCACCGAAACGCCAGAATACAAACCGAAAGACACCACAATAATCCCTATCGAACTCTTGGTCAGGTGGAATGACCTGATCGAGGAGATCTTCGTACAACGACAAGTTTGCAACGGCCGCCAGCAGCCAACAGTCACCTGTAGGATGGTATCAGTGTCACCTATCCGAACTGACAAGTTCTACGCTCTCAGGTTGCATTTCAATTCTATATCACGAAGGAATCACCATTAATGACCACGAGAAATACAACAAGGTTTGCCCATAATAAATAGGAGTGGAATGGCGACTTGAAGGGTTATTTCTATTACCATCAATCGTAAAAAAACCATCTGCAATTAGATCATGTTGGGTCAGTTTTTTCCTCCTTGCGGTAGTAAATACACAACTTCTCCTAACAGACATATGACGAACATTACTTCAAGTTTCTTGGTTTAAGAAGCGACATTTTTGCTCAACAAATTTGTCCAAAGCCTTAGAATACATGTTTATTTTAGGGCATTCGCTTGGAGAAAAAAGCGACTACAAAGTAATCTGCAAATCTTGTTATCATTAAGCAGATGAAAAGCTGTTTAGACCAAAAACTCAGGCAAAGACCATCGCCTTTTCTAGAATATCGCGTTTAATTTTTGAATTATTTGGGTTTCATCGAAGGAAACCAAGAAATCTGCAACAAGTCCTCAAAGTGTTATTTTTATATACGCCAATGTAGATCACACAAAGTTACTTATTGCATCAATGTGTTTGGGAGTGAGAAATCAGGAGAGCTAAAGAGACTCACCCAATTCTCCCTGACGCACATCAAAACGGCTTGTACCACCGGAAACAAATTTAGGGTTGCTGCAGAATTCCTAAAAAATGAGATAACAAAACTGCACTAGTCGTAAAAGGCGATGTTATCTCGTACAAATGGAAACATAAGGGAGATCACTAGAGATTTTCAAAAAAAGCTAAAAAGAAAAATACATATCCAACAATTCAGACAACCGTAATGGACAGAAGGATAGTAAAGTGAGGTAAAATTAGGTGTACGTTGGTGAAATTGAAGTGACTATAACCAAAAAAGGTGGATACCTTTGCAATATGAGGCCAATAGTCTGCCTTTGGGTACCACAGACTAAAGCCACAGATGAATATATAGCAGAGTCAGTAATGCGAATGTTTGTGGAATACACTAACGGTAGCTCAGAAAACAGGAATCCAAATATCGCTATGTCACTAACATCAACAGTAGGACTTTCAGTAGAGAATACAATTGGGGAAGTAGACAAATGGAGAATACGGGCAGGATAGTATGGTTAAATAAGGAATAAAATTATACATGTGGTCGTTTCCATTGGATACCACGAGGGGCGGCCGTGGAGTAGAAGAGAGAAGAGTCTTCAGCGGGGAAGTCTGGATCCTCAAAGAGTTGACCAGTACCTCTTAGTCGATCCTTAATTTCATCATAGGTCATGCCTTTGGTGCTAATTTGACCTCCGGTGGAGGAGGGCACGGGATGGCGCCTAGAGGTGCCCGAGTCGGAATCCACATCGACACGGTTGCGTAGATGGTTGCGAAGAGCGGCGCGTGGATCCTGGAAACGGCCAAACTTCACACTGCCTGGATCAACGTTGAAGCCAACTCGACCATGAGACTCAAAGCCCTAGTATGAATGAAACGGAACCAAGGTGAATGAAAACACGAAGCAAGTAATGAAGGTTTAATTAAAGAAAATGAATGCAACCCGGCTAAACTGTAAAAGCAAAGTTACAAAGTGTTACGAAAGAAGAATATGCACTTCAATTGATTTGTAGAATTAGAAATATAAGTAGCTGAATCATAATGCTTTCCGATAGCAGACAATTTTCAGGTTATCCATAAACAATACGGTATCGGTTCCTCAGTGTTTAGATGAGAATGAGAAATTCAGTACGCTTATTCACAAAAGAACACAAATCTTTGCATCCCTTACAACTCGATGCATACATGCTGATTCGACAAATAACCAGGTCCACACAGTAAGGAGCTGCTACTGTACCATGCAAAAATTAATTGCGAACCTCTTTTAATGGTTATCTATTAAGTTCGTGTTGCCGACTTACAGTAATCACAGACCTATTTCCATGCGGATCTGTTGAAGTCATGACTCTTGGTTTTAGTGTTATGCCAACACTACTGGAGTAATTCGAAGTCCATCCAGTGCTGACCATGGTTTTATATGCGCACAGTAATAACTCCCACTCAGTGATTTGGCGATCTGATTCGCTAAAGCACAGAAATCAACGCCTCGACCTTCACGCGAACCTCTATGAGCTCACACCTTGACCCAATGTCTTTGAGAAAACAAGTCTTAGCGCATCTAAACAAAGTAATGTTGTTCTAGGTTCATTAGCAATAATGCTTGCAAAATTCAATTTTTATTTCAATTTAGTAACAGATATTTTGCGCGTAAATATGGGCTTGTAGTTGACGCATTAGACTTTTCAATCCCTATCAAGAGCCGCAGAAAAATTCCGATAAATGCAAAGTATGGCTATTATAAAATAAACGGGTGTTCGACTTTCAATGTCAGTGAACTTTATCTGCGCTATTATTTTTGATAGTATAGCCATTAATATTAAGAAAATTATCTTGCTAATGGGGGGTCATACATACTGGAGCGACTCGCGACTATTCATTAGGTATTGGAGGAGCTGAGTGCAATATACAATAGTTTGTTGAAGTGTACTTTTATAGGTGACAGGTGTTCCCAATTGGGAACACGAATCACGTGCGTGAAGCCGGCGAGGCGTCTCCCTCCATCTAGTATTTCCTACTCGCTTCATCTGCATTCCATTCCCCTACTTTCCTAATAACGATGCCTAATAAATCGTCTGCAACCAACTATCTCTTGAAGTCTGAAGATTAGGAACCAGAGGGTAGACATGCAGCTCTTACAGTGAGACCTGGCCGATTGCATTTTTCCGAAAAAAGCCTTTAGCGCTTTGTTTATGTGACTACCTGACATTTGGCAGTCACTTTAGGATTTGTCTGGTCCTTGGGCCGTACTCAGGCCCGTTTGTTCTGTTACCTTCGGAAAATTTGTATCCAGTCTCACTTACTGCCTCCTTCCACCCTATGAGAAGTCTTTGGACGCTACAAAGCCTAGCAGTTGTTTGGCATTACCCAAAGCACAGTTCACCGCAAAGGAACAGTACGGCTACCAATCATTGTTTAAGAAATTGTCAAATGATACTTTAAAATACTTTCGAAAGTTAAAGTTCATCTGGTAAAATAGAGATGAAAAGTCATTTCGTACTCGAATCCGTTGCGTGAGGATCATACGGACTCCCTTTCTGGGTGGTATCTGCTATCCGGATCATCTATACTCTATTTCGATTCCTTCTGTACACATCGCCTAATAACGTTACTTTAACTAAACCTCTCTTTAGGTCCGAGGTTCAAGGACATGAGGGTGGGCGCGCAGGCTCTATAACAACATCACCTATTCTAAGCGCATATGATTATCTAGCTGAGCCTACGCTTCTAGGCTCGGTATCAGGTCATTTACAATGATGTAGTCAAATGATATTTTAAGTAGCTCCGTGCATACTTGCTCGAATCCTTCAGCTACCGATGTTTTTATTTGTGGTCACTTGACATCTGGCGGTGGCTTTGGTGTTCTTCTATCTCTTGTAGGCGTGCTGGCTTTCTGGCCAGACGCAGGCTTAATTCACTTTCTCGACACTACAACTAAAACAAGTGCCCTTGCTCCATGTTATGGCTCTTGAGTTCTATCGATGATTTCCAACCTTATATGATTTGCGATCTGCCACATTTTAAGAATGACCCATAGTGCTGAAAACTGACCCTTTATTATCATTAAAATTGTTATTTTAGCATCACAAAAATATTTTAAAGAGGAATACGGCACAGTATTGTAGTAGAACATACGCCCTCATCAATCGGGAAGGGATGTGAGTTGATGTAGTGCTTTAGAGTCCAAATCATCCCTCAAGAGCAGTGCCAAGGTTCAGACAAATAACTTATTCATTGAAGGTTACCCACTTTTATTGTCGGAACTGTTAAAAGGCATAGACACTATTGATCACTCAGCAGCGATTTTGCACTGTCACCCCGCAATTCCGCAAACACCAAACGATTCTCACTCTTACTTCAAATCCTAACATGCGCCAATTTTTTTGCAAATGCCAAAGAATAGAAAATGCTAAGGGTGCCAATGAAAAATATGCAACATTCTGTCAGAGCACATTTAGTACACAGCGGACCCCACCCCACATAATGAGGGTCAAATGGAGAAGACAAAATGACTCTTTTATGCAAAGAGATATTTGAATTAATGGAGTATGGTATGAGTGGTTAAGAGTTTTTTCATTGACTTAGCAACCAGCGTTTGCATTTTAGTGTTTGTTTTATAAAGCGAAGTCTGAAGCTAAAAGTGCTACTTGTTATTCACAAGTGTATGCTGCAGCGTGCCGAGACTTCCCATAGGGTGAAAGAAGGTAGTAAGTGAGGCTGGATACATGTATTCCGAAGAGAACCGAAGACCAGCCCACGAGTACAAGGGCCAGACAAATCCTAAAGCGATCGCTGAACGTCAGGTGGTCACATAAATAAAGCATTACATGTCACATTACCTGTGACGTAATGTGGCACCCGCAGAGGGGAAGACCTGAAGAATAGCATTGAAGTTGCACTTGTAATGCTTGTAATCCTTAAGGAGATGCGGTCATTAAGCAAGAATCCCGTGCTGAAGGAAGGTGCGGATCCTTATCCCGAGTGGCATTGGACACTTGCCTTAGCTATACCAAAATTTTCCTGTACTCTGTAGCAGGTGCGTAATAAAGCTTCTCAGAGCGATCTTCAGCTTGTGAAGACGGAAAAGCATGAATCTAAGAGTAGAGTGATACATATTACAGCAGTATTTACATGAATTCGTGTATAAGGGAACGAATACTTTGTAAATGAGGTCACCATGTCTATTTTTAGTGGTAAATACATGTGACAAGGCAATGTCAAAGCACATTTGTTTCCATGCCCAATGCTTCGGGTCTCAGCCCATTTTATAAATAAAGCTGTATTATTCTTTTAGTAAAATTCTGTCAATTCTGATGCGGCATACTTTTTTCCTAGCGATTCAGCCAAGTACCAGAGTAATGGATAGGAAGCAAATGGTCTCCCATCTCAGCGGACTCAAACTAGAAAACTAGGGAAAAAGAAAAGTAGTGTGGCTTCACGATGTGACAAAGATATCTGGTAACTCACTTGGTTATGAGCACTGATTACTGTCGCGGTTATTGTTTCTTGGATTTCACACAAACATCGCTTAAAGTGAAGTGAAGCCTCTTGAAGTCCCACCATACTCTCTATCTCAACATCATTTTAAAGAAGAAAAGAAGACGCGGTGTTATGACGACACCCGCCTTTCATTTATATAAGTGCACTTGCCTTCCATTGTGGAAAAGATTTTTAAGAGAATTCGTATCTCTTCGGACGTAGATACGTATCCGCCTCGTTGAATTTTAAATTCCCACTTAAACTATTGCAAGTCTCAGCTACGTATTTTGCCATGTTTACCTTTTTTCTTTGATTTTGGGTCGAATAGAAATTGGGAAGCTAGGAAAAAGCTGTGAAGCATTTTGTACACGGGCAACATGCATCGTACTTCCTAAATGTCACTTTATCAGAGTGGCAACAAAACTTGGCAACAGCCGGCCTTTGGTAACATTTAGAGTGGCACGACCCATGCCATACAAACTGTTTGTAAAAATCCGATTAAACGTCTTCTTGGCTTTCCACGAGATATCCACTTTAACGGTCTCCAAAACGGGCAAAGGAATAAGATTTGCACCTTCAACTTTGTACGGCCGATCAACAGCAGCCCAACTTGAAAAGGCGGCTGCCGTATTTATCACATGACCATTCATCTCAATCTTGCTCAATCCATCTAATTAGCGGATCATCCCTAAAAATGTAAGGAGGTATGATACAAGAACCGAAAGTGCATTGCTGACGTGAAGTAGGGCTAATGGACGACTTACATGGCCTGGAGGCCAGAGTGCTTAGGAAAAATACATAAGGCGATGCTCTCAGTGATGGCAAGACTAGGACGAAAAGCAAAGAGTGAATCAAAGTGTTGCATAGACTGCCTCCCATATTGAAGGCCATTATTGTCACCGACCTTTGATAAACTTTTGCAACGACTACTGTGGCACAGGAGTTAGCCGTAGCAGCCATCGAATCTATATGTAACTAAGACAAAAACCCGACCGTAAAGACACAGATTTCCACTTTGTACTTGTAGTGTATCAGACGGTTCCTTTTGTTTGGCAACTGAGTTAGGAGAAAGTGGGAAAAGCCATTTATCGCACTTGCCAATTATTGACCGCAAGAAAACTGGCCCATAAGTAATGTACTTTGAACATGGAAGAGTTTCAAAGCACCGTCTTGGAGGTCGGGATCCGCTCATTTAACGTCTTGCAATTTTATTACCCATCCATGAGCTGGGTGATAAATGAGATGCCTTAATTTCGTTTTATTGGCTTCTCAATTCCAAGTACCGTAGACGGCTGGATTTTGAACGTTTGCAGACAGTTCACGACCAGTCTGTGGCGCTCTAATTGATGAGAATACGGAAGCCATGCACACGTTGGGTAACCAGCAATACAACTGAAGGTAGTGACCATTTAGGATTGAATGTAACTTCTACCACTAACTATGCAACCTAATGAGGCTTATCAAAAGATGACAATACCATAGTAGATTTTGCAGTGTGGATGCAGAGCCTGAAGGCAGTACCACTCCGTCGGAGTACAACAATGGAACCTTGTATTCCCACAAAATCAAATTAAAGAGCTGAGTAAATACTCATTGTAGCGTCTCGAGACTTCCCACCGTCTGGAGGAAGGCAGTAAATGAAGCTGGGTACATGTATTCCAAAGAGGACAAAGCAAACGAGCCTGAGCGTGACACGAAGGTCCGCCCACAAGCACAAGAGCCAGACAAATCCTAAAGTGACCGCAATTGAGGTGTTTTCAGACGGTGAGATTGATAATAAGGTTACCAACGCCGTCGAATCACTATGGTCGGGTTTACGACAGAGGGAAGTACAAAAAAATTTCAGTTTGCCAAATAAGTTTTGTTAAATCACCAATTAAAAGTTCAACTAATCATCGCAAAGGCCTTTCTAAGGTCCGCCTATGTCTCTGAT